CGAAACTATACAGGCAGTATCGGAAGTTGACGCCAGTTCTCGCTCATCCGCAGCTCCGAAAGCGATTGTACGCAAGACACCCGCAGAAGCTACTGCGAAGAAGGCCGCAACCAATAACCCCGTCGAGAAGTCGAGGATATCTGAGATGAAATTGCTTTCGCAAGCGAAATCGTTCGACCGACCTGAGGAATTTGCGGCTGTTTCTACAAACTCCAACTTGAGTAAGCCTTCGAAATCTACCAGGCATGCTTCTGTGGCTCCTGATACTGCAACGCCTGCTCAGCATAACAATGCTTCCAACAGAGTTGTTAAATCTTCATCGGAGATCAACGCTTCCTTGGAACAACTGGCCGCGAACGAACCTGGTGGTGCTATCCAAAGGCCGTCTTCCACAGACGAAACACGCCAAATGGCAGTTACACCTTATCCTGAGAAGGCATTAAGCCTTTCGGTGAATGTCCGTTCAAAGAAGATGAGACAATCTGCTGAACCAGGTATAGGCATCCGTGAACAGCATGGGTCTATCTCTGCAAGCTCGCCTGCGAAGGCACATCCAGTCTTGGCCGCTGAGTCTATACTCTCAGCTACAGGAGAAGAGTCTCTATCCAGTTCGTCGATGACTATGCCAGAACCGGTTCCTTCGAACGAGTCTCAATTGACCGATCTGACAGAATCTGCAGTTCTAGAAGCAGGCTTGCCCGTATCAACTCAAACTATTGAGGATGGGGCAATGCACTCTGGAGAGAGACCAACAAGCGATATAGAGATGGACTTCGACAGTGGTGGAGTCACAGCAATAGTCGCTCAGCGTGACACGATGAGTGCTGGCAGAGTTTCAATCCCCAGGGCTGCTAATGATCATGACCCTCCAAGACAATCCCAAAAGCCTATAGAAACCACGGACGGTTTCCCCCTGACGACCTTGAGTTCCGAGTCGCCTAAGCATATGATCTCAAATGCACCCAAGATCGCTTTGACACCATTCGTAACCGCTCCTGTTTGTAGCCTACCTTCTTTGGGAGTCGCAACGAACTCCGAAGAAGACGTCCTACTTTTATCTTGTTCACCTCAAGTGTCCAAGGAGGCGCAACCCTACTTCGAGTATTCTGTCTTCCAAAAGGTGTGGTCAAGCGAGCAAACTGAAGAAAGCGTCGCGGTCACCGAAACGACCGTACAGCCCTTCACCAGTATCGTTGAGGCAAATGCACAGGCTGAAAAGACATTTCAAAACGGCTTTGCGCACTCCTTCGACCCCCTTTTCGAAAGCCGCACCGCGCGCGATGAATACGGATGCTCAATTCTCACTGGCTCCGCCACACCTTTTGATAACCCCATAAAGAAGATTTATTTCAAGATCTGGGTCCAGCGCGACATTGTTTCTAAATTCGCTAACCAGACGCCACAAACACTGAAGGCGACATCATTCATCTCAAGCACCTGCTACATCCTGCGCTTATTCAATCTTGCTGAGCAAGTCGATACCGAAGGTTCAGATGCTTCCGACTCGGAAGATAGCGATTCTCCAGCATGTGAGCCAGTTCGGGTGTATCAGTCCCACAGCCGTCCCGAGATATACACTACTCTCGATGCCGCTAATCGCGCGGCTCGCGCTCTACAAATCGAGCTCAGCCACGAGAGAGAGCCGAAAGACGAGTTTAGCAGGGCATTTCAGGAAAAGAACTTGAAGGAGCTGGATACAAAGTTGCGTGAACTTCAATCGAGGGAGCTGGACGGTGGGAATGATGGTTGTTGGAAGGGTAAGTTTAATGCGTGTGGTCTAGGGGCAGACACCTTGGAAGTGGTAGTGGAAAAGACTAGCATCTGCGGAGCACGTAACCTTTGAAATGCGCGCGTGATCGGACAGACTGTGGTAAGACGAGTGCAGATGAGATGTATGATGGGCAAAAGCTGGTGGTGTTTACAATTTTCATTCTTTTCTCATCTTGCTTGCGTGCTTGGTCTGCAGGGCACATTTTCCCAATCGATTGGAATATTCATACCTGGAACTGCGGGGCGAGTAGTATATGGCTTTGAACAGTCTATGGTAACTTCCTTACAGTGTCTGTATCATAGATCTCCAATTGACGTGCTTTTCATAGAATCTTGTCTGTACTTTTTGTTTCTGGTTGATTATCCTCAATCTAAGCCGTGGATAGGAAGCAACCAACACGCAAGAACTGTTGTGCTCAAACAAGGGATTGTGATCAACCCATAGTGCATATGCAGGAGGGTGGTGTACGATGCAGGTGACTTGCTATCAACAAAAAGCAACAATCAACAAACACACACCGGCTGAAGTGGCGTGCAGCCAGCCGGGCTGCGCAATAGCAAAAAGACCACAACAACATAACACAGCCCACTTGCAACGATGAACCCCGCAGCGGTAGCACTTAGCGCATGTAAACAATCGATTACAAGGTTAGACAGCCTCATCGGGATCGCCTCCGAGCGGGGGTTGGGGGCGCCACAGTGGGTTATAACAGCGCCGAGGTACCGACTACAACGACGAGTTCCAAGTTATTACAGTTTCAGCATCAGCGCTTGTGAAATACGATGGAGGCCCGTGTGTTTTTGGTTAACGGTTGTTGAGTCAGTCTCCACTGCCGGCACTAACCAGAACCAAAATTTGAGGATCGCGATTCAGATACTGCAGAAAACAAGGAAATCCTGACTGGTGTGTGTGTGTGTGTGTGTGTGTGTGTGTGTGGATTGGATGTCAGTTGTCTCTTTGGTATGGATGGAAACCAACATTGTCAAGGGGGATTTGTACATTCATTATCCTCATCATCATGAGATGGTCGTAAGCGAGGCTTCTCACTACGCCGAAAAGTTGAAACAATATATAGTACATGAATACTTTTGGTCATAACACGTTCTCGCGAATGCTTAGATCAGAGCTTCACCTCTAAACATGGCTTCCCTGACTTCCCTGACGACATCTGCCCGATCACCCGGACCAAGCAACACGATACCCCTTCCTCGCCTGCCCATGCGACCCGTTCGACCAAGACGGTGAATGAAATCGATCGTGGTATGTGGGACATCATAAAGAATGACATGGCGAACGGAGACGGTGTCGATACCTCTTGAGCCCAAGTCGGTTGTAACAATGACCTTTGTGTTGGGTAGGATGCGCTTGTTCGCCGGCTCAGTCTTCTTCTCTTGGTTTTCTGCAGTTTCCTTGGTGGATGCATCGTTTGTGAAGGACTTGAGGATATTGGCCTGACGAGTGGGATCGGTGTCCCGGTGGAAGGCGTGAGCATCGATACCCTTCTTGACAAGGTATTGTGCTACTTCTTCAGTGTCTTCGCGTTCGTTGACGAAGACTAAGACACGCTTCATGGGTATAACTTCCTTGCCTTCGTTGGGGTCGAAGTCGGCGGATGCCTTGCCAATCTGCCAGACTGTGTCTGCGCAGGCGAGCATCTTATTGCCTCGATACGGGTCCTTGTTCACATCAACGACACCTAACTGTACCCTTCGTGGGATGGCGTGGAGGTTGGGTGTGACGAGACGCTGCATGTCGGGGAATCGGTCGGCAAGGTACTTGTCAAGGTACTTTGGAATGGTGGCGGAGCAGAGGACGAGCTTTTTGAGGGAGGGGGTAGCGCGTTCGAGGATCTCGGTTGTGCTTTCCTTGAAGGAGCGGTCGAAGAGCGAGTCTGCTTCGTCGCAGATGAGGTGGGTAACCCGGGCAAGGATGTTGGGGTTGCTTTCAGCGATGCTGGCGAGGAGGGGTGGTGTGCTGATGACGACATCGACACCATTGGGGTTGAAGAGCTGATTGCGGATGACTGTGGCAGACATCTTGGCTGAGATTGGAGCAGCGCGAAACTTGATGGTGTGGGAGAGCCTCTTTGCGACGGCTCCGACTTGAGCAACGAGTTCGGCGGAGGGGACGAGGATGATTGCGCGCGGTCGTGCTGGGTCTACTGCCTTGTTTGTCTCTGGCTCCTCGACGGCGAACATGTCTGTCCTCCTGTCGTGTTCTTTGAGTGCCGCCTCCTCAGCATCTCTCTTAGCCTGCTCCTCGGCATCTTCTTTCTCGCGGACTTCCTCCTGTTTGATGGCGTCCAGAGTAGGAAGAAGGTATGCCAGTGTCTTTCCCGAGCCTGTCTCAGCTGCCAGTAGGAAGGAGTCTGGCCCACTCTTCTTGGTCTTTACTTTTGCGCGCACAGCCTTTTGCAGGCCGAGGAGGGCGGGTATAGCGACGGCTTGTGCGGGGGTTGGGTTGCGGTATTCGAGGCCGGGCAGTGCATCGTTCACGGCGCGTAGTGTAGGTTCGGCGAGGGGGAACTTGTCGAACGAGTCGTATTGTTCGAGCTGTCGCTTGACGGCGGTGCGGTTGTTGTAGGGCACCTGGTGCAGCGAACTCTGCATCTTCAGGGCATGGAAAGGCTCCGACCGCGTCCTCCTCTTGCCGTCATCCCGTCCTGTCGCCGCCCGGCTGCCACGTGCTTCTCTCTGCTCTCGTATCCGTTCCAGTCCCCGTGGCACGTCGGTCCGGTTTAGGAAGTCGAAGGCGTCTGGCTTCCTCGTCGGCGCTCTGTCTGCTGTTCGCGCGACATCGTCTGCGAGAACCATGCGCGAGGGCCGGGGATTGTCGCGCCCTCTGAAGCCCGAGGAGGGCCGTGGTGGGCGTGAGGAAGAAGCGCCATGACGTTCCCCTCTCTCGCGCTGGACCTGGGTATATAGGCGGGTCTGCTGGGGGGGTGGCAGTTTCAAGAGGGCGCGCACTTCGCAAAACGGGCAAACTCTCCGCAACATGGCTACTTGGTTGCAAGTACAGGCAGGATTAAATGAAGAAGTCAGACTAGACTAGCATGCTCTGGCTACACTAAACCTTGACTAAAGGGATCCGACCTGACGTCGGCACTGCACAGGCGATCGTGCAGATAATTTCAGGCGCTAAGACGCGATAAGCGGCACGTTACCGGAGCAACTGCACGCAACACCGACGCCTTGCCTACATCCCGGCTATCAACACTTGATAGCACCAGCGGCCCCAACCATATCATAGTAGAGCACCCACACTTCCTCCTCCGCTTCTCCATCGCACATCTGCCCAAGCGCTCTGTCGGTGTCCTTCACTTCTCTGCCATTTCTTTAATCAGCGCGCATCCCTTAGTTCGCTGACTCGACACGACTCCTCGAGGGAGCCCATTCTTCTTCAGCAACACAACTCGACTGCCCGCTGCACGCAAACACCCGCACTGCGTCCGTCAACAACAGTCCGCCTTCGCCAGCACGAGCGTGCTCAACACCAGCCATCATGTCGCGCAATGAAGCGGTAAGCATCACTTCTCATCTTATTCTTCCTTTTTGCCTCCACTGTTTCGTGTGTTGGCCACGCGATGCTGACCGCAATGGCCACAGGTGTCGCCGCTGCGCATCAACAAGACACCTACTCCCTCGCCCACAAAGGGAAGCGGCCGTCCCTTGTCAGAAATCAGCCCCCATGAGCACCGCAGGAACTCTCCCAGCTGGAACCAGACAACAAAGGTATGTGCCGAGGCCGCCTTTTCCACCTGCATTCCCGCTGCATTCCCACTGCATTTCCGCCGCCACTCCCATCTGCAGCCTGCTAACATCTGACCCAGAAGATTATCCTCACCAAGGAGAGCTCGCCATTCCGCGACTCTTCGCCTTTTACTCACAGCCCGCGTCTCTTCTGGAAGGAGCAGACCACTTCGCCCAAGAGCCGCTTCGACACGTCGGAGAACGAGTACGAGGGCAGCTCGCCTCTCTCGCCCAAGCGCAACTCCATTGAGAACCTGAAGAAGCAGTCGCGTGTCAAGAACAGCAGTATGTTCGCGCGCGAGCAGAAACACGAGTACGATCCCAGCTCGGTCCAACCACTCGACCGCCCACTCGCTGCAGGACGCCCTCTCAGCACCGCTATCCAGGGCAACGCCTATGGCGGCAATGGCCTCCAGGGCCTGCGCAATGAGAACGAGAGCCCCACAAAAGGTCACCACCACAGCCGGTCTGAGAGCCAAACACGGATCCCCATCCTGAGCCCGTCCAAGACGTCACCAGCAAAGCTTCCCACACAATCTTCATTCGCTTCACCATCAAAGCCTTCTCCGTCTGAGGGCCGCATGTCGCCGACCAAATCTTCGCTTGTCAGCAACGGTCGCTTCAACTCGCCGCAGTACAATGGTGACTCCAGCGCCATCATGTCAGATGACGAAGAGCTCGTTCATCAGACTCCCCGCCCACTGCGGCGTCATGCTAAGAGTGTGACCTTCGACACAGCTCCACCCCAAATTACAGAGTTTGAGTTGGTCACACCCGACCCTTCGGTCGCCACAATGTCACGAGACGGCAGCTACGACTCCGAGGAGGAGACAGAAGAGGAGATGAGCTTCGACCAGGATGACAGCTTCGACGCTTCACTAGAAGACACCGATAAGACTCCAGTTGTCCTGCCTGAGGACTGGCGCCACATGAGCCCGCAAGCCGCAGACACTTCTCTGACCGATCTCTACGATGATGTCTTTGACGGGCGTGAGAACAGTCCCATGCCTTCAGCACGCCCAAATGGCACGACCAACGGATCGCGTGTCGGCTCAGTAGCGTCTGACAGCGATGCTAGACCACTTCCTCCTCTTCCCGCCATACAAGGTAGCCCCAACCGGCGGCGCGACTCCAGCATTGGCCTTTCCGCTGCCGCAGAGCGAGTAGGCGACAGGCGGCGCTCCCTTCCTCAGCTTCCGCAAGCAGCTGGTATCTCTAAGAGTGATCTTCTCAACATGCGCGAGGTGTCTATGTCGCTTGAGGATCGGTTGCGTTTGATGAACTTCGACGACGATCGTGATACAAGCACACCAACTCAGGAGATGCAAAACAAGAAGAAGGCTGTAGAGGTTGACGTTGCAGAAGTGGACGTTACAGAGTCGGAGCTAACGCTTGACGAGCCGAAGATTCCGCGTATCTCTCGCGAATCCATCCTCCGCCGTGTCAAGAGCCGCACCTTCGACGAGGGTGAGGACGACGAGCAGGAGGAAGAGGACGAGGAGTACAGCACATTTGAGCCCGAGTACAGTCCTGAGCGCAGCTATGGCGACCTTGCTGACTTGGACCCCGATGTCCCCATTCCGTCACGTGAGGCCTCCTCCAACTTCGACGAGCATCCGCGTCAAGTCTCTGTCAGCGAGGCCGATAGCGTCGTCGACGCTTACAGTTACCACAACGCAGACAGGGCAGAAGATGACCATACTGAGGAAAGTGATGTAGATGGCAGCTCGATGTCTCAGCTTGAAGACTACGAACGCGAGTCCTCTGTCATTCGGCATCCAATGCCTCAACACTCAGATGACGAAGATGATACTAGCCAATACTCGCCTCAACCTGACGAACCGTCCATTGCGCAGAGCACCATCGACTCTTCCGGCCCATCAACGCCCGTTGCCGCTCCCTCTTCCCCTGTCTCGGCAGAGAAGCAGGTGCCACAGGACGAGATGTACTCCACATTCGAAGGCAAGGACGTGGACCTTAGCTTGGATCCTCTGAAGGCGTCTATGGCGACAGCACCAAGTCCATTGGACTCAGCCCCTAAGCTAGATGCCATGCGCGACTTCCTACGACGACCTGTCACGCCTGAAGCTCCCGACATGGACGAGGACCAGTCGGAGTCGGAGGACCCTGGTACTCCAGATTCTGTCATTCGTCACCCAATGCCTGTCTCTCCGGCTCCTCAAGAGAACGCTCCAGAGGTTCCTCAACGGGAAGCCACCATCCGAGGTGCAGGTGGAAAGTTGAAGACGCGGCCATCGCTGATTCCCGACGATATTGACATGGCCGCTACACGCCGCCAGGTCAGTGGCCAGCATGCTCCTCCTGTTCCTGAACGCAGTCCAAAGCGCCAATCAATGAGCCTCGAGCTTGGCAACGCCGACGACGAGAGCCATGACGAAGACGATACGCAAGTGAGCATCACAACCAAGCAGAACCGCATGTTGGACCTGCAGCTCGGTGACCTTAACCTTGGTGACGATTCGACTGACCTCAGCTTCGGGCTGGACAAGGAGTTTGATCACATCATTGAGTCACAAAAGGTACGAAATCTCTTTCCTATTCCCTCGCTCACCAGATTGCCTGAATCCATTGCTGCTGTCGCGGACACAGCTTGTCAGATGTCTGGTGGAAGCTTTATTCACAGGCACAGTCTCGCTAACGACATGATCCACGAACAGAAAGGATACTTGATGCGCGAGAACACAAAGGTCGTTGTTGCGAGCAGTCGCCAATTCAGCGACGAGAAGCCTCCTACTCCTACCGAGGCGACGAGCGAGGCAGCTGCCAAGCCTGTCTCTCGTAAGACGAGTGCCGAGCGCAAGCCTGCCTGGACAAAGGAGCCTTGGAATGGTAAGCCTCGTAGGAAGAGCATTCGAACGGCATCTGGTCGTCGTACTCGCACCTCCGAGGGCCCAGCGCCACCTCTTCCTGGCCAAGAATCCGCTGTCGCTGGCGGACTAGACTCTGTTGCTGAGCAGGGAGTTGACGGCGAGCCTGAAGAAGGTGAGGAGCGCGGCCTGGTTTTCGTCAAGGTTGTTGGCGTTAAGGACCTCGACCTTCCCCTGCCAAAGCATGAGCGTACCCATTTCCAGTTGACGCTGGATAACGGCCTGCACTGCGTCACAACGTCTTGGCTAGAGCTTGGACAATCTGCTCCCATCGGGCAAGAGTTTGAGCTTGTCGTCATGGATGACCTTGAGTTCCAGCTTACACTGCAAACTAAGTTGCAGCCTCCAGCGGTGCCCCAGGTTGTCGCTGCGCCTACTGCTAAGGCTGTAAACCACAAGAAGTCACACTCTGCTTTCCGCAACCTCCTCTCATCGCCAAAGAAGAGGAAAGAGCAGGAACGCAAGGCTCAGGAGGAGGCTGATCGCATCGCCCAACAGGAGCATCAGGAAGCTCAAGCCGCTGCCAAGCGTAATCAAAAGGCCACCGCATGGGATCTTCTCCACGACCTGGTCGGACCTGACGGCTCTTTTGCCCGTGCCTACGTTTGCCTCAACAACCACGAGAATCAAGCTTATGGTCGTCCATTGACCGTTGATATTCCCTGCTTCAACGAGTGGGCTGTCGACAACACCGGCGCCAGCAGTGTCAAGAGCAAGCGTGGAGGTGTTGTTCGTCGTCCACCTTACCGGGTGGGTAAACTTACCCTTCAGCTTCTTTATGTTCCCAAGCCCAAGAACGGAAAGGATTCGGACATGCCCAAGAGCATGAACGCTGCTATCCGTGAACTCAAGGAAGCTGAGCAAGTCAAGGACATCAGCTTCGAAGGCACGTTGAGCCAGCAGGGTGGAGATTGTCCGTACTGGCGACGCCGTTTCTTCCGCTTGGAAGGTACAAAGCTTACCGCTTACCACGAGTCTACACGGCAACCTCGTGCTACCATCAACCTGGCCAAGGCCTCCAAGCTCATTGACGACAAGAGCGCCCTTCAGCAGCCATCTGCTACAAAGTCTGGTGGTCGTCGCAAGTCCGGATTTGCTGATGATGAAGAAGGCTACATGTTCGTAGAAGAAGGCTTCCGCATTCGTTTCGCCAACGGTGAGGTCATCGACTTTTACGCCGACAGCCGCGAACAAAAAGAGGCCTGGATGAAGGTGCTCTATGAGACTGTTGGCAAAGACATTGCTCAGAACAAGGGCTGGGCTGCCATGGTCCTTGAGAAGGAGCGCAAGGAGAAGGCTACGCGGTCACAGATTGGCGCACCAATCTCACCAACCAAGTCGCATCCAGTGCCAAATTCACCGAGCGTCAACCGCCGGCCTTCTCACGCACGCACCCAATCTCACGACATATTAGGCTCCATCAAGTCAACTCCGTCAAGTCCCGTCAAGGGGCACGCCCGCACACAGTCGCATGCGCCTCCTCCACCTCTAAAGGATGTTCGCATGTCACACGCACCACCTCCACGACCGCGAACCCAGGAGTCAGGGAAGCCGGGACGTAGGGAGCAGGTTCGATCGATGATTTTCTAGTCTTCCTTTTCATCTTCATCATCGATACCACTCATCTACTTTCTTTGAATCATTCACTTACTTACTGGCCTTTCTTTGTGTTTTAGCTTCGCCAATACTCTACTCTTTCGCACCGACTAAGATTGGGGTTTTGGAGACGGCGACAGGGGAGGAGAAGTTTGAAGGGATTGGGTGCTGCGCATCCATTTCCCGAGTTGAGCACGCCAATCCGATGAGCTTGGCATTTGAGTACATTCGCGCGGAGCCGCGGAAAAGTCGAGGGAGCGTTGCTGCTTTCGTTTCCTTGTATCATGTCTTATCATTGTTCTTGTTACTGTCTGGCGCAGGTCGGAGTTGTTCCATTCCTGGAGTTGGAGGCTATGGTCTTATGATACTCTGCATAATGATTGAAGGAGCGATGAAGTACATGGGGTATGAGTAGCAGTTGTATACGGCGGATGAGAATATAACATGACTTCAAAAACAACGTGTCTTGGGTGACTGAACAAATGCAGCTGATATACAGGAGTGCTATTCTAATATTCAGCATAGTAAATTGCGAATGGCGGCGTGCACTGTCGTCTGGCGACTTAAGCAAATTACCTAGCATGGCAGCCACGGAGTATCTCATCATAGCGGGAAATGTTCAAAGGTACTCGTAGACTATTGTAGCCTCAATTCTGTAGGCAATGAGCTTTTCTAGCACTTTGATGCGTGGTGATAATTTTCCGCGACATTAGCATGATGTTGTCCGGATGAGAAAATCACACACTGTCTGCGATGCTTATACACATAGACACAATGACACCATACACAAGATTCTACTCACAAGTCACATACCTGCATTCATTGCTTTTCACAACGCTAGATCTATCGTTGAGCCAGCCACACGAAAACAGAAAAGTAGACAAGCAGCCTTCTCGTGATACGAGAAGGGCCAAACTGCGACACGACAATAGCTGCTGTCGTGCAACGCAGCACTTGCGCATCCCATTTAGCACGAGCAAACAAATGACAGCTGACATGTCAGAGTATTTCCAGTCGGTGAGCATCAACACACCGTGCTGCAATACTTACCTGTTCTTGTTCTCGTTCTTCGCTCGTCATTCTCTTCTTTTCAGACGAACGAAGGATTGTAGTGAACGGACCTTGAAGTATCGAGATCCTTATATGTACCTGGTATAGGCGATACCTGTGCTTTTGGTCTGCGACGAGAGCTAAGAGTGCCAATGTGTTTGTAGGAACCCCATCTAAAATCACCGGGAAGTATCCCTTTCTACAACAAATCCGGTTTTCCTGTAACGGTCCGCCGGACGTGAGTGCTATGGGTGCATCGCATTCTACACCTCCACCCCTCGTCGAAGTCAACGCTCCTGGAGGAAAAGTCTTAGTTCCCCCTGGTGCGTAAACCTCTTTGGTCCTGCTCTACACCTCATCCATCTGTCCTTCCATTGTTATTGTCCATACTTATACGTCTATACAGGGACGGCATTCAGTGTCCACCCACCCTCCTACGCGCGCTCAAGATCCGATCCGTACACACGAGGTCCCATATACACACCCTGTCCACTACCATATCGTGGCGGACACCAACACCAACGTCCGCGAAATCGACCCTACCCTCGGTACGGAGGACCAGATATAGATATCTCCGAAGAGAGTGACGATAGCGAGAGTACAGACTTGAATATGATGGAAAGCAGAAGTCCAAGAGGTATGCGACGTCAAGTATCCAAAGGCTATCCCGGCGGTATGATGGGTGGTGGTGGCATGTCGGGAATGAAACGCAGAGGTGGGCTAAGGGGTTTTGAAGGTATGGATCCGAGACCCAGGTCTGCGCCTGAGATGCAAATGGGCGGATATCCAGGTATGGGCGGTATGCCAATGGGTATGCCTGGGAGTCCAAGAATGGGGGGTATGGAAACTATAAGGGGACTGGGTGGTATGGGCGCGATGGGGGGTATGCAGCCACCTGGTATGCCTCCAGAATACACGTCAAATCCATCGATGCCTCGATTTGGTGCTGGCGCGGGCATAAAACCGTATGCAGATGTGGAAGTAGCTCCCAGCCAGTCATCATCACGAAGTAGCCCAGACACATCTCAGCCCACACGACGAGCCGGCCGCAAAATACCAAAACACTACGAGCATATTCCAAAGGGTGCATACGCCAACGCAGAGAAGCATGGACGAAAATCGCGCTCCCGCGCGGACCCGCAAACGTCAGCCCGTCTAAACCGCGGCCAACCTTGGAATAAGCAGGTTGGCCCTTCAGGGGGCGAGCTGCTTGGGGGCGACGCCTTCCTTGACGCCTGTATTTGCACCACAGCTTGCAACTGCAGGAAAAGCGAGCGCGTCATATACCTTGCACGAAATGACCCCCGTAAAGGCAGCGACTCAGACGAGGAGGATTATACCTACGGTAGCGGTGAGATCAGGTACATACTGAAAACAGATCTAGGCAAGGACTGTGGAGATCACTCGGGCTGCAAGAAAAGCGAGAGCAGTGACAGTGAAAAAGAGCAGAAGAGCAAGAAGAAGAAGAAGGACAAAAAAGAAGAAAAGAAGCGGAAAGACGAGTTCGACGAGTTCAAAGAGGATATACTAGAAGCGCTCAACGGGTTGCAAGACCTGAAGAAGGACAGTCACCAACGAGATAGAACCGAGAGCGGCCCCACAAGACAACCTTTTGGAGGGGCAGGCATAAGGCCGAGTGCGTTCCCGATCAACGATATGGATATGAATCCACGAATAGCCCAGCAGATGGGCATGATGAACGGTGATCCGTACGGCACGGGTCGGATGCCACCTGGCATGGCTGATCCAACAGGTAAATGGCGCATGCATCCTAGTATGGAACTGGGTAGAATGGGCGGTGGCATGGAAACTACTGGTTTGGGAGGCTTTGAGAATGACATGGGTGATATGGGTGACATGGGGATGATGGGAAATCCATACATGCAACCTGGCATGATGAACAAGAAGGGTATGCGGCCCAGCTTCATGTTGCATCGTGGGGCGAAGGCAGGCAGACAGTTCAGCAATGGCGGCATGAGAATGGACATGGACATGGATCAAATGGCCGCAATGTATGGCAGGGCCATGGGAGGTGGCCGCGGAGGTATGATGATGATGGGTGGTGGAGGTGGTGGTGGAGGCAGGCGAGCCCACTTAGACTCGGAGTCTGATGATTTCGATCTTGGTCTCGGGCCTTCAGTGCGGTCAGGCATGCGACAACAAGCTGGCCGTGACAGGACCGGTGAGTATCATCATTCCACCGTGATATCTATGGTATACTGAAATCATGTTAGGACGTGGCAGTAGGAGACCAGGTAATGAAGACAAGGATATCCCAATCAGGCGTGACTTCGGAGGCAGCCCGCTTGCAAGGGCCAACGGCAGTCAGGATCGAGGCAAGCAGGCCCGAGTTGATACAGATGACGACGATGCTTATTGAGAATACGACACCTTAAACTTGAATAGTTCTTCTTGGGTGAGCAACGGCACGGAAACACTAAGAACGTCGGTCAACATTTGCAGACCAATCATTGCGTAGAAGCAAACCTTCTTTTTTGGGCGCATCATGTTTCGCCCATAAGTCGATCATCTCAGCGTAATTCAGACGCCCTGTTTCGCGTGGTTGGGAGTTGGCAATGAAACATGTCGATCCGCGGGCGCGGACGCACCCCTCTCGTTGCTGTGGCAGGGGCGGGGTTGAACTGACTGGCAGATGCAGGCTGCAGCAGTGCCGAGAACGTGCAGGATCGGGCTTGCTCAAGCTTGGCTGCATTTCTACATGGCCAACCTCATTGTTGGCACGACCCGCGTTAACAATATTGGTGCGCCTTGTCAGCTTCTGCTTGAAGACAGGTTGAGGCGTTGGACTAACTTTTGAGTGTTGGGCAGCCACAACTCATGCAGCTGCAGCTCGATAGGGCCCGTATTGGGCACCACAATATAATGATAGCAAAGCATTGTCCCTCGCAAAAGACGAATGACGAGAGTGGCATGCAGCACTGGCAAGCAAGAACATGCGCGGAACAAGTCGTCATTTAGATGTTTTGATTCGTTATCTGGGCTAACCTTCTAAGATGAGCCGTGTGGAATTTATCGCAATGTCGCATGGCAACCGCCATGCAACCAAAATGGATCTCTCGTGAGACCGCCGTCATGATGACATGGGCGTGTATGAGATCTATCATAGGATTATGTCCATTCCAGTAGATCTTCCCGATCTGTGAGTGTAGATGCCTACATGAATGAATACCAACCGACCAACTCCTCGCTTGTAACGCACAGGAAGTTAAGCAGAAACCAGGGGAAATGAAACTTCAAGGAAATGGGAAAGAAAAGGAAGTTTGTGGTTGTGCTGTGCCAAGCCGCGTGACTGATGCGCTCACTGAACCATCTCAAGAGACCGGTTCGAGGAGAACCACCTCACTAGCCTCTATGGGGCGCACCAGCCGAGTCCGGTGGTGGCAAGACCGGCGGCGCTTGCAAGGCGCTTGCCGCGTTCGTTGAGACTAAGGATCAGCAACTTCTTCTCGGCCCAGAAGTTCTCGAAAGCATTGATGTCGTCGGAGGAGAGGGCACCCTTAGCACGCTTAGCCTCCTGCCACTCTGTATCGACCTTGTAAGACTTGTGACGTAGACGGGGAAGGGCCTCAGTTCGCAGGTGCGACAGCTCAGCAGCATACTTGGCGTCGTGCGACCTCAGCGGCGTAGAGAAGGAGCGCTCACGTGAGCGAGAGAGCTCTGGGGGCCCTAGGCAAATGGGTGAACCAGGGCACATGATTTGAGATCCAGATACGCCAGAGAAAGCCGGAGTCGTAGGTGAGGCACTTCCTGACTGAGAGGCTGTTGATGCAGTAGTGAGAGGCGAGGACGAGTCAGATTGGAATACACTGCTAGCGTTGCTGATTGTGCGGAATTTGGGAGGAGGGAGTTCGTCGAGGTGAACCAGAAGCTCGTCTCCAGCAGCCTTGGGGTCGACTTCGAAGCTGTCGAAGTGCTGGTCAAGACGCGCGAAGCCTGATCTAGTTAGCATCAAACCAAGTGTACGGAGAATGGTTAGACTTACCAGTCAGAACAGCGGCGCCTGCACGCTGAACATCAGTTAGGCTAGACTGGACTTGCTTGGGAAGACAGTTCCAGAGTTGCTGAGGGCAGTTCCAATGGCGTAAGTGAATAGGGTCGTAGCTGAATGCATCACCGTCCTTGGGGCAGACGGTGCGAGCAGTTTCCACATTGGAGGCAGTGCGTGAGAGGCAAGCAATGGTCTTGCGACTTGAGTTGCGGCGCGATGTTGGGATAGGGTCATGATAGACAGGGTGGGGAGATAGTGGAGCAGCCATAGCGGCAGTGTAGTATGTCGAATAGGTTTGTGTGGAGTTGTGGTCGACAAACAGTGGAGGTTGAGACTGGGTAGTGGATTGCGGGGTGCACAGCAATGAGTGATGCTTGTAAAGACTCAAAGGAGCGTGAGTGGTATTTGTAGAGAGCGACGGGAATCTTCTAGACAAATATTCTGTGTGTGAGGTGGTGGAGGTGGAAGGGTAAAAGATCGCGGAAGCGCTGGTGATCGAAGGTCTTAGCGGAGTAAACAGGGCGAGGTGTGGAGTCGGGCAGGGGTGTGCGGGCACTTTGCGGGCGGCGTTGGTGCGTGTTGATGGTTATGGGAATCTACGGCCCAAGGCACTTTCCCATATAGCTTGACGGAGCGACTACGTCAATTCACGGTGCGAGAAGCTGCACGGGCTGAGGAATCGGGGATGCCGCAGGTGTAAGGGTACAAGGCCTGGACGGATGATGAAGGGGTGAAGGGGCGGGAAGGCTGTGCCACTGTGGTTGGTGAGCCCAAATGCCCAGGAGCTTGACAGTGAAATTGCGGGCTACTGTGACGCAGGGAAAAACGCTGTGCGTGCGCGGACAATGAAAAAGGTGCTAGGGCGAGATTCCCAGACTTTCGGGATCATGGCTGCCCACCTGCAGTTGCTGCTGCACGGCATGCCCGCCACGCTATCGCAACGCAAGAGCATCCCAAAACGAACCTCTCGGCATGTCCAGATCCAGCGCCCGAATATTGCTGCTGCTCGTCTGCTGAGGTGGGCTGAGGCCAAAAAAGAAAAATTGCCAGCCAACTTACATGATACGTCACTGGGCCGTCGCTTCCTTGCGGTCTCGGGCTGATCCGGAACCGAGTTGGCTTGGGGGCGAGGCGCAGGCTCCAGGAATGCCGAAACCAGCCACACACACTGAAACCGCTCGAGTGTGAGGAGAGACGTGTGCAAACGGCTCGAGGAATGCTCTAAGGCGTCTTTAGTACTCGCGTTTCAAGTTTGAACATCAGCTGACTGAGGTACATATGTACATGGAGGCCGGCGCCTACTTACTGCAGTAGCGTAGCTATAGCTTTGGCGGGGGAAGTCGCGTTAGCCGAAGTCTCTGTCAAAGCGCAGGAGTGATACGGAGAGATGGATTGAACGACTTGTCTTGTCCAACTGCGCGCTTTTGTAGCAGACCCCGACTTTGGTCCTGGGCTGTGTGCGGGCGATTGCGAGAATTTTCATCTTGACGTCTCTGGTTCCGGCCCCACAAACTCTATCTCCATCTGGATTGTGGTCTGCTTGTCGTCAGCACGCGTTCAACGACGTATGGTCTCTGACCAATGCCTGGTCGATCTAATGAGCATGCCAGACGACGTAATCATGTAAATTGACACACGACACGACACCTTGAACGTGCTGCGTCCTGAGGCGCTTTTCACATGCATGTCTTATGATAGTAGTATTACTTAGTACTACCATCATTGTTTGCTCTTGGGTGGTCATCGACGACGCGTCTGAGCCACGTTCCCGAACTCTTCCAGTCTGGCATAGCCCGCACGCGTCCCAGTAAACCCCTCATCACGGTACATCACGCTTTCATGCTTTAGTCTTCGCGCGACTAGTGGACTACTCGAGCCTGTGTTGCGCACTGTTAGCACCATACTGAGACATGTGAAAGCCGTCCCACCTTTGGATCAAGTGCACGCCCGAAGCCGTCTCGACCATGCCGCTCACCTGGCCCTTCTCCAGGTCAAAGGCAGCCTGCTCGAACTCCTTCTGCATGTCGCCCCTGCCAAAGAAGCCCCTGGTGACGTTAGTGTTTCTCCCGACGTCTTCAGCGTCGCAACTTCTTACAGATCTCCTCCCTTGCGAGCGCTGCTGCAATCTGACTCGGTGGTTGCAAGCTCCGACAGAGATTTGGCGTTAGGGTCCTCCTTTCCCTCCTCGTAGGCCTGGATCTGCTTGTGGTAATTCTCGATCATCGTCCGCGCTTCTTCCACTGAGCGCGTAATCTTGGGTTCCCGCCAACTAGCCGGGCGTCTGCTGTCGCGATGCTTGACAAGGAGATGGGCGCATCGGATCTTGCCCTCAGTACCTGCGACGGCTGCCGGTGCGACGCCCTTGGAGCTGTGGTTGGCAGCCATGTACGCCTTCAGCTTGTCTGGGTTTGTTCCCTGTGGTGGTTCCCATCGCGAGTCTTTTGTCTGGGCGTGGAAGTAGTATGGGAGGTTCTTTGTGTTGGAGCGGCGCACCTCCCATCCTTCAGGGAGTCCAGTCTCGGCGGACGACTGCAACGCGTGAGTTGGTGCATAAGGTAAGCTGGATTGCGAGGCGCGATGCTTACCATTTCTGCTAATGTTGTTTCTGTAAAAGTAGAATGGAGTATGCTATGGTAGAGCGCAAGTAGTGCAGAGCTTGATAGGAGTCTCCGCACGGTTGTTATACGGGCAGCGTGGAGCGACGTCTAGAATTGCAGGCGGTGGACAAGGCGATCGGCGCTTCAAGGTCATAATGCGGGGGCGCCTTACAAACAAAGAGCGCGGCTCTGCACCACAGCAACAGCAGCCGAATCAAGACGGGTGGCCCGCGCTCACCAACGTGACTCTGCGCCGACTCTGACACTGACGTCTCTTTCGCGATACACTTTTTCTCGACTTTTCTCGACACGCGCAATAATACGACCGACACGACTGCACTCGCTACACGAGCACACACGAATTACGACCTTTGCACCCACCACATCCGCACCCAACATGGCGTCTCCAGCAGCACAGATGGGAGGCTCCAAGGGCGGCAAGGAGCCCATTCTCTTCCGCTTCTGCTCAGAATGGTGAGCAGCCTGTCGAGGTCCCCTGCGACAAAGATTACCGCTGACCAAGTGTAGTTCCAACTTGCTGTTCCCCCGCGAAGACAAGTCCGAGAACAAGCTGCTTTTCGCCTGCCGCACATGCAGCTTCACCGAAGAAGCGCCCTCATCCTGCGTTATGCGCCACGAAATCGCGTCCACAGTCGGAGCCACAGCCGGTGTCACAGCCGAGGTTGCTCAGGATCCCACGGTTGGTTACTCCCTGTCCGATGCCCAAGCTGCCCAGGCCGCTCTTTCTGAGGAGATGCCCTGCTGCACCATGTGTGGCATGCCCATCATGTGCCAGGAGTGCGGCGAGGAATCGGCTCCTGGCTTTGCGCTGGAGGCCGAGGACGAGGACCCGCAGGCAGAGCGTCCCCAGCAGGAGATGCGCGAGGAGGATGAGATGTTTGAAGATTACGACGACGATTACGATGAAGACATGTGGGACGAACCCACGTCTTGAAAGCGCCCCCTGCGTCTCCCACCAGTACAGTTGCTTGCTTGCTCTTGAGCGTGCTCGCTGACTGTACCCGTGTCTAGTTACCGCGTATCCAGAAGCAATGCACAGAGTGCGGCGAGAATGAAGCCGTCTTCTTCCAGTCGCAGCAGCGGACCGCCGAGACGGGCATGGTAAATATTCCGGACAAGTTCACGAGCTATCCTGACTCTCTTAGGCCCTTTACTACGTTTGCGCCGGATGCGGTCACGTCTCGCGCCCGTCCGATAGCTAGGAGGACGAAGATATGAATGCATGTAGCTGGCGTTTATTCTCACAACATTTACTGCGAGGAGTTCAGGAAAAAGCGATCTTCAGATACCCGTGGGTATAGTTTAGTGGCATACACATAATGTTACATTCCAAAGCGCTCCATAGACTCCCAAAAATGCATCTTTCACCCCACGGCCATGCCGTCATACGTGTATTGGACCACCCACATGTCATTACACGTGCATGGGCGCCAGCGACAAGATCTTTGACCACTGCTTCTGCCTCAGTTCCGCCGCAACGACACCACTGACTCTGGACCCAATAGGTTCGCCGGCCTTGTTGATCAGCACGCAGGCATTGTCGTCGAACTTGACTACACTGCCGTCCGGTCTCTGCCACTTCTTCGCTGTCCGTACTACAACCGCGTGTCGTACATCTCCTCGTCGTACCTTGTTCGCTGCGCTGATGGAGACGCTGTTACCGGTTTCCGGACCGAAATTTCGCTGCTTCTTTACGACTACTACTATGCGGTCGCCTGCTTCCATCAGCCTTTGTTGCGAGCATGACTCCTCTGCGACGGTGCACTAGACGTACCGACTTTCGCGGGGCGTTTCGATCGGAGGACGTTGACACATTCGACTATGGCGGCGCCTGAGTTGTCGATGCAATTTACGAGGGTCTAGAAGGGCGGATATCAGTCCTTGCTCTGCCGCCTTGATCGCCGGATTCGGCACACCTTTAATTGAATCATCTTGAGTGCCTTGTTGTGAAATTGCGATTACGACTGCCTGCCAAGATGCGCGCTGTTTGTGGTTGTGCAGTGGGGTGGTTGTCTAGGTCGGCAGCATCAAAGTTGCAAGTCGTAGTGTCGGGCTTTCTCTGGCAGTTCGGCGGCTTGCGCCGTCACCCCAGTCTTCTCGCTTATGCTTTCACCCCAGCGCAAGTGCCTATGCGCGTCTCCATAAGCAGGGCGGCTGAGTACAGGGATATTGAGCGCCGCGAGCCTTGTCGAGGTCACTTACTCCCGCACATACTCGTCGGGTGAGCGGTTGCGCCCGTCGCTCTTTCCTCTCCTTGCGCGCATCGCTGCTATTGTCTGGGGCGCTCCCTCTCCTTTTCGTGTCCCTGTTATTGTACTTTGACGGTGAATGCGTTGTCGCTGCGTTCCTGGCTACAAGAACGTCAGTCAGCCCTACCAACCACCCCTTTAATCACGAAACCCTACGACTCCTCACGATCTCCACGACCCACGGCCGCTGGCGCATACACCCTCGACCTCATTTCACCACCGCGTCACGCGATCATGGCGCCTTCAACGAAACTCACGCTGGACAAGCTTGCCACCTTCGACGACATCATCACCGACGCGCTTGTCGACAAGCTGTACTTCTGGGCTAAGATTCGCAAGAACAGAGGCGGCCGATTCACGGGATCAAGAGGGCTACACGAGGAAGACGTTGCCGACATCATCCGGCAACACGTTGTCTGGGAGAAAGACCCAGCCGAGGCAGTGCACAAGTTGTTGCAGTTGCCAGGACTGCGCAGGTTCGTGAACAGTCTGAAGGACGAGCGGGACCAGGACCAATTCAGGCGACATCTCCGGAGATACGTCAACATCTACATGTCAGATTGCCAATTTGAGGTCACTACCACCAACCGCTATATGATTACCGAACACGAGGCTTCAATCACCGCGCGAAGAGACATCAACCCCCGCGAGGAAATCAAGTACTTGACCGGAGTGCAAGTGGCAATGACAGAGGAGCAAGAGAAGGTGTTGGAGCTGGCGCGCAAAGACTTCAGTTTGGTGATCTCCAGTAGGAAGAAAACGCGCTCGTTGTTCCTAGGCCCCGCGCGCTTCGCCAACCACGATTGCGACGCCAACGCAAAGCTCACAACCAAGGGCTACGATGGCATGCAGATTGTCGCAGTGAAGCCCATTCTTGAAGGAGAGGAGATTACAGTCTCTTATGGCGAGGATTATTTTGGTGACGATAACGAAGAGTGCTTGTGTAATACTTGCGAAAGTCTCCAGCAAAACGGCTGGGCGCCCATGAAGCGTGTTGAACTCAACGACGGCGAGAACGAAGATGAGATGCAGGTCACAGACGAAGTACATACAGACGACACCGCCTCCGAAACTATCTCTTCTTCCGCCAAGAGGCCACGAGTTGACTCTACAGAAGAGGATCCTTCGCGCGACTCGACACCAGCCCCGAAACGTGCAAGATTCGAGCAAAAGAGTTCACCAAACAAGCAGCACACATCCAATCTCCTTCGGAAAACGACGCTCAAGAAGGCACATAGCACATCGTCGTTGCGCCAGGAACTCCCAGTGTCGAGTGTCGAAGACCCGGCGACCAGCTTGGAGGAATCGCCAGAAAAATCGCACGAGAATCGCAACCAGCAGCATGAGGGCCTTCTGACAGTAAACACGGATTTGATCAGCTCGTCACGGGAACCGTCCCCACAGTCATCTATAGCGGCGGCCTCACCCAAGTCGACTCATTCGTCTACAGATGCTACATCGATAGACGAAGATCATGCACACGAAGTTAGCGATCACAAGGAGAAGGTCGATCCTCAGACGATACAAGATCGCCCAGCGCTTGGGGTGGCCATAGTGAAGGAGGAAACTACTACGACAACGGTAAACGCCCCGTGGCCCTCCCCGCCTGCAGACGAAGACGCATACATGTCCGATCTCAGCGAACTTTCTGAGAGCTTCGAATTTGACAACGTGAACCAGCAGATTGTCAAGCGCAAGCCTCGACCTACCCTACGCACGACACGTTCCAAATCGCGCTTCGACGTTCAGAACCGCGTCGGGACGCCGATCACGATCGAAGAGGGGGACGAAGCCGATTATGTCGAGAATACACGAAAGCCAGGTGACTACATGACATCAAACGCTCTTCTCTCAGCCAAATACTCCAAGTGGGTTAATTGCCAAACATGCGACACAGATTTCGTTCAGCAGGACGGCTACAACACGCGTAAAGAGTGCCCACGATGCGAACGCCACTCGAAGCTCTATGGCTTTCCCTGGCCCAAGACTGAAAGAGAAGGCAAGCACGACAAAGAGGAGCGCATTCGCGACCACCGCACTGTTCATCGCTTCGTCGACCCGGATCAAGAGCGCCAACTGAAGCGCGATAAGACTAAGAAGGTCATCCGAGAGCATATCCGCGAACGCTTTTCAACACCGAGGAGTGCGAGGGATACCATGAGCTCAAGTATAGAGGTTGATAGTGGGAGAAAGAGGAGGCGTGTGAGGAAGACAATGTAAACTCGTTGATCTTCCAGGCAGCATACATTTGGTCATAAGACAAGAGAGTAGATAAAGAGGAATCTTGTACACTACAAGGCTTCGACATGCGTTCAGGCATAGGCCTTGTGCACACACGATTGCGCTGAAGAGAGGGGTATAGCGACTGCTTCAGAAGAGGAGTATGCGTGCATTGTCTTCATTGTTTTGGTCTTTACTTTTGCATCAGGCGTGTACCATCTTCGCGTTATATACTTCTTTATCATCTCTACTGCATTCCGGGGGCATACACTTGCATACAAGCAGCGGCGTTATAATCAACATTTAGCATTCGGGGTAGTTGCGCTGTACGATACCATAGGATACGAGAATCACGCTATAGAACGAGACAACTCCTGATACTTCGATGCATTGTTTGCAGCTCATCAGGTCGTACAGTGAAAGGAGACTAGTAGGGGGAGAACCGTATGCGTTTGTCTATGTGCTTCCTTCTCTCAACACCAGTGACCTAACTTATTGCAAACTCTCAATCACTTCCTCACCCTCTTGTTTCGCTCAACCCCTAGCCATCGTAAGCGCTCCTGACGATATGGATATGAGATGTACACTGACTCCTTACAACCACACTTAGTATCCAACAGTATGCTAGAACAACCACGACCCAAACTTTACATAGTCTTCTACGAAAAACCAGACGATCCTTTACCGACTATACTATACCAGTCCAACAGTTTGACCGAAGCAGATCGTTACCTGGATGAGTACGTCGGGGAATTTTTGAAATCGTATCGTGTTACAGGCGGAGCGACGAGTGCTGATTGGCTAAGAAGATTTCATATAGGGGATTGGGGAGGTCGCCTCATCAGTGAGCGGGATGTGGTTGTCTGGGTCGAATGTGCGGACATTGTAGACGGATGCTTCGAGAATATCAAAAGTGGTGCAAACGGGACGGACGGAATAAGCAAGTTGATTGCTCAGCATGGTAGAGATAGGGAAGCTCCTGATTCATCCTAACTTGAAGGTCAAATCAACAACTATCTAATCACAAGCTTAGAAGACGACGTCTAGTCAGTTTGCTATTATCCTCATGCTTCGTGCCGCTATTTAAGGTCATATTTACTTGGTCTTTGTTGTAATCTTCTGACCACATCTTTGTTCTCATTCTTTACTCCCTCATGTCTGTTCAACCACCTAAAGGCTACCTCATCCTTCGGAAACTAGATCAACAAGCAGATATGGATGTACTCTACATGTTCCATGACTTGAATCTAGCATACCAATATCTAGGAGTGAACGTGGTAGGCGAGAGATACGACGTTTTGAGCAGGACTATAGATAATGGGCTACAACGGCTCCACCTTCATGATCGGTATACCTTTCGTGAGATGGATGTTTGGGTGGAGACTGTGAATATCATGGACGGGTGTTTGATGAATAATTTTGTTGGTGCAGATGGGATCAATGGCCGGGTAGAAGATTTCTGGACGCCAGTTGATCGTGAAACGTTTCAAATTAGGTTTGCAGGTTGATTGTCGTCAGCAAGTGTGACGGATATCAAGAAGAGCTTGAAGATTGATAGCAGGAATCGTGCTTAAACTATCTGACCTTGTCATAAAAGGTCTTGTCTGCTTCCAGATTGTCGTACGTGCTCTCCGTTCCTTCGAACTTGTTCCTTAAATATACGCTCCTAAATCTGCCAATACGCTCATCTTTGGCTTCGAAAACCAAGTCATCTGGATCGTGTATTTCGATCTTCTGATCTACATGAACATTTCGATCATGAGAGTGAACGTTGATGAGGCCTGGTATAGCCATTATGTGCTTCATACGCTCCTGGACTGTGGCATCGTCGGGGGAATGGAATATGAAGTAGAGTAGCTGGGTATCTGGATGGCGATAGAAGGTAAAGCTGGGCCTATCATTCGGGAGTGTCGCTGCGACATGTTCGGGGATGATGCCGTTCCTGATGTAGCTCAGTTCGAGAGTTTCGGTGGCGACGTCAACGAACTGGAATAGGTTAGCGCTCATAATGAATGTGCGTATTGAAAAGGGGTACCATACCATCTGCACGGCTGTACATGGAGTCTGTAGCTCCCTCAGTGCCTCCAGAGCTTCAGAAGAGATCTTGTTCTTCATGCGACGATCACAAAGCCGACATTTGTTCTTCCTGTATTCCACGTCTTCCAGATCACTCTTACTATGCTCAGAGCAACCACATGACTCCTTTTTATCGCATTGGATCCTTTTAGTACTCAATGAGAGAGCCTCTGCGTCTCGTTCTACCCAGGATCGAGCATCTGTGATCTCCGCAATTTCCTTGCATATAATTGAGTATGATATATACCTTGCGCCGAGTTGTTGTACGACACTGTGTCTGCGTTCGAGAAAAAGGTTTCGAAGTTCTTCCTTGGCACGGTATGGCACATATGTGATGAATGTGAGCGAGTCGCCACGGCGGAGAACGATATAGGCTGGCTTCGATGTATCGAGGTTGCTTTCAAGCTCATTCAGCTCTAGTTGAAAAGACTCATGATATTGACGTATAGGGGCATGAGCTTCGATTCTGTTGTCTACGAGATCAAGGGGAAGGGCGAAGCAGAACCTGTCCTCTATAAAGGCCCTAAAAGCCAACTCTGGGGTCATTGTTAGCAGGAATTGTTGTACGGGTTGTGATTTCTTACCAGCTGAAGTGTTGTGCATCGCTGGAATTGTGTGTTGCGTCAAGTCAGTATTGATTCGATTCAACAATAGAAGTACTGCTAGTTGAAAGGTGAGGTTGCATGGCTGCCTATTGCGGATGTCCGCCATGAGTCGCTACCAACCCGACACGCGTCTCTCATTGCGCCAGTGACTAAAACTATTCGCGGCTGGTCAAGGTGTCACGAACCAACGGATCAAGTCGATGGAGAGAGGCGCACACAAGCCCCTTGTCGAAAGGATGCCAAACGTGCGGAATTCCGCTGAGTGCGGAGCTGGTAGATCATTGCCGGCTATATTTGTTTAAGGCTTGTTTAGTAAGTGTAATATTAGTGTTTAACAGACTTCGCAACCTAGATGTTGTTGTGGGCAATGTGAAGTGGATGATAATGCAGGTGGTTGGTATCTTGGTCGCAATACCTATGATGACGTCGGTCCGCTGGTTCATGATCAAATCGCGCTAGACGCGTCGGTCGTTAACAGTCACGCCGCGTTCAACCACCGCTCCAGCTATTGCCATACTATCGCAAGGCTATCTTTGCGTGCTTTGAATACGGGACAGGGACGCGACATCCAATCTGAGTGAGATGCTGGACTATTGCATGTGCTGATCTCCTGTTAGGCCTTCCGCAAACTGGGGCACCGGAAGATGCGCCAATCGAGACTGGTTCTGGGGACACTGATTTCTCTCTCCCGGATTGAGTTTGCAATACTGCTGAACAGGGAGAGTTCAGGTGCGGTCGGAAGAACGAAAAACAAGAGTTGCATCAATGTGTCCTATCGTTACATTTTGCTTTAGAAACACCACACTATCTATATACATTCCTATGTTTCTTCTCATGCGCAACCTGTCCGACTCTTTAGCATTTCCGCCACTCTAGCTTCCAAGCAGCGTGTTTGAAATCATACGTCCCAAAGTCACCTTGGATGACTGGTCTGAAATTGACATTTAAGATACCGGGGTTTCCGTCCGTACCAGTGCACTTCGACCACTTAAGGTCCGCAGTGCTGCTTCGTACAGTGATGTAGTCTTTGATCTCAGGACCCGCGCATGTAAGACCGCCGGTAAGTACGCCCTACAGATGATCAGCATGTTATATGTCCTGCCGAAATCAACAAACTTACAGTATTCCCAGCATTCTCACTCCAGAAGACCTGCGTGTACGTATCCAGCCCACTGTTTCCCTTCAAGTTGACATCGCCGACATAATCAACCTGTCGGACAGCGACCTGCCAGCCGGAACTAGCCCCGGCCGACTCAATGTGCACAGCACAGTTGTCTGTTGAGTCGCCCTTGAGTTGCGTGAAGGAGACGCCGGCGGTGTCACTGAGAGTTGCGCTATCTGTCTTGACGGAACCCGAGTCATTAGGACATCCTGAGCCAGAGAAGACGATGCGCGTTATTGTTGGAGAAGAAGGTGGGGCGGCGAGGGCTAAGAGCGGAAGGGTGGCGAGTGAGAGTAGGGACCGCATTGGTGGCGATGGGGGTGAAGTCTAAATTGTTATACTGATGGTGCAGCGATGTTCGAAGCGCGATACGGGTCTCTAAGTCAAATGATGATGAGCTTGATGGGAGGTCATGTGTATGTACTCGATGTGTTCTTGCGACGATCGTGATTCTGTTCTCTTCTTATATGTCCTGCGCCTAGTCTAGCTTCGCTGCTGCCGTCTCAAGCTTCTTCACGAGATCTGCATCATATCTAGATCAACACGAATTCTGGCCACCGTATAGCACTCTGCCATCCCTTTACTACTAATATCCAATAGCCGTTCCGTCCACTCTCGACCGCATACTATGCATATTTACCCATATTAAGCGAGCCGCAACCCAGGCCTAATGACCCTCGTCTCCGGTATCACCAGCATCAAGGACAGCGTGTTTGATATTCGGTTGGACTATTCTGGGCTTCCCCGCAATATCGTAAAATGAGGATGGTTGGGCTTCTGGAAGGGCGAGATCTGCGGTGCATTTGGCCGGGTGGCGATCATGGTCGCGATTGACTGTATTAGGAGCCGAGAAATAGATTATATGAGCAGAGGGTTTCCTTGTGTAAAAAGGGTCTTCGTATTAGACATTTGAGGGCTGATCTTGAGGTTTGCAAGCAATGTGACGCTCGATGTTTATTTACCAAACTCACTGTGGTTTTGTAACGTGATTGGTGTGCTCAACAGGAAATCTGTTTGAAAGCTATCGAGCTATCGACGGATGATTAGGACCATGCGATGCGCTTGCATCTGGACAATGGCATGCTTGGAAACTGAGTAAGATAATTCGAAGCTTTACGAGGCGTTTCACTACTCGCATTTAGCAGGACTATTGCGCATTCGTGTCTTCGGGCCAAAATCTCTCTCATTCACCTAACGGCCTCACGCTCCTACACTGTCCAATTCCTATAGGTTCAGAATTGATAGAGGTAATCGACTTCATCATCTTCGGAATACGAACGTTGCACGAGCCAGGAAGAGTGCGCGTTGTCAGATGTTGGACAATCGGCGTGATGGGCACGGGGACACCGTCTCATCAATCCTTGTCGACGCTAACATAAGCGAGTGACCCGCGACTTCCCGCTGCGCTGGGCCCCGTCTCTCCTCCATGCCCAGAAGTCATGCTTGAACCTCGGAATCTCATCTCGATATGCGCAGGACGCTCAGAAGATCCTGCGATGCGTGTGCGAGATCCAAGTTGAGCTGCGATCTTCGCACACCTCAATGCTCACGATGTTTCAAGAAGAAAACCAACTGTGTCTATGCCAACGAGCCGCTTACCTTGTCGCCCCCCGAGACTACATACTCTCATAACGCAGATGTCGTCCAGAAAGAATCTTTCTCCTCCCCAGTACTATGGGTTGATCCCGGAAGTCAAGCTTTCGATCCGTTCGACGCCCATCCAACAACAAGACTACCTCGGGCTCGTGTGCAGCAACTGATCATGCACTGTAAGTAATGAAGTCATGCTGGCGCAGCTACCATACTCGCGCTATGAAGATGCTGCATTCAATCTTGTGCATCTTCTATCATGACTGACCAAGGCTAGTCTTGTCAAACATCGCCTTTCAGTACTATCCATTGGATCTCAAACCAACGTCCAACCCGTTCGTTGTGTCGTGGTGGCCTCTTGCATTGCAAGACCCAGCTCTCTTCCATGTCAGCCTCCAGACTGCATCCTTAGATATTGAGCTGAGAGCTCAGAAAGGCTTCGAGAACTCAGAAGTCCTCATGGCAGATTCTATCTCGTTGGTTCGGCGACGGGTCAACGACCCGCTATTGGCTTCTCAAGACGAAACTATGGATTCGGTTGTTACACTTGCAGCTATAGAGGTATGCTGGTTTTCTGGACCCAGATACTCATTGCATGTGATCGGCTGACATCTGGCAATATAGTATGGTAAAGGTAACACGACAGTCGGTAGTATGCACATTGATGGCGTTAAGGAGATGGTACGATTGCGAGGAGGAATACATCTTTTGAAGATTACAAGCCCTCTTACGGCACGCATGGTTGCTTGGTAAGTTATTCAGCTGCTTTCCCGCCCTCCGTGCATACTATACTGATCCTCACTGCTAGGGTTTCCATGATACTTAAGCAAACTCCGCAGTTCAAGGTACAGGATAATTTACACCTTGGTGACGGAATAGCACCAATACCTCAGTGGCTCGACTTACAAGCCATCTCTCGAGATCAGCTTCCATCCGGCTTTCTTAATCTCGAGCTGGATCCTTCTATCAGGGACGTATTCCTGCGACTGCACCATCTATTTCACGTAACACATGAGCACAAGCTCTCAACTACGGATCTCCATGATTTGACATGCTACATCCTACACAAGCTTTTGGCCTGGTCTCCGGACACATCACAACCTGGGAACCCAAGCTTGATTTCGACATCTCGCTGCATTCAATATGCTACAGCACTGTATATGCTCATCGTTCACGGACCAACTTACTTCTCGCACATGCATCTGCAGTCCTCCTTGGTCATGGAACTCAAAAGCAATCTCGGAAGTCTTCCACCCACATCGGCGATTTTACATGGACCTCTGGCTTTGTGGATTTTGACCGTTGGAATGGTCGCATCACAGGACGCGTTGACGTGTGCCTGGTTCACTACGAAAGCTATGCCTATTGCTCGTGACTTAGAGTTGTATTCATGGGATGGAATTTCTCAATGCATCAAAGGCGTGCTTTGGTACAAGACACAGCATGCGGAAGAACAATCTCGACGGCTATGGGAGGAGGCTTTGAGTATCATATGATAACGCTGCTAGCGAGGCCTCTGGAGTACAGTGCATAGCCGAAAATCGACACGCCCTTCTTCGCCATCTGTATACCAACTTACGGTTGCTGCACCATGGGAAAGCACACATGGCACTCCTCACGATGAACGCCAGAGTGTACGTAACGGTCAGAGCTAAGGGCGCGGAATTTCCTCGTTACATGTGGTACTCATCCCTGTTAGATCAAAAGGAGATTAGCTGTGGGCCTTACTATTCGGAGACTAAGCCCCTTTCGTCGATCGTCCTTCTACGGTAGCGATTCATTTCTGTGAGCATGTCAGATGCGGGACTTCCTCGCAGTCGGCACTTCTGTCCTTCTCCGGCTAACAGTCTAGGGAAGTGCAGCAGCTTCCACCGGCCTAAGAACATGAAGGGAGCGGTCAGTCGAGGATAATGCCATTGGTGTGAGTACATGAGCAATTGTGATTGTTTGACGCTGACTTTTAACAAGAAGCAATGAGAAGTGAGACTAGCTCAAAGCGTTATACTACATCTTGTATATAGTTCATTGGTGTTTCTTTAGCAAGCTTAACATTGGTACGGAATACACGTGCAAAGCTTGCCGCTAATCATGCCATTCAGTGTCTGTTGAAGCAAAACGCTAATCATCTAATCCGAATCAGTGTATTGATGAGATAACTGCCGTTGCAATATTGTACAATACAATAGGTCTATATACTCGCTTCCCAATCCATCACATGACTCATTGAGTGACCCGAATGTCAGAACCCCACGTGAACTTCGTTCGGAGCCGTCTCATGTAAGCACATGCATACAGAAGTAAGATTGATGATCCCATTGTGAGCATCGCTATCGTTACCGCCGTGCGTGGTACACTAGTTGCACGTTGTTCCGTGATGTTGAGCGACGGGAGATAGGCAGCTATCAAGGGGATTCTAATCGGCCGATGTCTACCGTTCCATGACGTAAGCATTCCCAAGTTTGTCTCGCATCAGCTCTCGGCATGCTCTCACAGTCGCGATCCACAAGGAAAATGTATCTTTTATGAAGTCGCACCTAGATAGCGACCGTGCTTTGTCGCAATGATGCGTAAATCCGCAAAGTAGCTCATACAATCTACTGCATGATTGTCGCCTGAATTTTGTAGCACGTAGTGTGCTTTAACCAAAGGGTGTTCCCTGTGTCCATGGCTTGACATGCCGCCCAGCGAGCGTAATTGCGCTAAGCTCGGCCATATACTTTTCGGCCACATATACTTCTCGGCCACCCAATCAAAGCAGCCACACAATACAAAGTCGCGATTTTGGTTAACAACAACGATTATATTTGCCACTCAGTATACATAGAGTTAAGAGTACGTGCTGCTGCTGCTTCTGCTGCTTTTTGAGCCTTATTCTCTAGTGAAGTGCTTGCCTGTTAAGCCTGTTGAGCTGCTGCTCAGTTAATAGCAGCCTTAATACTCTTAACGTTACTAAACCGCTAATTTAGATTAACTTAAACTCGCTTTCTTACGCGTGTAACTGTAGTACTATGTAGTTAATATTTAAGTCGTTGATTTTCAGCCTTAAGCTGAGCTGCCCTAGTATTAGCTTCTGTAATAGCCTTGCCTGCCTTGCCAAGCACAAGCCAGGTGCTTCGTGAGAGGGATTCTAACAACTCTAGCTGTTTTTGAGCCTTATATAAGGCTTGTGAGCTCCAAGGTGTAGTAAATAGTAACTCTAGGGTAGCTGACGCCTGGCTGGTAGGTGGAGGAGTAACTGGTCGGCCAGTTACTTGGGATGATAGCAGTACAAGGCCTGAGTTGTATAGGCAGAGGCCAGAAGCCCTCTAACCAGCTCGTATTACACGATCTAACAGGGCTTCTTCTCTTGCCTTGTTGTATGACACAACAAAGCGCTCCTTCTTAATAGGTGCTGCGTCATTAAGGGCAGAGAGAGCTTGGATCTTATTACGGTACCTGCTCTTGAGTACTGAGAAAGGAGCAAGATCTAGCGGCTGAAGCAGGTGTGAGGCGTGAGGCGGAAGGTATAGGAGGTGGATCTTGTTCACCTTGCAGAGCCACATGAAGTCAATCGGTATATGGGAGCTATGGCCATCGAGTACAAGTAGACGATAGCCGCTAGAGGACAGTAAAGTGTTTAGTATAAAGATACGCCGCAACCATTTATATCTAATTAAGTTTGATGTCTATCCATTCTCTAACGTTGTGTAGAGCTAATTAGGTGTACCTTGTGCGGGCAACTACGTTGATTGTAGATGTTTGCCCTTAAAGATAACTAGGCATTAAAGTTTAACGCCGACGGCTGAGATAGTCTTAATAATTAATACCTACTCACGATTCTCTGGAGATTTGATATAAGCCTTCTTCTTTGAAGAACTGGCAACCACTTAGGAGTTCGTACATACCTCTAGTGTAACTCCAGTCTTATCCATATTCTATATATCCTCATACTGTATGCCTAGCTCTATTCGAGTACGCTCAAACAGCTCAAGAAATGCTTAAATAGTCTCATAGCTAGCTGCCGTAGTCCGTGCGCTCTCGATCGTTCGGCCGACTATAGAGGCGACGCGTGGGTTGCGGGCGATGAAATGGGGTATCCATAGTTGCCCGAGAGGCTCGTAGTCGCCGTTCATGCGGAGGAGCCGGGTGGCCATTTCTCGTACGCGTGGATGGGAGGGAGGTTGTGCGCGTGAGTCCTCATCAAGTATCTAGTCTACTAGAAAGGCCTCTTGTTCTAGAGTTAATCGCTGCTGCTGTTGATGAGCTATCGCGTGTGGTTGGCGGCCCTTCATGCGCTCTTGTAGCGACGATCGGGGAACTCCGTACGCCTGCGCGGCCTGTCGCTGGCTTCTAAAAATACTAGCATTAAGATCGCGAATAGCATTATTAAAAGCAACTTCTCGGGGATCTATGTTGAGTGTGTGGCGTTGACAGTATAGAGCGCCAGATTCAGAGTAACGCGTTGTGGTGGGGTGGCCGAGAAGTATATGTGGCCGAAAAGTATATGGCCGAGCTTACTTAGGTAAGAAAGGTCTTCAAGCACATGAAAAAAGCACGCGGGTGATTACTATTCGGTACATTATTAAATCTCGCGCGACAACGGATCAGGAAATAGACACGATGTATTTACCATAAGCACGTCCGTAAGCCAAAGAATAGGCACCACAGTAATCGGACCCCCGCGAATACTGGGTAGATTTCCAATCTGTTTTAAGGCGCATAGTCGGGGCTAGATACAGGGCGGCGCGTTGATCCTCCGACTCTCGTGGCCGTACCCAACGGCCCGAATAGCGCGAAAAAGTACATTCGTCACTTCAACCTTAGCCTTACGGCCGTACTCTCCAAATACTGTCTACGCAACAAAGATATGCGGTTTGACGTCCCTCCGGCCAAGCGATTCGCAAGATGGCGCACGGAGTATTTTCAGATCTATGACAGAGATAATGTAGATAGTACAATCTGGCATTTGGCTATATGGATGGGCAGTTCTGGCCTCTCTCCAGTTTCAAGCATCAACTTTTCACTATCTCGTCTTTCATACCACCGTTTTTAGACTTTCTGTATAATAATATCAGTTCATTCTGATCAAATACCTCACATACCTCATATTGTACAATACCGAATACCCGATGCAGTCAGAAACTCCCCTTTCTGGGTCGAGTACCGAGCGTGTCGACGACGACCAAAATTCCATAACCCCCTACAAGAGTTCTCCGAACGACAGCGAAACATGGCCAATCACTCGGGAAGTCGAGATACTCAGGGAGCGTAACGAGGCAAATGGCGGAAAGCCCCGAAAGCTGGGTGTGACATGGAAGAACCTCACGGTCAAGGGCATCAGCAACGATGCCCTCTTCAACGAGAATGTACTGTCGCAACTAAATCCGTTCGGAAAGAGTGGAAAGAATGCTCCAATGAAGACTATCATTGATAATTCATATGGATGCGTGAAGCCCGGAGGTATGTCGCATCTACATTGAGAATATGGAAGGAAGAGCAGTGCTAATACATCGCAGAGATGCTCCTTGTCCTGGGTAATCCGGGAGCCGGTTGTACATCACTGCTCAATATCCTATCAAATCACCGGTTAGGTTACGCTGAGATCGAGGGCGACGTCTCCTTCGGTTCCATGTCCAGCGACGAAGCTAAGGCTTATCGTGGTCAAATAAGTACGTATTATCAAATGATGCGACACTGTGGATGCTAACCTGAACGCAGTTATGAACACGGAGGACGAGATCTTCTTCCCTACCATGTCTGTGGGCGCTACCCTTGACTTCGCGACGCGTATGAAGGTCCCCTACAACCTTCCACCTGACATCGCAACCCACGAAGAATACGCCAAGGTGTACAAAGAGTTCCTACTGAAATCTCTCGGTATTGAGCACACGCATGATACCAAGGTTGGAGACGAGTACATCCGTGGTGTGTCCGGTGGTGAGCGAAAGCGGGTTTCCATCCTGGAATGTCTTGCTACGCGCGGCAGTGTCTTTTGCTGGGACAACTCTACCAGAGGTCTCGATGCTGGAACAGCATTGGATTGGACAAAAGCTATGCGTGCCATGACCGACATACTCGGATTGACTACTATTGCAACCTTGTATCAAGCTGGCAACGGCATCTATGAGCAGTTTGACAAGGTGCTCATCCTCGATGAGGGCAAGCAGATCTACTATGGCCCGCGGGAAGAGGCTGTTCCGTTCATGCAAGATCTTGGGTTCCTCTGCGATCCAGCGGCGAACCAAGCCGACTTCCTCACCAGCGTCACAACCCCGGACGTGCGTGCCATCGCCGAAGGCTTCGAGAAGAGGTTCCCGCGGAACGGCGAAGAAGTACGAGCAGCGTACGAACAGTCATCCATCAAGGCCACAATGGTGGCGGAACTTGATTACCCCGAAAGTGACGAAGCGAAGCAGAACACGATCGACTTCAAGGAGATGGAAGCTCGGGACAAGCACAAGGGCCTTCCAAAGAACACCACAGTAACCACGAGCTTCTACTCTCAGGTCAAGACGGCAGTCACTCGGCAGTATCAGATATTGTGGGGTGATAAGCCTGTGCTCGTCGTAAAGCAAGTCTCTACTCTCATCCAAGCTCTCGTCGCTGGATCGTTGTTCTACCAAGCGCCAGACCACTCAGCTGGTCTCTTCCTCAAAGGTGGTGCATTGTTCTTCTGTCTTCTGTACCCTGCCTATATGGGACTTTCGGAGGTGACCGACTCTTTTACCGGAAGACCTGTCTTGGCTAAGCATCGATCATTCGCCATGCACTACCCTGCCGCTTTTGTCATCGCCCAGATTGCTACTGACATACCATTGATGCTGTTCCAGATGACGCACTTTGGAATCGTCATATACTTTATGGTCGGACTCGAGACTACTGCATCAGCTTTCTTCACATTCTGGATCATCATCTTCGCATCAGCCATGGCTATGACTGCGTGTTTCCGAATGATAGGTGCTGCTTTCCCGACATTCGACGCAGCGACTAAAGCTTCAGGCCTTCTCGTTTCAGGACTCTTCATGTACATGGGATACATGATCATCAAGCCAGAAATGAAGGATTGGTTCGTGTGGATCTTTTGGATCAACCCGATGTCTTATGGATTCGAAGCTTTGCTTGGTAACGAGTTCCACAACGCACAGGTACCGTGTGTGGGCCCTAATCTGGTTCCTAACGGACCAGGATATGTACCTGGTGAAGGCGGCCAGTCATGCATGGGTGTCAACGGCGCTCAACCCGGAGCGAGCACACTTACAGGAGATCAGTATCTTGCCTCTATGTCCTTCAGCCATAGCCATCTCTGGCGCAACGTCGGCATCATCTTCGCATGGTGGGTATTCTTCGTCGCAGTCACTATTGTCTTCACCTCAAGGTGGAAGGAGATGGGCGAAGGTGGACGTGGACTCCTCATTCCCAGGGAGAAGCAGAAGAAGAACAAGCATATCCAAGCTAATGATGAGGAGTCGCAAGCTGTTGAGAAGCCACAAGCCAGCTTTGAGTCTTCCAGCTCCGACGGATCACTCGCCAACCAACTCATCCGCAACACTTCTATCTTCACGTGGAAGAACCTTACTTACACCGTCAAGACCCCTTCGGGCGATCGCGTCCTCCTCGACAACGTTCAAGGTTTTGTGAAGCCAGGTACTCTCGGGGCCTTGATGGGATCGTCAGGCGTAAGTAACAATCTAGAGTCCCTCGTATGCGTCTTGATGCTAACACTTTTCTCAAGGCTGGCAAAACAACACTACTGGACGTTCTCGCCCAACGCAAGACCGACGGCACGATCCGTGGATCTATCATGGTTGATGGGCGCGACCTTCCCGTCTCATTCCAGCGATCGGCAGGTTATGTTGAACAGATGGACGTACACGAGTCGTTGTCCACAGTGCGTGAGGCCTTGGAATTCTCAGCTCTCCTCCGACAGTCTCGTGAAACACCACGAGAGGAGAAGCTTCGCTATGTTGACACCATTATCGACCTCCTACAACTCCATGACATTGAGCATACCCTAATCGGCCAACCTGGTGCTGGTCTCTCCATAGAGCAGCGTAAGCGGTTGACAATCGGCGTCGAGCTAGTTTCGAAGCCTAGCATTCTGATCTTCCTTGACGAGCCGACGTCTGGTCTGGATGGAGAAGCTGCTTTCACCACTGTGCGCTTCTTACGCAAGCTCGCAGAGGTCGGACAGGCGATCCTTGTCACGATCCATCAGCCGTCAGCTCAGCTTTTTGCGCAATTCGATACCCTCCTTTTGCTCGCAAAGGGCGGCAAGACGGTTTATTTTGGCGACATTGGTGACGATGCAAGCACAGTCAAGTCTTACTTTGCCAGCCACGGAGCGCCTTGTCCACGCGAGGCTAACCCTGCCGAACACATGATCGAGGTTGTCTCCGGTAGTCTGTCTAAAGACACTGACTGGAACAAGGTTTGGCTTGAGTCGCCCCAGCATGAGAAGATGACTGAAGAGCTCGACAACATCGTCGCGGAGGCCGCCGCTAAGCCACCAGGTACCGTCGATGATGGCCATCAATTCGCAGCTCCCATGTGGGAGCAAGTCAAGATCGTCACCCACCGCATGAACATCTCGTTGTTCCGCAATACTGAGTACGTCAACAATAAAGTGCTCATGCACATCCTGCTGGCCTTGCTGAACGGCTTCACCTTCTGGATGATTGGTGATAGTCTCCAAGACCTTCAGCTGCGACTGTTCACTGTCTTCAGTTTTATCTTTGTTGCTCCTGGTGTCATCTCCCAGCTGCAGCCGCTGTTCATCCAGCGTCGCGATGTTTACGAGACACGTGAGAAGAAGAGCAAGACATACCACTGGGCACCGTTCGTAACAGGTCTGATCGTTTCAGAACTTCCGTATCTGGTAGTATGTGCGGTCATGTACTATGTGTGCTGGTACTTCACTGCTGGCCTTCCTGGCGCCGCGAAGTACGCTGGCAGCACATTTTTCGTTGTGGTAAGCAAATCCCCTATCTTTTATCATCTGATGCGGACACTGACCAATCACAGCTTGTTTACGAGTTTCTCTACACCGGCATTGGACAGATGATCGCCGCCTACTCTCCCAACGCGGTGTTCGCCTCACTCGTCAATCCTCTTTTCGTCACAACTCTCGTGTCATTCTGCGGAGTACTCGTGCCTTACAGCCAGATCGAGCCATTCTGGAGGTACTGGCTCTACTACCTTGACCCCTTCAATTACCTGATGTCCTCTCTCCTCGTCTTCACCACCTGGTCTGCCGACGTCGACTGCAAGACAAGCGAACTCGCCATCTTCGATCCGGCTGCCAACCAGACCTGTGGCGAGTACCTCTCAGTCTATCAGCAGGGTATGGGCGTCGGTATCAACTTGCTCAACCCAGAAGCCACCGCCGATTGCCGCGTATGCCAGTACAAGACTGGAGCAGACTACCTGCGGACACTGAACCTAGCGGAGGAATACTATGGTTGGAGAAACGCTGCTATCGTCGTATTGTTCTCAGTGAGCAGTTACACACTGGTGTACTTGATGATGAAGTTGAGGACCAAGGCTACAAAGAAGGCGGCGTAAAGCTTTGGCGGGGAATGCGATGCATGGGAGCCGATACGGGGCGGCTTATAAGCCGGCGAGGCTGCGGCGGAGGTGGACGAGAATGTGATCAGAGAGATTTCGTAGCGTTACATAGTTGGCGTTCTTTAGACCTAGACTCCCTTTTTTACATATTGTAATACTACCACTGCTTCTCGACAAGCGCATAGAGTTGTCGAAATGTGAAGGTGTGAAACTGCCTGGATAAGACGAGCTGTCAAGCAGGGGGATTGATGACTAACCGCAGCTCGGAGCTAGCGTTGGAGCTCCAGCCTCCGCGGGCCCACACGTGTGCAATCTGCGATCGTCAATCTCCACACTCACCAAGTTTGCCAGGTTTCCATCGACGCCATGTGCACCTCTCAGCTCGCAATCTACCTAGTTGCCCAGAGTACGAGACACAGCTCATCATATATTCTTGGCGCCTAGTTACGCGTCCCCCAATGAAGATGCAAAAAGCATGAGAAAGATGGACTAATCCGACTGATAGCGCCGCGGCGTGGGATTGGCGTCTTCGACGTTGGCCCGCTGCACCGACGTCATGGTTCAGGAACGCGCAGATGTCGCGTGCGCGACGACGATGATGCTAAACTCCATGTCCCTAGCCTTTTGCTTAAGAACTAGCTGGAGCGTTGCATCATTCTGACCTGGAACCGAGATCGTGCCGATTTTCCGTTCCTCACCACACAATCACTGCGGAGCCTCCCCCAGCATCCTACCACTACAGTCAATGCAATCATGGGTGTGGCTGCAGGCGAACTTATTGTACCTTTCACGGGCGCTATCCAAGCTGCCTTCTCCGTCCTTCTGACCATCGCCTTCGGTGTTGTTGCAGCGCAATGCAATTTACTATCGCCCAAAGCGGCGAAGGAAGTTTCGAAGCTATGTGTGCGCATGTTTCTACCGGCGCTGTTGATCTATAAGATTGGCTCCAATCTGCATCAAGACACAGGCGTAAGATATGTGCCCGTCCTCAGTAAGTTCAATCCCACCATACAGTTGACAGAATCAAAGCTTACGCGGACAGTATGGTCAATATCATATACACTACTTTCTGTCTTCGTCGGTCGCCTCCTCACGCGCATCTTCAAGTTACCAGCCTGGGTCGCACCAGCCATCGCTTTCAACAACACAACTTCGCTTCCACTTCTTCTCATCCAGTCGCTCAAACAAACCCAAATTCTCGATGCTATCCTCATTGGTGGCGAGTCTGGCAGCCAGGCTATGGATCGTGCCGAGTCATACTTTCTGGTGAATGCCATGGTCAGCAACTCGCTGACGTTTGCTATTGGACCTGGTCTGCTAAGGCCGGGAGATGAGGATGCATCTGACGAACAAGAAGGAGAAGATGACGAAGATAACGGTCAGGCAAACGAGGACGGCGAGAGCAGTGATATGGAGCGAGGCCCTGAAGGAATCATCGACGAGGAGACTTCGCTACTCCCACAGCGCATAACCAAGCCCGTGAATCGCATTGAGAAGAAGGGGTATCTCAAAACACAAAAGTGGTACAATAATTTGTCGCCATGGCTGCAAGAGACTTTGAACATCACATGGCAGTTTGCCAATGCTCCATTGCTAGGTGCCATTGTCGGCGCAGTCATTGGGCTCACACCGGCTCTCCATAGGCTTTTCTTCAGTCCTAGCAACGAGGGCGGATACCTCAATGCTTGGCTTACGACCGCTATAAAGAACATTGGCGAGCTCTTTGCTACGACCCAGATCATCGTTGTCGGAGTAAAGCTCAGCAAGAGCATGCTGCGAATGAAGCGCGGTGAGGATAGTGGTGAAGTTCGCAAAGGAAGTTTGGCAATTGTCACCTTGATTAGGTTCATCATTTGGCCCTTGTAAGTTTCGCCGTGGCCATAGTAAGATCATCCGGCTAATTACCAATAGGATAAGCATACCCTTGATCTGGGTAGTCGCATCGAAAACAAAACTTCTCGATGCAGACCCCATGCTTTGGTTTTCGATGATGTTGATGCCTACCGGTCCTCCCGCTATGATCTTAGTAGCCCTGACCGATGTCACGGGCGCAGCTGAGTCGATGAAGATGACTGTCGCCAAGTTCCTTACCATTAGCTACGCAATAACGCCAATGATCTGCTTTGCTGTCGTCGGAGCTCTGAAAGCTACGGAAGCCGCGATCGAGCACATGTAAGCATGCTCTTCTCCAAAACCTATCGTACGTTCGGTTTCAAATTGCAATACATCAAGTCTACTTATCATCTGATTTTTCTGCTGTCGTCGTAAGCTTTGCGTAAGCCATGATCTTTGATTTCCTAGATTCGTCCGAACAAGATAGTATGGTATCGACCCTGTGGATGTGCACAGCCTTCGTATAGCGTTCACTAGATCCTTCTACCAGGGACGTGCGCATATACGGTAGATACGGTATGCTGACCTTCGATTCGGGCCGTTCTAATCTGCATGAATGAGAAATAGTGGGCACGGAAAACGAAGAAGCACAGGACGGACAAAAGTACTGATCTACGAAGACATGAGGTGTACCCACATTTCTGTCATGTCCTTTCTTTGTAGAAGGCTTACACTATGGAGTACGAAATTATTCGAATCATGTGGCTGTTTGTATAATCTTGCTGAAGCATAGAGCTGCATCTTTCTCAGTTGAGAATAAGCTGCTCAGTTGTTGTTGCGCCTTTTCATCACATCCAAGGCTTCTGCCAGGCTAGTCGTCACGAACGGTTCCACGCCCTGTTCGCTATTCGTCGCTGCATGCCGGGCCGTTGTTCGCTTTCGACGATGATCTATCACACTATGGTAAGAGTGTAGAAGTGCCCGCCAGAGGTCTTTGAAACTCAAAACGTGAATGATGGCCTTGGTCCAATGCATCTTCCTCGGCAACATGACCGAGTCTTCCTGCGGTGAAAGTTCCATCGCTTCGTCATCTCCGTTGCGACTCTCGCGGATACCATTCTCTTCTGAGTTATCGACTGCCTTGTACGTCTGAAATACGTCATACGGGTATGCATATAGATGGAGCATCGAGACCAGTGCCATTTCGAAGCACAACACAGTTTTTGGGATACCGACAGCGAGGGAAGGATATGAGATCTTGTCAGTCGGACTCATTGCGCCGCCTTTCTTCGTGAGGTGGCTGAATATGAACTGTATATGTCAGGGCCTTCTGTGCTATCAGGCTGCGCGGTCAAGTAACTCACGCTCTGTACGTAGAAGAGGAAGACCACAAGCTTGATCGCTACGAATTTCAACAATGGTCGATGAACAGCGAGCTCGAGCTTAGTTTGCTTGTAAAATTGCAAAAGGCAGATCATAGCAATGATAAGTGAGATGATCTCGATAACCTGTATCTATGTCGTAGATGTATTAGCATCGATCTAGAGATAACTCGTTCAAGTTGGCTACACACCCATATCCTAGCATGATTTGGATCGGTGGAAGTCTTGCAGTAAACGTCGAGAGCTTCGGTGATGCATTTCGTAAGAGCGCCAAAGAACTTTATGACACAAAACTGGAGGATGCAAACCCAGATGATCTGTTAAGTAGTGGGATAAAGTGTCAGAAATACTCCATACTGGGTGACCATCTGGTCAAGACTTACGCTGAAGTATTTGGAGCCATTAGGCGTATTGGTCGTCTTGCGCCGAAGCACGTATTTCCTAAACATCCGTACCGGGAGCACCCATGGCTGGGGCTCAACGATGGAGAAGAGTTGTCGCACTGAATGCAGGTCTGTATGAAGATATCTGCAGAGCAGCAGGAAGAATGAAGCGATGACGAGTGACTCGTAAAATTCGTATATAGCGCCTAGGTAGACGCTAGACTCGTAGAAAGGGATGCTCAAGGTGCAGCAAATGGTATATATCGGTACCATGAGCACGATGCGGATGATTCTATGAAGCTGTGTCAGTTTCTCCCGTATAGGGTAGGGGAGGGCAGCTTAGAACGCACAGTTTCTGCAACTTCGGCTGCGTGTAGTTTGTCAGGTGGCGATAAACTAGATATAGCGAAAGGGATATTGCGATGATCGAGCTTGCGGTAGCTATCGTGATAAGAAGCTCATGCGCCGTCATGTTCCTAAACAGTGGCTTCTCATGAACTACTTGAGATCAGTTGACAGTTGATGAATGGAGAGTTTTGGTGGGCATACCTCCTACGCCTAGAGGGTTATCGCACTTTGCCATCTTGTGTAATATGCAGTCAAGGTTGGTCGGTACTTGCAAGTGGGTGATTGCAGTCAATGGTTTGATGTAAGATGGGGAACTGTGAAGGCATTTGTTGCTCAAGTCATACGTTTCCAGCGTGCCAGAAAAGTGCTATAAAACCCCCTCGGAAGCTTTCCTGCATACACAGCCATTGTGGACTCACGCGTACTTGCTTGGCTATTGGGGCTGAAGTGCACCAAGCGAAGTGATTGCAATATCCCCGCTGCGACATAGTTCAGCTGCGCTTTTCCGTGAGATTCGGCCGAAAAGATGTTTTCGAGCCTCCACGATTTTACCCTATCAGAAGGGCTTCTGAGACCTTGTCGGAAGTACGGTCAGTGCGCAATACGGGCCGTTCCTGACATGCTCTTGGAACGCCAAGCCATGAATACCAAATTGTGCCTTGGGGTCGCGCTCTTCTGGTGCTTGGAGTGCCAAAGTTTGGCATTTGCCAAGCGATACGATCCTGGGGTTGACAACGATGTCAGCGCTACGTGCTCGGCCGAGGGCTTCTGCCTAACTGTGGGCTACACCGGGAAAGCTTGGAAGCCGGACGAATGGTCGGTATCGACTCGAATAGATAGCATCATGTCATTGTGTTATAAAGCTGCGAGGTCTCACATCAGATCAAACAAACTTACCGCTCAATGTCACTTCAACGGTGCTATCGAGGAGACTAACCGAAGAGCGATCTGATGTCGTACTTGGTTAATGTCTCTCAATAGCTCTTCTGAACGAACACTATGCGTACGCAGCTCTGATCCCATTGCATTGAGTCCCGATGAATACTTCAAACGAGACGCATTCGGTCGCTTCTCTGCATACAATCGAGCTTCGCAAGCAAGCTACATTCCATCTCTCAAAGCGAATGAAGTCCAATTCGCATTATTCCGTCTCTTGCTGGAGTAAGGATAGAAAGAAGTTCATCAAAATCTGGCTAGAGATAACCGATATACCATCTAGCCAGTGCTTTCGTCCGGCTTCGGTCTGAAAAGTGGATTACAGTGCAAGTCTGACAAGAGACAAAAGACTTGGCGCAAACATAAATTCGGATGTTTGTAACCTTACATTCAGAGCCAAATACACGTTGCATTATCGATAGGCACCTGGTCGAGGTCTTTGGACATTCAAGTCGATCAGTCTCCTTCTGGCGGCGAATGTCGCACCTTCCTATCGAGGCTAAAGGCCGTTGCGGGGTACCCTATGGATATGGTGCTAATAAAGATAGCTACCTTTGATGGTACTTCACTTCGCGAATATAAACTTCCTTTTTCTGAACAATTGCTACTGGATACCTCCTCGTTTCTTAGTGCTCTCGTCATGAAGATACTTGCTCTCCTGCTCCCCGTCGCGTCATTCACGCTTGCGCATCCGTCATCTCCAAAGCCTCTTTCATGGGAGATTACACCTACCAACAGTCAACAGCAGTTTCGCGGCCTCTCACCTGTTAACGAAAAGGTTGTCTGGATTTCAGGGACCAACGGAACTGTTCTGCGGACCACCGACTCAGGTTCGACATGGACGAACGTGTCTCCGAAATTTGCCGCGACGGAGAATGCATCCGACTTTCAGTTCCGCGATATTCAAGCCTTTTCTAGGACCACTGCTGTAACATTGTCAATCGGTGAAGGGAATCTTTCCCGCATCTATATTACGAGTGACGGCGGAAAGAATTGGAAACGCACGTTCGTCAATGAAGAGGAAACGGCCTTCTACGACTGCATGTCATTCGAGACGAGGAAAGGAAGGGAAAGTCATGGTGTCGCAATGAGCGATCCTGTCCAAGGCAAGTTCCGCTTACTGGAGACGTGGGATGGTGGTGTGCATTGGGCTATCGTTTCGAACAATACAATGCCCCCAGCACTGGAGGGCGAGTTTGGTTTCGCGGCCAGTGGGACGTGTATTGAGGCTGCGGCGGGTCGATGGTATTTGGCGACGGGAGGGGTTGACCCGGGACGTATCTTTTACACTACCTCCCCCAGCGTCAGTCACGGCTGGCAAGTCGCAAACTCATCCATCGCTGGTGGCGCAGCAGCTGGAGTGTTCTCTGTACGTTTTCGCGACACACGACACGGTATCGCAGTCGGAGGCGACTACGAACAGCCTACAGCCAGCAACAATACGGCCGCCTGGTCAAGCGATGGCGGAGCGAATTGGCACAAAGCTGACTCATTCCCGCGCGGTTATAGGTCAGGCGTCAGTTGGATACCTGGTAGGAGACAGGTAGCAGTAGCGGTCGGCACCAGCGGCTCCGACTTTACTATCGATGGAGGAAGGAATTGGGCGGGCATCGCTAACGGGACATTCGATGCTGTAGAGTGCGTTAGGAAGGACATTTGCTGGGCCAGCGGGTCCGGCGGACGCGTCGCAAGGTTGCATCTACGGGGGTTTTAAGCAACTCCCGAAGGAGAAGGGCATGCTGAGCTGGATAGGCTGATGTTGCTGTCCGCCAACTTGATCTCACCGTTGCCTGCTGTGGCGCCGATGGGCTGCATGCGGGGACGGACCCTCGCGGACTCTTTGTGTATATCGCGGCATGTGCGAGCATTGGCCGATTCTCGGAGACCAGCTTCGAATCAGGATACATGGAGTATATTACAAACGGGGCGTAGATAGCATATTGTGCCACCAAGGCGATCGGTCGTGGAGCATGCGAAGACTGATGGGGGCCGAAGTTGATCGAATCTTGGCATAGCTAAGTAGCGGGCCGGTAGTCTCTGCCGCTGCAGGTCTGAGGCGTCTTCGCGTCTTCGCACTATTGTACGATCCTTACCGCCTCCACCACATCGCCGTCTCGCTTCTTACCTTCCGATCGGAAGACTCCATCAAACAACATGTCTTATAGTGCATCCTCCAATCCACTTATCGCCGAGCACTTTTCCCTTCCCGTTGCGCGACTAGATGAATCGTGCATTTGCATCGTCTTAGCATGGTAGCATTACACTTGCATTAGACGACTTTGATCAGCATGGGACTTGCCTGCATCAAGGAAATACCCCGATTAGACTGATGGCAATAGCCTGAGATGCTACCTGGACATGCCAGAGGGCGTAAATGCAGAGAACTTTTTATTTTGCGTCCCACAGCGCAGCAACCGAGAACGCTAAGATTCCTCCGACCTCTAGGAGAGCGCGGGGACTACGAATTGGTGATTCAGTTATTGTGTTCATTGGTCAGACACTCTACACGCGGGTGGCCCTTAGGCCATTACTGCTCAGCGCACTAAGCTACTGATCTTTACAGCGGCGAGATGCCTCCGAGACATATTGAGCTAAAATTCTCGATGCACTTGATGCCTGTCAATTTACATTCCATGCCGTGGGCATTCCCAGTATTTCTTCCCTGTCCCAAGAACTGACCCGTAGACCTGGTTGTTCTTTCAACAAGCTTGTGCATAATCCTAGGCTTCGGTGTACCTTGTCAAGCAATTTATAACTGTGGAGCTATAAATCTGACGTCTTCTTCCGCGCCGCTGGGCATTGTGTTCACAACTCTCTGGTTCGCTTCTTGCAATGAGGTTAGCACTCGTCTTAGCAGGCCTGCTGGCCGTCGCCAGTGCTGCACCGAAGGCAAAGTTCATGGAGAATGACAAGCTGGCTCATCAGGGTCTAGCCAACTTGAAGGCATATGTTGCTGAACACGGCTATACAAATGCGGAAAAGTGTACCCTAGAGACTGCATATGTCAGAAAGGAATGGTATGCCAGAAGAGACATGATTCGAGAAAGCTTTGACTAACTGTTTCCTCTAGGGCGTCTCTTTCAAGGTCGGAGAAACGTGATTACATCAAAGCAGTACAATGCATTGGAAAGAAGCCCGCGAGAACCCCAGCTGCTATTGCTGCGGGGGCAAAGAGTCGATACGACGATTTAGTGGTGACACATATCCAGCAATCGCTCTCCATCCATGGAACGGCAAACTTCCTGTCATGGCATCGGTACTTCACCTGGACGTTCGAGCAGATGCTCCGTAATGAGTGTGGCTACAAAGGTTATCAACCCTACTACAACTGGGCTCACTGGTCGCACGACCCAAAAAGCGGACCATTCTTCGATGGCAGCAGATACAGTATGTCTGGTGACGGCGAGTACATTCCTGGAAGGAATTATTCTTGCTTTCCATATGAAGAACCATGTCTCATGAAGCTGCAACCCGGTACAGGAGGTGGTTGTGTCACTTCCGGTCCGTTCAAAGAGTAAGTATCTTTAGACGACTGAGTAGCGCAAAATCGCTACGCTTTCTTGCTGTATGTACTGACGGAACCGTAGTTGGAAGATCAACATGGGCCCCCTGCAAACAATGCTGAAGGTCCCTGGTGGTATACCACCAAACCCACAAGCCAACGGTCTGGGCTACAATCCGCGCTGCCTTTCTCGTGACATCAATTTACAGGCTGCAAATTCCACGAGTGATTTCGAAGTCTCTTCTCTCATCCAAATCAAAGACATTGCACGCTTCCAAACAGTGTACCAGGGAGAGTTTGCGAAGAACTTTATGGGTGTACACACTGTAGGTTTACCCAGCAATACTTGTCACGCGTGGATACTAACCTATATACAGGGCGGACATTACACTATCGGAGGAGATGCCGGCTCAGACTTCTACAACTCACCCGCCGATCCAGCATTCTTTCCTCATCATGGCATGATCGATAGGGTATGGTGGTGAGTTGATGTCCGTAGAACCCAGCTTTGATACATGTGCTGACCGATATCCCATCATCTAGGACGTGGCAAAACCAAGATATTGTAAATAGACAATATGCCATCAGCGGAGGCACGATCATCGGAAATCAAGGACCTAACGGCACGCTCAACGATACGATCACAATGGGAGAATATGTTGGGGCGCCAAATATCACTATCGGGGATGCGTTGAATACTCTCGCTGGGCCATTTTGCTACATATACGCATAGGGTGTGCAGCTGTCTTGCGGTCGGACTGCAGTAGCTAGTCGCATGCGGGTATTCTGATACAAGGCATGGTGGTTCAAAGATGTGATATGATGTTCGATTAAGCACAAACATTCACACGCGTATCAGTCTTGTACAGGGTCTTACTACTACGAGGCATCATCCAGACACAATTGAAATTCGTCACTTCTCTATTTCGTCAGCCAACGCCTCTGTAGCATGAAATATGTGAAGACTCGTGGCAAAACATTAGCATTTGGGGGAGGGAGGCTAGAGCGACTGTGGCAAGTTTGGAATGTAACAATGCTAGAGTGTCCTTCTACTGTGAAGTCATTCTAATATCTTCCATGGGACGATGACTTGCTTACTTTCTGCTCTCGATACTGCACTTCCACTTTTCTCTCCCCTGCTTGTCAACTCCTGTTTTCACCGCATCCGCCCCATTGAACACCACACTCCTCGTATCACCTCTTGGCAAGATGATCTCCAGCTCCTCCCAATGTGGTCTGAACCCTTCTTGCAGTTTCTCTTCGTACTGGACCAGTACTTGAGTTTCAGTCGTCTCGTACTTGACCGTGAAGACTGAGATCTTGGCTGGTGGCGGCGAAACACCATCGTCTTCAAACCAAACAGATTCATACTCCTTGCCTTTCGAAGAAGCTTTTGGAGGGAATATTTCCACGGCGCGGTAGTCGTCATGTGGTAGATTCGCTGGATTGCTCGTCTCGCCCACGGAGAGGACTTGTTCGGCACGTCCAACCGGAATTGCACTTCCCACTTTCGCTAGCACTGGAATGCTCGATTCCCAATGCGCTGAAATATCGACCCACTGACCAGCGTCATAGTATGTCTGTGGCTCGTTGTTGAGATCCAGAAACGCGGCATCCGGGTCTGCTAAGTCCTTGGGAAGATACATGCTAGAAGTCTCAGCACCAGGAGTGAAAACACCACCGACCAGCAATGCATCGCCAAGCCAGTACTGTGTTTCGCCGTCGGTCAGTACCTTGTTCGCCCAGATTTCCTGATCGTTCTCATATCCCCAACCAGTCCAACGCTGTGGCGGAGTTGCAGACAGATGAGAATGCAAGGCCAGCGAGTACAGGTAAGGAATAAGTTCGTAACGGCGCTTGATAGTATCCCGTATCAAACTTGTAACCTCTGGATACATCCAAGGCTCAATCACGTCGCCGACACTGTTGTCTTTGCCGGTCTTGAAGCAATTGATAGCGAAGCGCGGACTGTAGATACCTTGTTGGCACCAACGGACAAGAAGTTCGGGGCTCGGCTGTGGGCCTTCGAAACCGCCTATGTCATGGCCGTAGCATTGCATCAGACACACTCCAGCCGTGAGTGATAATGCGTTCGCTCCCTTCATGCCCGGCCAAGATGTTACGTTGTCGCCGCTCCAGGCACTAGCACAATAGCGAAGCGTTCCGGCTGTAGCGCTACGGGTCAGGATGAACGGACGTTGCGAGGGCTCTATGTCAAGGGAGGCGTCATGTGAGGATTTACCCATCAGTTCTGTGTTCAGTGCGCGGCCCCAAAACCCGATATCTTTGCCGTAGCCGCCGCTCTTGGGCTCTTGGGTAACTGTCGGTTCGTCCAATGCGCACTGCCAGCCATCGTGCGGGATAGTGTATTCGTTGTTATCATTCCAGATACAATCGATGCCTTCTCGCTTCAACTGGCGGATTCCGTCATACCACCATTTGTATCCCGCTTTGGAAGTGAAGTCAATATGGCCGCCGACACCACTCTCACCACCACCCGCACTCCACAGTCTCGCCTCAGCAGATGCCAGCGTCAAAGAATCCGTGAAGAATGCCCCAGCTTCCTTGAGCTTTTGATACTCTGGATGTGTGCCCAACACATACGGCTTCACGTTAGCGATAAGCCTGATACCCTCCTTGTGGTAAGCATCAATCCAGCCTTTTGGATCAGGAAACCGGTGTTTGTTCCATGTAAAGACATTGCGCGTCTTCGGCTCCGTCTCTGCAACCGTATAGCCAGATGACATCTGCATACCAGAGCAAGGGATGTCATGTTCCTTTAGCTTAGCAGCAAATTCCATCAGACTCTGACTCGCCGGTGGGTCGTCCGTCATGGAGTACTTCATACCGCCGGCAAGATAGCCAAACGCCCACCGCGGTACTAGTAGCGGGTGACCAACAAGGTCAGCGTAAATGCGTACGATATCTGGTAGCGTCTTTCCAACTAGTAGGTACTCCTCTAGGCCGCCATAGTCCTGACGGTAGACCTTGAAACGCCCCCACATGCCGTCCATCTCCGAGCCTACAGAATAGAAGCCACGGGCATGCGATGTTGAGAAGATACCAACACAGCCTTCCGGAGTAGCATTGATGAGAAGCGGAATGTGCTTATACATGGGATCTGTGCGATATACGTCGTAGCCGAAAGAATCGGTGGCGGAAAGAACGAAGTGACGGTTCGATAGATCCATGGGTGCTGGCTTCTCGCCGAGACCAAGATGGAGGGTTCCATTGTTGTAACGCGTGTAATGAGATATTCCAGGTCCATCAGCGACGTACGAACGGTTGGGAAGGTCGGTGTGAATAGGTGTTTTTTGGCCAGGAAGTGTGATTGAAACGATGGGTACGCCACTTTCCCAGTCCACATTCGCGGTTACGCCATCAACGGCTAATGTCCTTGAACTAGCGTTTGATGTGACCAGGCCTGCATCCGCATGGTCCAGGGTCTTGTCTGGCACCGGCGTAGCTCGGTGCGGCGGCAACAGATGCTTTGGTGAGGTGAACGTTGTTCGGAAAAGGCCAGGTCGTAATGCATCGAACGTAAATGTGAAGTCACCCAAGTTAGACTGCAGTTGAACACCCGAGTTTGATGTTTCTGTTGCGGCGGCAGCTTGATAGCCGCTGATGACATGCTCAAGCATTGGCATGATGGAGAATGAATGTAAAACTGGTCGTCAGTACCTGTCCTCTTTCAAAGTATCGTGACTTCAATCAATTATACTTATAGCAAGACAACGTATGTTACTTCGCACGAAAGTGCCATTTTCCGATGCCGAAAAGGCCAAGCCGGCTTCTTCGGCCGCGCGCGAGCAATGCATCTACCCCCAAAAGAGTTAAGATCGGAGTCTGGGGTCCCCGTGGGGATGCGTATAAGTTTAGTCGGGCCATATCCACTGACTACTGCTGCAGCATTACAGACATTTCTGGATTCGCTCCACCTCACTTCTTCTTGCGATGTCGAAACCAGAGACGACGGACGCTACTGCAGCAACAACAACGGCAACAGATATCGATAAGAACCATGTCGAAAATGTCGAAACCACAGAATCTATCCATAAGCCTAGCAATGCTGCTAACGGTAAAGGCAAAGACAAAGCGGCTGCGCTCCTCGCATCGAACGAACGCATCGTCGTAACATCGTGAGTACTCCCACATGAATTCATGTGGAACGTATACTGACCTCATACCATGCAGCGCCGAGAACAAACGCGTCTTGAAGAAGATCGATCTTGTCATATTACCCATCCTCCTCAGTGTCTACTTTCTGCAGTCTCTCGACAAGACCACTCTGTCCTACGCTTCCGTATTTGGGCTCATCGAGGATGCCAACCTTGACCCGAACAGTCAGCAATACTCATGGCTAGGCAGTATTGTATACATTGCTCAGCTAGTAGCGCAGCCAGTCGTTGCTGTACTGCTAGTCAAGCTGAGAATGGGAAAGTTCATGGGTGTGATGGTCTTCACCTGGGGTGTCATTCGTGAGTGTCTCTGTACGAATTGCATGTGACGCATACACTGACTTCATACGCCTACACTAAGTGTGTGGCATGGCGGGTGCAAGAGACTTCGCTGGACTCATGGCAACACGGTTCCTACTGGGTGCTTTCGAAGCTGCCATAGGTAAGCAAGACCCTCATACTGGCACCATAGCAACTACTAACGTACCATAGCACCTGCATTCATCGCCGTCGTCCAGATGTGGTATAAGCGCGGAGAGCAAACGAACCGCAACGCAGCCTGGTACGCCATGCTAGGTATCGTCAACATTCTTGGGAGCTTGCTCTCGTACGGTTTGGGACATATCAAGTCGGACCTCCTGCACTCATACCAGATCATCTTCCTCTTTTGTGGCCTGCTCACAGTCATCGTGTCGGTCTTCGTTTGGTTCTTCATGCCGGACTCTCCTGTCGAAGCAAAGTTCCTAAATGATCACGAGAAGCTGATTGCGGTCGAGCGCCTGCGTATGAATCAAATGGGTGTCGCATCCCGCGTCTGGAAGTGGGATCACGTATTGGAGGCCTTCATGGATCCCAAGACTTGGCTTTGGTTTTCCATGTTGACGGCTGTCAGCATTCCTAGTGGTGGTATCACTACATTCGGACCTTTGATCATTCAGAGTGAGCAGTCCCCTTAGACAAGCCACATGTGACGCCTGTACTGACCGCGTATTCAGGTTTCGGATTTGGTCAATTTGCAACCATTCTCTTCAACATGCCGTTCGGCATCGTCCAGATTGTGGCAACTATAGGGGGCGCTTGGCTAGCAACATGGCTCAAGAAAAAGAGCCCGGTCTTGATCCTTTTGTGTATCCCGCCAATCATTGGCATCATTATCCTCATGGTCGTTGGACGCGGCGATTCGAACAAAGGCGTCTTGCTTTTCGGATATTACCTCGTAAGTCATTGCTTCTCCGAAACAGAACGATCAACACTAACAAGCCCAGACGTCATTTTACCCCGGAATATCTCCGCTCATCTATTCCTGGTCCGGCCAGAATACTGGAGGCGACACGAAGCGTAAAGTAACGACTAGTATCCTCTTTGTCGGCGCTAGTGCGGGTAACATCATCGGACCCCAACTTTTCAAGCCATCCGAGAAGCCACACTACTACAGAGGATTGCGCGCCAATTTGGCATTGTTTATTGCAATTATTGTTCTGATTTTGCTTGCAATGTTCTGGATCAAGCTGTTGAACCGGAAGCATGCAGCAACAAGGGAGAGCATGGGCAAATCGGCGATCGTTGTTGATACGAGTATGGGAACTGCGCGTGAAGGTGACGCCGAGGAAGCTGACAACGCACAAGCCAGTGGGGTGGGTGACAAGGCGTTCGATGATCTGACTGATATCAAGAACGAAGATTTCGTTTATGTTTTATAAGTAACGCGCAGTGGAGATCGTCCTTTCAGACGACATCTGGGCAGCATGTATCGCGATGGAATGGATAGTCGTATGTCTTGTTGGCCTCCGCACATAATGTACATGCTTGGCTACTAGACCCAGTCATCCGAATATGACCTGCGTATATATTTCCGCTTCTTGTTGAAATTCTTGTTTCAAAACAAGCTGTCTATGTTGACGAATAGATCTTGCCATCCGAGAGGCATGTGTTTGAGATTTAACCCAGGAAAATCCCACTCGAACACAAACTCGCTTGGCACATAGCCCTGGAACTCGTCTTCAGCCGCCCCATTTCTTGTTCCAGCCATCGAATTTTCTTGATCAGAATTTTGTTCCGCTGCATACTCTCGGAGAGCGGCTTCGCATTTCTCGATGCTGGTTTGCAAGATCTGAAAATATGCGATATGGCCGACGGTCACTGTCTTCAACTCTTCTAGCACGCGGTGCGCGTCACGAAGCAGGGCCATGACAGAGGGGACTGGGTCGCGGAGAAGAATGGCTAGCCTGAGAACGAGTAGAACTGATACGGCGCATTTAGCCCAAACGTAATCAAGCGTCCAGCGGAAAGTACTGAGATATGCTGAGCCAGAGGTGGTAGTGTGAGATGCAGGCGATGAGGTTGGTGTTAGCGATGACTGAAGCATGTAATGTAAGTGGCAGCTTGCCGCCTCCTTGGCTTTACGTATGAAGTCGCGTTGGAAGTCGGTCATGATTGCAATGTTCTCGATCCCTGACGAGGATACAGCTTTTAGATAGAGCGTCATCATCGCCCACTCCCGTTGGATTTGCAAATTTTGTAATGCTATTGCACGTTGGTGTGGCGCTGGCTCCGTCATTGCGATAGTGGTCCACTCATCGAGCCACAGTGACAGCTCAACTCTAGCGTCATCTACTGTAGTTCGAAGCTGATCTTCGCTGAGTTGAATCATGAAGTCACTGTTCCGACCCATGATCTTGGTATAAGCTTCGGTACGGATGATATTGAGCTCGACTTGCGAAAGAAGTCGGATATCTATCGCTGTTCGTTCCGGATGAACGAGCAGGCTCCTAATCTTCCTGGACGACATCTGAAGAGTCAGGCCTGGTAGTTTGCCTCCGTCGAGGGAGAAACTGGAACATCTTCAGCAGAAATCTTCGACTTGGCATGTGGCATACTCACAAAAGCTCAAGGTTGCAGATGCCGTGCCAAACTCTGGATAACCGGTAAAGATTTTGCTCATCGGTAGTGATAACCCTTGGCCGTGCATGACTTTTCGCGATGAGTTGATCAACAGCAAGAGGTAGCCCGATCTGTATGGCGAAGCGAAGGGCTGTTGCTATTAGTACAAATCCATTCTCCGAGTATGCCGCTACTAATGCGATCGCTTGTACATCCTCTACTGTAGGAACGCTTGTGTTAATAAGCATATTGGTTATATGGTCGCGAACTCTAGACTGCAACCGACGATATATCGTTGTGTTGAATCCCTCGTTAGCACGACAGCCAATGCTAACAATGGCATCGAACAGAATTCTTTTTCAAAGTCAGTGTATGTCTCACCCTTGAGTAGGACTGGAGAATTTCTCACGGACTCCGTGAAGACACTGATGCAATGGTATCTGTCTTCTCGCAAAATATGGGTACAAGATATTGCTATGCCATTTAGTGTGGTTCAAACGATAAATCGGAGCCCTCATACACTACCAGAAAAGAAGCTGCCGCTAATCAGTGATATGAGGATTTACAGAAGATTCGGTTCTAGCTACCTTTGATACCAACTCGCTGCTTGTTCCCATGTGACTATGCCTGCATCAACGGCATTGCGTATTGGCATGGCAGGTGCGTTGCATCGAGGTAGGGAATGAAGCGCAAAGTCGGGAACTGTTGTATTCGCATGCTCCGCGAGTGACTGTAGCCACGGACATGATCAGCGAGATGTCTCATGATGGTCCACGAAGTGGGGCTGAAGTCTGTTGTGCCTCTAGCTGGCTCAGGTGTAGTCCTGCCTGGCTTATTTGCAGGTGCCTACGTACGCTTTTGTCCCGGCCTTGTTGGACACGCATGTGCTCGCGAATCATGGCCATTTCTTCCTCGAGCTTTTCGATACGCAACACGTTCTCATCCTTGACTGCGTCATGGTACTGACAGGTTGTACTATTCCTGTCACATCGTTGACAGGGGCGGTTTCCATCGCAGCGGACCTTGGACGTTCGGCAACTGATGCATGCATTGATAGCACGGCGTTTGCGTGGACGCGCTGGAAGAGGTGGATCCATCTAATGGGAAGTTCGTGCGAGATGTACAGCTGTACATCTCGCGTGAGGACCCGTTTTTTAATGATGGTGGGCCGATGCGGGGAAGCTGTACATGAGTCGTGGTCGCTATGGCGGATGTCACTACCGGCAATAAAGAGAGCGGCCGAGATCTTTTGCTGCTAAAAAAGCCACTAAAATCTTGCCTGCACCGCATACGAGGAAAATGAAACAGGTATAGAGACCTTATGCCTTACCTTGAAGCCTACATTAACTTCTAACAGACAACCTTATAGAGACTGAAAGCATTGTAGGCTTTTAGATTCTTCATGTCTATACTATAACTCTTGACATACATTACTGTAGTAGTGTGAGGTAGGATGTAATCCAAGATTTAGCCTTAATTCGGCGCCATGTATTCGTTTATCGTGGGTGTCGTCTCGAGGTCAAGGTCGATACCGAACATCCCTGTAGCCTGCCCGTAACTAGTCTTAACAGCCTCAGATGCGTATATGCGCATTTCCTTCTCGTATGCCTCTGTCACACCAGTCCATTTATCGCCATCGCCTCTCTCCCAAGCTTCGGCAATCAATCGACCAAGCAAAGCTGAATCACGCACAGCCGTGTTCGCACCGTTGCCGCCCGCCGGCGTCATGGCATGGACAGCGTCGCCAACAAGAGTAACTCGAGGATCGTTGGGCCATTCCGGAACACCCCTCGGGTCAGAGCATGTGATCTTCCAGAAAGCTGCTTCAGATTCTTTCATATTCTCGAACAGTGGTCTGACACGCTGGTGGTAGTGCGAAGTGAGGGCTTTGGCAATTTTTGCAACAGGCTGTCCGGTAATGGTGTAGTTGTCATTAGGTGCCTTGATGACACCTGGCGAGCCAATCATGGTCCAGCCAAAGTCGATATCGGGGTTATCCATATCACCAGCGCGTACATTTGTGATGATGAAGACCCTGCCGCCGTTTGGTTGCGACGTGTCGTCGGCGAATCGGAAGACGCCTTCGCCCAAGGCCCTAAAAGCGGATGTTGGAGCTTGTCCATGGATTCCTCTCGATCCAAGGTCGTAAACTTTGATGGCGCCGTTGGACAGCTGAGCGCCTACTGCGCTCTTGACGCCCTCGCCTCCAACCAGCATGGATCCTTCTTCCGACTTAGTACCATCGGCAAAAATCAATCGCACACCATTGTCCGTCCTTTCGTATGCTGTGGCGTGGTGATTCCAGCGCACCTTGTCCTCTAGGCCCTCGATGAACAGCTTGCGCATGTCGCCGCGCGAGATGCCCACCACCTTACCGTCCTTGCTTGTCAAAGGCTCGCTCCTCACGCTCGGAGCATCTCCACCCACTGTCTCGCCCGTCAGCGGGTTGATGGCTGCAAAGCCGGCCCCACCTGTTTTCCCACAAGCATCGTAGAACTTCTGGAAGCCTGTGGGGCCGAGGACTTCCTCAATGGCATCGAGCCCCTGGGCTGAGAGTCGCAGGCGGTAGCCTTGGGCTCTGAAAATGATGGATGCGTCGCGTTCGAAGACGAGGAATGGGATTTTGGACCGGTGCAGCGAACGGGCGAGGAGGAGCGAGGCAAGGCCGCCGCCGGAGATGAGGATTGGCTTGGGGGTGCTCATGGTGGGCGATGGGTTGATTCGGAGTGTGGAGGGCGCTTGACAAGAGACGCCATGGCTCCTATTATAGCAGTCGCGCTTGGTGTTGAGGAAGACGCGAGATGTATTGCGTCAAGTACATCATTGGGCAAGTGGGGGCCGCGTCGGAGCTCCGGGGCATCCAAAGGGGCGTGATTTCTAATAAGCCGTCGCGCTGTCAGTAAGCACCGGTTCATCTCTTTCCGCACCTCGATGCTTTCAATTACCAAGCCTCGCACACAGTTGCGTGCTTCGCGATGCAGCAGAGTTGGTCGACATTAGTCTTCATGGTCAATGATGAAAGCCGCAAGCCGCTGCGCTTTGTAAACGCCTGACGATTTGAGTGAAGACAAAATTAATGGGGACTTGGTACCTGCCCGGGTGTATAAACGTTATCATCAGCTCCAAGACACCGAGAGCTCCACCGGAGAGACAAACTGGACAGGTGCCCTAAGCTGCCGACATTAGGATGCAGGATACCTGAGAGCAACTGGGGTATTGGATAGGTAGGTCAATAGCAAGGACAGGCACAATTAAAGATCAGCGTCTAGATACTGTCGAATTTATGTGGGAAGACGTGGACATAACAGTCAAAATTGCACTTGCTGCATCTCGTCCGAAATGTCAAGCAAACAACCTCCGGAGTGCTGCCGACACTCCGCATCCGCAAGCTAGTGTAGATCACTCCACAGGCTTAACAACAACAAGCATTTCGCATTTGCCATTTTGTCCTGCTCATTGGGTGCATACCTATCTTCGCCTTCTCCTCGAGCAAAATGACGCTGGACGCGCCACGACACGGGTCCTCTCGTTAAGAAGCTCATCGAAGACCTCCAGCCTAGTACTCGTCTTGCCGCCATGAGCGAGTCAGCCACGTACCGCGAGATCATGGCCAAGTGGTCGAAGGTTGTGGGTAAGAAATTAGTTGGCGACGAAGGTATCAAGCACATGTCTGGAAAAGAATATTGGGATACGATGTCTGGAGATGATGATATCAAGGAGCATACTATGCAGTGCTGGTAGTACACTAGAGATCTTGGATATTACGGTGGTGACAAGAATCTTCTTTTTCTGGAGAGCGTGGGTATGGCAGGACAGATGACGAGTTTGGAAGATTGGTCGACATTTGAGGGCTAGGATAAAGAATCTGGTTCCGGGTGGCGAACCTCGCAGGTTTCGATGATATCAAATGTTTTCCACTAAACTCTTCTCACCCATCTCAGTCCTACACTCTCGGGGTTGACCATCTCGTGCAACATATGCCCCTCATGGTCGACTTTTAAACTGCACTCCCACGCCCTCTTCCTTGCGCCTTCCTCTGTTTCACCAGATTCAGGCACAACTTCTACTTTCCAGTCCCGCAACAGCGCGGCCAGGACCGCTACAAGCTCGACTTGTGAGAAGCGCTTTCCTGGACACACGCGCTGGCCCCATGCCCACGCTAGATAGTGCTCGGATGTATCTGGCGCTAGTACCTCGCTTTCGAATGGGATTGTTCCTTGAGTTTGAGGATCCGATACGCTAATATGTTGACCGGGATTCCAGCCGAGGGGATCAGGTCCCCAGTATTTGGGGAGTGCGTGGAGAGCTGGTATAGAGCAATGGACTGATGTTCCGGCAGGGATAATGTATGTTTCACCGTTGTATTTCAAGGGTTGAGAATTTGAACCCGTCGTCTTGACTAATTGGGATAGTGGGTGGCAGATACGCAATGTTTCCATCTACGAAAGGATTAGCATAAATTTGGTGACACGGACTAACACGGTACTTACAATCACAGCACCACAGCGTTTTAGCTTTTTGAAATTCTCGAAACTCCATGTGTTGGTGTCGCTAGAAGTAAGGTAATGGTGTAGTTCTTCACTAATCCACTCTTGCGACTGTGGGTTCGCGGCGAGGTGGTAAAGTATGCTGGTCAGGGCGATGGCTGTAGTGTCGTTCCCGGCAAATGCGTATACGAAGAGATTGCTGATGATCTCTTCCTCGGTCATATTCACAGTCTTGATAGCCTTGTTTTCGTCCGCGACTTCGTAGAGAGGTGCCTCGCCGGGACTTTGATTTGTGTCTAATGCGCGCACCAGACGCGCGACAAGATGCTGACGATCAGTCCGTCCTTGCTTCACGTGTATCCGTTCTTCATCCATCAGACGTAAAATGTACGAGCGGAAAATAGCCATTGCTTCCGCAGCACCTTTCCAGGACTTAGGCGTCCACCAGGCTTTCAGTCCTTCTTCGCCCAGGATGAAGATCTGGATGATGGAGCCTAGAATGGTTGAGAGAGAAGCTCGATACATGTATGAGGTATCACCCTCATGCTTGCTCTTGGTTTCCTCAGACTTTCCTTCGAACGGATAGACCTTGTCGAACATTGCTGCGGCCAGGACGTTGAGTGTGAAGACTTTTGTATCTTGGTGGGTTGAACGTATCGGTTGCTTGCATCGCTTGGTCCAGAATTCGAGCATACCTTCAGTCTGACTCAAAGACTGCCTCCAAACCAGCTCGTTGTTCTTCTCCGTGAATGTAACGCCAGTCATCTTCCGATGCCGCTGCCACTCCTCGTCATCCGTCGTCGATAGGTTCTTTCCGTACACGTTAAGAACAGCCATTTCCTCCATATTACGTCGGAAATCCCTGCGGCGTTGCAGAATATCATACGTGACCGCAGCATCCGCTACGCAAAGCTGAAGACCGCCTGGATGCACCACGATGAAGACATCGCTACCCACATGTTCGTGGACCTGGGCGCGCGTATTGGCTTCCCAGCCGTACGAGTAGATGCGAGACATGTTCTCGGTCGCAATACCCAAGCGTTCGCATAAGCGCACAAATTTGCTGCCGCCAAGCAGCCAGAAAGGGTTCATAGGTGAGATCCATCGTTCGAGGTAAGGGAGGCCAATTGCTCTCGCTTTTGCGCGATTTTGGGCGAGAGATTGCGCAGACCAGATAGTCAAAGCGACTGGCAGCGCGAGCAATGTGAGCAGTATTGTCAAAAGTGCCATTTTGGTGAATGGCCTTTGCAGACCCAGTAGAGCGATTGTATCGCTTTTCTAGCCATGGCATGTTCTGCGCGTTAAGTATCGTCGAGTGAATCCTTCGGGCGTATCTCAACGCGCGCTTTGCCTGAATGAGCTTCTGTGGCTGGAGTGGGGGCCGCATCTCAGGTTCATTCCGCTTCCGCACAGCAGCATGTCAATTCCTGCCACGGTTAGATGGTGATGTTTGGGGATCATCTACGTCGGTATGATAACGAACGACTGCATTGCACATACACGCAATGTCAACCTCTGATAGTCTCAGTTCGATGTGAAATGAGCATAATTTCACAGCTACCGCACAGTTCATATATTCCTTCAACACCGTTGGCATCCCGCACATGGCCAGATCCCGCGATGTCCGAAAGGACTGAATGACCTAGATCTTCAGGCGTGAAGTATAGCAACACAGTGGCTGTAACGGACGTATACAGACATCTTGTCATGGTCGGTCAAGATGTATAATTGAGGCTAAGTGCTATATGACACCATGCACTCTATGATGTAGTCAACATTCGGCTTCATCAACAGCATGTAGTCTTCTTCCAGCATGATCGGTTTAGGCTGCTGGGCCACAAAGATAGCCTGGCCGAGGTCGTCGCTGTAGCTCCAGTCCCACCACGAATGTTCCAGATCCGGAGCGTTCGGAGCATCGTATCTTTGGTAATGGTCTTCCTTGAGCATTTCACCGAGTAGTCTAACAAATTCGTGAGATCCCCATGATGCCAGACCACTCCCTTGGGCGAGGAGCCTGATCTCTTTGACATTCTGCAATCGTCTGAATAAGTCTACCAGGGCTTTTCGGCTTTTGGAATCTTCGAGCATGATCACAAGTTCCAGCTGATCAAGGTGCATGCATGGCTTGTTCAAGGGGAACATCTCCCATCTTTTGATATCGCCGGGGTTATAGTGGACTCTCAACTTCTTTACGTCGCGTAGAAGCGCGTCGGATTGCTGGTGAATAACCCAAGTAGAGTCTTTGGGGAGCACGAAGAGCGTCTTTTGAATGGCAAGACGAAAGAACTCGGCGTTGAATTGTCGGCAGACCAGCCTTATGGCGAGGTTGTTGCTGGGTTTGTATTTGCTGTCGACCCTAAAATGATCCCTTTTTTCTCCAGGCCTGTGCTGTCTGGTGAGTCCAGCGTCGGGCTGCTCAAGCGCATAGGCGGCAATCTCCAAGCGAAGCTCGGTTGGTAAAGTGAAAAAGGTCGTCTTCTCGTTGACTTGTGGCATAGTCTGGTATGCTGTGAGCCTGCAGGCTTGATTGGCCGACTTCAGGCTCGAACAACGACCCAGCTGACGCGAACGAGGAGCGCCCAATCTTAGCGCAAGTCCGTGCATAGCCATCTGATAAGATTTCTCCAACCCCGCCGATCTCCGAGGTTGCATCGTCCTTCTTGTACTTCATCGCGTCCACCCATGCGCGCTTTGTCGATATCTATCATTCTTTACACTCTTGCAGATGTAGCACAGTCTCTGTACTCGGGCAAGTTTTGCCCTTTGGCTTGCGAGACCACCATCAACTATGTAACCTTTAACGACACCGACCCTTCGCTTTCGCGGAAGTTCCGAGCATGTCAAAGTGATTTGCGCGTCACGTCACTGTACCTGTGTTTCGGGGAATTCTGTAAGCGAGATGGTCATATAGAAGAGTGGATTGAGAGTCAGAATCTTTGGTGCGAAGCATACGCGAATATCACATTACCTTCATTTCACGATGTTGTGGATCGATGGACGCCGGATGAAAGGGGCAAAATAAGACGGCTGCAGGCGGAAGAGGCACTGGAGTTTCCGAGCATTGATGAAGTTGTGCTACCCAGTGATATGCTCGTGAAGCGAGCTTTTACGACTATGGTACAGTTTTCATCCGTCATGGCCTGATGGGAAATGCAATGCTAACCACAGCATACAGGACGCAGCAGATTGGGAATACAAGATCCATCTTGTATATGGGTGAGCATAATCTGGATTCTATTGAACGCACAATCGCTGAGAAAAGATTTACAGATGGTACATGTACTACTTTTGGATCGCCGTAGTGATTGTTGGTGTCACAACGCGTCTCTTATCACTGATGCGCGGTAGACGACACTACAATAAGTCGTATGAGGCGATCTCAGAGGTTGCTTCTAGCACAGATTCTGTGTCACTCAGCCCTGTAATCCGTTTACAGACATGGCTAAAGCGATACCTCACCACACCTGCCGCGTTTGGTGACCGCTGTTCTCGACCTTATGGCTGGTGCACCATACCACCACGGATCCAATCGCTTACCATCTTCTTCTTCGTCGCACTCAACATCGCCGTCTGTACTTGCTCCTACCGTCTTACCGAAGGCAACCTCTACTGGCCAGAGAAGTCAGCACAACTTCTCCGCTATGTATCGGATCGTACTGGGATCGTTTCGCTGGCAAACTTCCCTCTTGTCTGGCTTTTTGGCATGCGAAACGATGTTTTAATCTGGATAACTGGATGGGGATTCGGCACATACAACGCTTTCCATCGATGGGTTGCTAGGGTCGCCACGGTACAAGCTGTGGTGCACAGTCTGGGCTATACGCTGATGATACTGGAGAGCGGAGGATGGTCACACTTTCTCAAGTACTGGACGAAACACTACTTCTGGAATGGCGAACTAGCGACCATCGCTATGTGTGGCCTTTTAGCGTTTTCGTTCTATGGTATTCGCCGTGCGCACTACGAGTTCTTTCTCGTCACGCACATAGCGTTGTCCATCGCCGCACTCTGGTCCATGTACTACCATGTCGAGATCTTTACTAACGGCGAGTGGAACATATTTATCTGGCCATGTGTCGTTGTCTGGATCTTCGATCGCGCCATGCGCCTCGTTCGGATCGTAGTGTTCAACCGCAATCCTTTCGGTACCAAGGCTAGGGTCACTTATGACCCTAATAGTAACCTTGTCCGAATGGACGTTGACGGGAAGAAGAGCTTGGTCGCGCCGAAGCCTGGTACATATTACTATATCCACGTATTGGACGACACGTTGTATGCCCACCAGAGCCATCCTTTCACGTTGGCATACACCTCGACAGATGCCGACCAGCCTCCGTCTACGCCTTTGTCGCCACTTTCGCTCAGACCCGAACCCTTGCGCACGTCATCAGCCTCATCCACCGAGTCTGATGCGCTCCTGCCATCTGAAGGCGTACTGAACATGGTGTTCCTTATCCGACCATACGACGGTTTCACATCCCGTTTAAAATCACATTGTCTTTTGCATCCCAAAAGACTCAACGTCCTCATCGAAGGACCCTATGGACATACTGTCCCTCTCCGAAGTTTCACCAACATTCTGTTTATAGTTGGTGGGACTGGTATCGCAGTGCCTCTGTCACATCTGGCTCATATACTGTCCACGTCCTCACGTGTTCAGAGTGTGAAGATTGTTTGGGCGGTCCGCGAGTATGCATTCCTTGCGTCAGTACTGCGTGACTTCAGAGGGTTGTTAAGCGATGAGAGAATGGAGATGGAAGTACATGTCACTCGCGATGACGAAGCAAAGGACGACGTCTTAGGCGAGGCGTTAAAGAGTGTGAGGATGATGGCGCACAGGCCCAATGTACATACCACGATAGTGGAAGCTGCAAGAGATGCGGGGCAACAACCGCTAGCGATTGTGGCCTGCGGACCAGCTTTGATGGCTGATCAGGCCAGAAGAGCAAGTGTACAGATGCTGGCTAAGGGACATAGGGGTGTTGAGTACTTTGAAGAAAGCTTTAAATGGTAAGGCACATAAAACTAGACCGAAATGGCGATATTTGCTCAGTGCTATGCCTCGCTGTGGTTTATAGATTCCCTTTATCTTCTTTCTTCTTCAATTCAACATACCATTGCGCGACTTCCTTTACGCTGTCCTTTAGGCCCCTGATCTTGTCTCCGCTCAAGAGCATGTTCTCTGTCACACTCGAATCGGCGCGAAACGGCATGTTGATAGGAACCTTGCCTCGTCCCACTCTGAAGGCTCCTGTCTTGACTTCGTTTCCGAAGTCAAGTTCAATCATGTCTGCCGCGTCGTTCCATAGCTTTTCTCCATCTATACCCGGTTCTACCGTGCCAGCAGCGACATACCACGTAGGCAAGTCTTCGCTCCTGATTCTCTCATCTAGCGCCTCAATGTGAATCCGAGCGCAGTCCTCTACGTGTATGAAGCCGAATGCATATCGTGGTGTCATGTCATCGAAGAGCAACGCCTTGCTTTGTCGATCCACATGTGCGAGGGCTTGCTCAGACGTTGTGCAGAATTCCGAAGGCCCGATGACGGTGCCTGGTATGATTTGCGCGATAGAGAAGGGGAGCTTGTGGGAAGCTTGAAGGTGGGCAAGGTTGGTCATGCATTGAGCTTTTGCGGAGCAATATGCGTTGTGAGGAGACTTTAGAGGGGGTCGGTATTCGAGAGACGTTTGCGAGACTTGGACCTGCTCTGTGTAGGTCAGCACAAGACATTGAGCTGGACAGGAGAGCACGATGGAAGAGACGTACCGTTTAGAACGCGATCCATACGCCTGCCTAAGGTATCTCCGTCTTCCGAGTCAACGAGACCAGCCCCGGCTTGCGTGAAAACCATTCTCTTCACCGTCTGTGACTTGTTCCCAGCTTCAATCAAGCCCTTGGTAGAGTTGATGTACGGCCAGTAGATGTCCTTGTCGGGATCCAGATTTGGCATCGGCCATGCTCCTGCTATGTGCACAACATAATCGGCACCTGCAACAGCTTCGTCGTAAGCTCCTTCAGCAGCATTGTTTGGCACGACAGCGTATTCGACCAGGTCAAGGTATGGCTGGACCGAGGGCCCGGATTTGATGAAGTCAATGGCGGCGGAACGGCGCACGATACAGCGTACTCGATAGCCAGTCTGCAGTGCGTACACGACGCACGCGTAGCCGATTGTGCCATTTGCACCGGTAATCTGGTTGGCCTATCAGTCTTGTTGTGCCGAATGTCATGGACGGGGTTTGGCGTACAGCGACAAGGCCACGAGCTCCGCGATTCACTGTCATGATTCAATGTCGCGACGGCCGGCTGCTCCAATACCGCAAACGCTTCTGGCTCAAGTCAGAAGCTTGGATAGACATGGTCAATATACAGAAGCGCTTGCGTCTTACTAAGACTATCGTGGGGAGAGTGCGGCTTACAAGCAAGGGAGGGCGAGATGCTGGGGGTTCCGATTAGCGTTCCAGGTTCCGACATCCCTCGGCATTGCTTGAGACGTCGAGCCTGTCGTCATCGGATCTTCCCCAATCAACCCTCCCCGCTGACCATTGACGCGCGAACGAGGCTCACTATGGCTGCTTCACTCTCACCTTACGTGAAGCCCGATTGGAATACTGGCTGAAGTTACCAATAATGGCAGACGGCACCATACAATCCCAGGGCTTTCCTCACGCCGCCAGTGAGAGGCTCAACATCATCATCGTACGTTCCAGCACGCGCACGCGCTTCTCATCCCGAGCACAAACTGACTTCACTACCTAGGCAGGCGCATCCTTAGGTGGCCTCGCGACAGCTCTTGCTCTAAAACGTCTTCCAGCACCACATGCACACCCCGTCACGCTTCTCGAACGGAATCCGACCGCCCTCCTCCACAATCAAGGCGCTGGCATCGTCGCTGGTGAGGACTTCTCCTGTACGACCCACTCCTGAGGCATACACTAACATCGCGCCCGCGTCTTATAGGTGGTGATACCCTGGCATTCTTCAAGCGCTACGACAAATGCAAGCGCGACTTGGCTGTTACCTCGACTCGAAGGCAATACCTGAGCAAGGATGGTGAGGTCATACACAAGGAAGACATGCAGCAGAACATGACCAGCTGGGACCTTGCATACTATATGCTCAGGGCTAACGTTGATGGGATCGAGAGCAAGTATTGCGACGCGCCGCGCGACCAAGACAGTGGTAGCAAGGTTGCACATCTCCATGGACACAAGGTGGTTGAACTGCAAGACAAGGGAAACAAAGTGGTTGTAAAATACGAGACAAGCGAAGGAAGTACGGGCGAGATGGAAGCTGACCTGGTCATTGGCGCCGATGGACCGAGTTCTACCATCCGCTCCCTCCTCACTACCGGCGTCGAGCGCACGTACGCGGGCTATGTCGCTCTTCGCGGGACCGTCCCTGAAAACTCAGTCAGTCCAAAAACACTGGAAGCTTTTAAAGAACGCTTTACCTTCTTCCATACGAAAGGGATCCAGATCCTAGCATACTTGATACCTGGCGAGAACGGTATTCTCGAGCCGGGCAAGCGCCTCATCAATTTCGTCTACTACACTAATTTTCCGTCACCTTCTTTAACTGATCCTTCTCCCGACTTCCGTGAGTTGATGACCGATGTGGACGGCCAGTATCATCGCATCACCATGCCACCTGGCAAAATGGATCCGCAAGCATGGGAGAAGCAACGTAAGATTGCAAGTGAGCGCCTGCCTCCTCAGTTCGCTGAGATCGTCAGAGCGACTGAGAAGCCATTTGTACAAGCAGTTACCGACGTTGTTGCTCCAACGAATGAGTTCATGGATGGTCGTGTCATCCTTATCGGCGATGCTCTGGCTGGCTTCCGGCCTCACACTGTCGCAAGCACTAGCCAAGCGTGCTTCGATGCCATGATCCTGGCAGACATGATCGAGGGCAAAGTGAGCCGGAGTGCGTGGAAGAAGGAGACACTGGGATATGCGAGAACACTGCAGAAGAGAGGTGTTGATATGGGAGAGCGCAGTCAGCATCAAGACCTGCCGTTGGAGGAGCATATCCACGATCGGAACTTGGCAAGCAAACCGAGAGGGGAAGAGGTATGGCCAGAGTGGGCAGTTGAGGGTCTATAATAGCTACAATTACAATCTACGAGTCAAACAAGTCTGTCGCCAGAATCTAAGACCAGTCGCCTTCATCTCCAACCACTTCACCACGTTCTGAAGCTTCCAGAAGCTCGCGTACAGTCCACGGTTTGTACTTGTACCCCGGTGGTAGGTTCGTATTCCCGAACTCGGTGCCCGTGAGTAAGTGCTCAGCACATTCATGATACTTATCATAAGCGTACTGCTCAGGGTTATGGTAGATCAACCAATTCCCAACCATCTGCTCCTCCTTCTTTGGCGCTGCTTTCTCGTCCTTCCAGTCGGTGTTATGGAAGACTTCCCGGTTCTTGAAGCCCATTTTCTGTGCGCACGATACTCGCTCGAACCTGTGATAATCGAATCAGTCACTTTTGCTTTTATGCAATGCCTCTTGACTCACCTCAGCTTATTATGAACCTTTGTCGCAATCGCAACATTCTTCTTCCCACTGATCTGCAGACAGGCTGCTAGTGAGTAAGCATCCTCCATCGCCATTGTGCCGCCACTGAATGACGTGGGCAAGAATGGATGTGCCGCATCGCCAAGTTGAACAACACGACCGCCTTTCGAGACCCACTGCGGCTGTGGGTCACGCCACATAAGCTTCCAATCGAGACATTGATTGTTCGGAGTTGCCCTGATGAGCTCGGCCACAAGGGGGTCCCAATCTTTGACAACCTGGAGACTCTTATCTGTGGAAGTAGTTTTCGACCAGCTCTCTGTTGCCGTACCTTTTTCGTCCTAATGGGTCGATCAGTAAAGAAAAAGACCATGGAAGTAACTTGAGAGTTCTTCACCGACCTTGGTTGTCAGAAGATACCACAACTCGTCCTGATTGAGTCCAAACACTACATGTGCGCCTGGGCCAATGTACATGAAACCGCGGTTTTCATAGCCAGCAAACGCTTTCGCAAGAAGGGGAGACTTTTCAATCGCTGGTCCGGCAGGAAAAGAACTCCGGTAAACAACGAAACCAGAGCTAATCGGTTTATCTTTATTTCCATCAATGATCTCACGAGATTTGGAGCCGACGCCGTCTGCAGCTACAACAACATCTGCGATTATTCTTTCGCCATTGTCAAGGATAACGCCGCCCGTTTGGTTCGTTTCAAAATATGCACCTACTCTGCACTCGTAGGTTATGGGGATACCGAGCTCTTTGACATAGGTATTAAGCAGGTTGTGAAGTTTCTTTCGGTAGATGCCCAGCGAAGGATTCTTTGAGTGGCCAGGGGCATGATGCTGAATGAATGTGCCGTCGTATTTGCGCAGTTCGAAGTCCGGTGGTAGTCCAATAGCCCTGGCACGTTCCATAAAGCTGGGCCACTTCTTGGGAGTTTCGAGTGCAGAAGTGGTTATCATGATTACTTCGCCTGGTTGTTATTGTGTTATTGATGGTTGTGTTATCTTCCAATTTCAACGTGCTTACCAGAGTACTGGCCTTCTTGGTTTCGTTCAAGAATTCGTACATTGTGCCCTTTGCGATAGGCTTCGATGGCGCAAGTGAGACCACCGATACCGCCTCCTACTACAAGGACGTCGACACCAGTCGGTGGCTCTCTTTCCATCTGGGTGTGTTGGACGCCAGGCATGTTTGATTCTGTGGGCTCTGTTCAATGATTTGTTCAGTTGCGTTTTGATATCACTTAGCCAGATTTCTTCACTCCAATATCTATATACTAGCCCAACGCACGTAAGTCAACCAACACTCCATTGTTTACGGCACAAAAATATACCGACGGTCGAAAGTCTACGGATGGAAGAGACGCTTGGCCCGTACCCAAAGTTACAGATGTGCAGATCAGCGTGGATCTGCTCAGGAGCATGCGGTGTTGTATTGGATCGCAGATGTTGCTTCCGGCATCCCGACGGTATCACTCCGATTGCTTGTTAAGCATGAGGCTATTTGTGTCCTTGAAGACTAGTAGCGGAATTTTACCGGCGGCGGTGACGGTTTCTGCATTGGGCGCCAAGAGCTCATGAACATCATGTACGAAAGATTGTACGAGTGCGGGCCCGCATAATATCGTAGAAGCTTCACACTTCACTAACCCTACCGATGAACAATAGTACAAACCATAGTGATGTTGTAATATTAAATTCGAGCCAAGCGCCCAGATATGACCAAGAGTTTTGAGAAGATGAGACCGCTAACTTACGACAACAACGTACTCGGCAAACCTTCGCTCAACTGTATATGCTAGGGTGCGCTGTGAGCCTGCTTCTGCATGTCTTGAGCAATGACCGCTTTGATTTCGCGCATATGCTTTCCCACTACCGCACCGCCAAACCCTCCCTCTAAATCATCATGAATATCTTCATTACCCCTTGGGAAGATACCCACGCTCCTGCCACAAAGGTTTTGAGTCGACGAAAACCTCATCACGGCATCAACTACCCTGTCCATAGATGCATACCCTACAATTCCAAGCACGGCACCATTGTCCGCGACAAAATCGTCTTGCTTGGTAATGCCAGTATCGACGAACCATGGCGCAACGAGGTTAAGGCGGATTGAAGAGCGCATAGCACGCTCGCGAAGACTATAGAAGAGTCCTCGAACGCCGAACTTGGACATGCTGTACGTAGTACTGTAAGGGTAGCCGATGTAGGCTGCCAGTGAGGCGATAAGAACGATGCTAGGCGTGAACGTTGTTGCGGCTGTGCGCGGGAGTCGGAAGTAGTGTAACGCGAGATAACAGGTATTGTATACGGCGTCAAGATTGACCGACAAGCAAGCGGAGCCTGGGACCGGAGGCGGCGAATCTCCTAGGTTTGGTAAAGTGGTTGGTACCATATCGAACATGTTCTTCTCGGCCAGAATGCCTGCATTAGGGATGACAACGTCAATCTGCCCGTCGCCAAACTGTATCGCGGACTGAAACATAGAGGCTTGTGCTTCGTAAGATGTTACGTCGCATTGTACGAACTGCGCTCTGAGCCCTCGAGCTGTTAGCTCTGCAATTACTGCCCCCGCTGTATTCTGCCGGTCGGCCATCGTGACAATCGCGCCTTCTTCAGCCATCTTGATTGCGCATGCCAGACCGATACCGGATGCCGCACCAGTTATTAGAACTGAGCGATCTTTGAGATTGGTTGTATCCAAGGAATCGCTGAAGCTTATGGGCGTTGCCATGGTTGAAGTAACGGGATTCGCCATACTGATGGCGGGAAGAATGTGTAGCCCCTACTGTTGTGAAAGATGACATTTGTCTCGAGGGGATCATCTTGTATTAACAATGACATGATCGCCGCGCAAGCGCTGCGCCTGGCATTCCAGCAGGAAGTAGTGTGAGGCCATGAAGCGGGGAAAGAAAGCCAATGTACAAGTGGCGTTGGATTGTAGTCGAAGAGCCCACTCACTGTAGTGGTGTCTGCGCAAAAACAGGCGCGGTACGCGACATCTCGATGCGTGCTGCAGAGCAGGCGCGGGGTCGGCCAAGCAGTCGTGCGGGGAAAGGAGTAGCCGACCACCATACATATCCAACTCATGGAGTACGATACCCCTGCTGACGTGAGAAACCCTTGCAGTCGTCAAATGTGTTACGGGCGGCGATTATATTCATAACGAGGAATCCGGATCAAGGTTCCAACGTGGCCAAAGCATCGCGCCAAATTCTCGACGTATCACGAGTGCGAAAAGGTTGAATCAGACTCAAGAAGAGTCCCATCCAAGAAGCTTTAACCCAGAGTGAAAGACCAGTTCCACTCTCTTACAACCTCTTCCCAGTCCCTTCTTTGTCCACCTTCAAGTTTGGGTCGCCATACTTCCTTCAGCACCTTTTGCACACATTCGACGTTCTCGTAGCGATTCCTGTTCTGAATGTCCTCCAACCTTCGAAAGCACTTCTCAATGGCAGCTTCGTCGTCCAGCTCAGCGCCTGCTAGAAATATGGGATAGAGCAGGCTCGACTCCGCAGCGCTTCCGGGTGGTATGCGAGCAATGAACTCCATCGCACGTGCGGCACAACCTGCAATATTTGTAGAGTGGCTTGGTGAGGTACGATAGAGCTGAATGAGTGCCGCCAGACGGTAAGCCTCTGCCAAGGCGATGAGATCGAGAGCTATGGGGGTATCGACACCAAGTGCAAATGGATTGTCGTAAGTCCAGCTTTGGATGCCCTGCTCGATAACGTTGAAAGAAGCTTCGGTAGCGAGTGGGAACGCTGGATTTGAGGAAGTTACGTACTGTATCCGAGAGATGAGATCGCATAGCTGGTATGAGATGCCCATGAGCGGATCAATTGTGCCCGGCATTAGAGCGGCGCTGATTGGTATCAAGCCTTGCTCTGCTGAACATGGCTTTCCTGCGTTGGATACCCGTGCCATGAGAGATGCAGAAGCGAAATGATAGGTGAAGTGTCGATGTAGAGAATCGACCTCAACACAGTCCATGATGCTCTGTTCTGGAGTGAGTGCGCTAAGTATACGTTGAACGCTTTTCAACTGCGATATCCACCTCGTGGTCTTGACGCCGTTGAGCGCCTCAAGCCCTACTAGGATCAGGATCACCGCAGTGACCTGGTAAGTGTCTTCTGGAAGTCCACCCGAAGGATGTAGGCGTTCCTTGATAAATTGATAGCACTTCCTCTCATGGCGAGAGGACACGGCCCGAAGATGCTTAGCGCGGTCTGCGTCCTGGCTCCGCCGTGCCAACTGAGCTGAAGAAATGGCCAGAATGGCGTCAAGCATACCTTCGATCTGGAAAGACCAAGGCATGTATAGGCTAGTGTAGAAACTTGTTGCAATAGGCGCTACTTGAACACTGGGTACAAAGGCCTCGATATAGTACTGTAATAGATGCACCCTCTCCGCTTCTCCATCGCCCGGTAGCGCATCCCAAGGATCGAGAGAATTTCGCAGCGGAACTGTGACCTGAAGCTCGGGGCTCTTAGAGCTTGATTGTGATGAACTCGGCTCCGTAACGATACTTCGTGGACTCTGCCACTCGCATAATAGGTTGAGGCGTTTGCAATTTGCACATCGAGGTTGGGCGTTATCGCACCTCTTTCTCCTGGTTCGGCAGGTCAGGCAGCCTGTACGCGATCTTGGCGCGAACTTGCGCTGGCGCGGCTTCGTCTCAGCCATGGTCTGAAGGGTAGAGGTGCAGGAAAGGGCTGGATTCGGATAGTCACCGAGGAGACATGAAGACGTGCATCGTTGCGGGAGCGTTATTGGCAAAGATAGCTGGAGATTGAGTCAGATTCCGCGATCGCGGGTGCAGTATCGATAAGCAGCGTGACTAATCGGGGATTGCACCTCCGAAGGGCGACAGTTGCGTCGACTCGCATCATCATCAACCTGCATTCAACCGTAGTCTACGCCTTGTCTTGCTTGGACCCCACAACGGCATTCTCTCCCAGGTGCGCGAAGGATCACGTCCCATAACGGGCCTGCTTGGCCGTTGAGGCTGACCGCGCCGCATTGCGAGTGAACCATCCATGATGTTCCAGCTCCCACGTGCGGTTTGTTCCTGAGAATCTTTACCGTCTTAGGAAGCATCGCCTATGTTCATCTCCGAGGCTAAGCAGGTGCTGCACTTGACAACACCACAATAGATGAAGATACTGGGGTATAAAGATGAGGGCCACACGCCTTATCGTCGTCTGTAGCTCAAAACATCTTACAATCCCAATCAACGACCATGAGGCTTCTTGTTGTTTCCCTCGCTATCAGCAGTACTGCTGTCGCGGCGCAAGATAATTTCAACATTTTCCAGCATATTGGTGGAAACGGACAATGGTTCCCTGGTGAAGAAACGACAGGCATCTCTTCTGAGATACCCACTGGATGTAAAGTCGATTTGGCTGGTGAGAACACTTTAGTTGAGGACTGACCAAATCCATACTGAATCTACACAGCTTTCTTCTCTCGTCACGGTTCACGGTACCCTGACAGAGGCGCGTACAACGGATGGGTTGAGTTCGCCGAATACATCCAAGCAGCAGGTAACTTCACCGTCAATGACGAGAAGCTCGCTTTTCTCAAGTCCTGGAAGCCGGTACTCTCAGATCCCGATGCTCAGATCGCCAATATAAGCCCCACTGGATGGAGAGAGCTTCACGATATGGGTACCACATGGCGGCTCCGCTATCTTGATCTGTACGATTACAACACCGCCTTTACTATGTGGGCGAATTACTATACTTCAGGTCCCCGTGTACGGGATAGCGCACGCTTGTTTGCTCAAGGTTTCGTGGGACCCAACGCTACGGATCTTACCACTATCTATGCCCTCAACGCGAGCGATCCTGCCAGTTGGGGCAATACGCTTGCACCCAGTGATCTCTGCAAGGCTTACAATGACGCAGGTGGTGGCCCTGCAAAGGACACATGGGACTCCATATATCTTCCTCCGATCGCGTCCAGGCTCAACGCCAAGATTCAGGGTGGTTTGAATCTCACGACGAGTCAAGTCGACCAGATACCCTACCTATGTGGTTTCGAGACCCAGATCACTGGCCGACGGAGCCCTTTTTGCGACATCTTCACTGATGAAGAAATCTTGCAGTACGAGTATGCGCAGGATTTGCGTTACTGGTACGGCACTGGCCTAGGGTCTGATATCGAAAAGTATCAGATGCTGCCAGTCGTCGACATGACCGTACAACGCTTTGTTGATGGTCCAAATGCGACTTACCAAACGGGCAATGGGACCTTTGTTCCCCCAAAGATCATGGCCAATTTCGCGAACGATGGCCAAATCAATCAGCTCGCCGCTGCAATTGGTGTTTTCGACGGCCAACAGCAACTTCCTGGCAATATGTCCCTACCGAACCGCATCTTCCGTTCATCCCAGGTTGTGAAGATGCGCGGAACAATTGCATTCGAACGCCTCTCCTGTCCTGCTGCTGCCCATGATGGCAGCTACGGCTACAGTGCCCATAGCGATTACAACAGTACTGCATCCGAAGAGGCCTTTGTACGAATCCGCATCAACGAGGTCGTATATCCTGTGGTGGGCTGTACCAGTGGTCCTGGCTCTTCATGCCCGTTGTCGCAATATCAAAGCATCATCAACGCGAAGCGTGCAGAAGCCGGCGATGTGACCAAGCTATGCAATATGACCGGTGAAGGCCTCGCACCTAAGCCGGAGGCAACTTTCTTCTTCGACAATACACTGCCCTGGCAGTCAGTTGTGAAGCCGTAGTGAACATACCAGGTAGTGTTGAATCACCTTTAATGATGAAATTCATCGCTTGTGTCTCTGCATGTGTTTCTGTGCCGTTCCATTGATCTCTGTGCCGCAACAAAGCAACGTCCTACATCATACGACTGATACACGCTGCACCCTTTGCATGCAAATGTGAGTAATATTTCTTTGAAATCGCAACATCTAACGTGCTCGTCATTGCTTTGACAAGGCGTCCTCGGCTACCGACAATTGACATGTACAGGGCGCGCGCACTGCTCACTAAGTCGCACTAACCCCACTTCCATCTCATTGGACCAGGGCGTGTGGGCACAAGGCGCACGCCCTACCCAAATTGTCATACTGTACATGCTCTCTCCGCTCTTTCCACAAGCCATACAAGACAAAGATCGGTTGTTAATGAAGCAGTCGATTGCGCGGTGTCTTTGACATGTATCCATGTGACCTCGTTATAGTACGACTGAGCAGATTTTCCGAAATTCAAGTTGTACGAGAGGCTCGCACTGTTCACCGTACATCTCTACCCGTCGGGAAATCGACATGGAACTAGTCACTTCCGGAAGCGTGTGGCTGCGGAACGGGCTACCCATTGGACGCAGTCCGTACATTGATGGCGTAAATTTGTCTCCACTTGCGCCCCAAGCGGGTGGTCAGCTTTGCGACATGGGAAGCTACTGAAACAAGCCTCCCACGCCTTTCAGGTCAATTACCAGCGCAGGAAGTGCCGCGACGGCAAAGTCATGTTGGACCTTGGAGTCATAGGGTGTGCGATTCTCGGATGTCCAGATCGGTACAGTGGACTGAGCTTTTCTAGGGATATAAAGGTAGGAAAGTGTCCAGCTGTAGAAATCCACACAATTACGAATATACAAAACGACAAATCATCTCAAGGTCCAGATTTTGGTACGGTTCCACGCAGAAGTAGCAAGGCACCCTGAAGAGAACAAGAAGCAAACAAAAACATTTATCATCAACAAAAACAACGCGTCAAGTCTGAACAACAACACACACATCCATCATCTCTTTCGCCAGTCGAACAGAAGAAACAAGTTCGAGAATACGCTTAGATTGTTCACACATCGCACATCCTCTCATCTGCCTAAAGATGTCGACCTCCTCCGCCTCCACTCCGCGCACCTCTTTCGAGTACCTTAAATCGCCAGCTAAAGCCTCCTCGTCCTCTTATCTATCCATCACGTCCTCATCGGCATCCACGTTGAGGGCTTCGAAGACAGCGCACGGCGTATGGAGCTCTATCAAAAGACATGCGAAAGAACACCACGAGAGCGTGAACGCAGCTTATGCTGCATACTACGGTCGTGGTGGAAATGCAACTGAGAGAGGGCAAGAAGTTTGGGAATACCGTAGGGTTAACAGGCAGTAGGTGGAATGTACGAGGCGGCCGTCGTTGTGGCCTATGAGGTTGGTAATGTGATCGTCTTGCTATGGACTTGTATGGAGTTTGGTGGCTGTTTGAACTTGGCGAGCTTTTCTCTCTGGGCTGGTGGCGCATAGACTTGTGCTTGAAGAACCTGTATGTCTAACTGGGTTTTTTAATCATTGGAAATAATCAAATTTTACATTATTTATCACCAACGTGTGCGTGAGTTGAGCGCTTTGTGGTATGATTGTGGTAAAACTTGGTAGGAATCAGCTCTCCCATATACCTAATTCTCTTCCTCGACTTTTAGAGGCAATCCACCAGTGTCGTTATCGGCAACAATGTGATTTGATCTGACCGGAAACAAAAGTATTCCTGTGCGGTGGTATTCTCGAAGCTTCATATTAGTGGTGAGATCTATATGGAGGCAGGGATTGGCGATCGTAACTAAGGAATCGCTGGTGTTACAACCTGCATACACTTCAGTTATGCATCATGTCCAGCCACCAAACCTTCAATGGCGCCTTTTACTCCTTCAATGACCTTCCATATGAACTCATCCTCTACAGCGTCCTGTATCCAGCAATAGTTCAAGGTCGCATTACCATCGCCACCAGTCACGACGCTGACGGCCAAAGGACTTGTTACAACATTAGGTGACTGGCTGAACACCATCCTTCCGATAGCCCAGTTTCCCGGCTTTTGCTTGTTCTTCCATACACCTACATTGGACAGCTCTGCAGAAGGATACCGAGGCTTGCCCAGCTTATCGAGGAAGAATTGTGGCATCGAAGACACATACTTCAGCAGCGCAATAGAGTTATCCGTACCAGCTTTGGCGACTTCCGCAGAGATGGCGGACTTGACTGCTCGTGCAATGTCCCATGAGAACTGATCCAGGACGCTAGACTTTGCTAGGCCCTGAAGATTTTGCGACGCAAGGCGCTCATGGTGGTATCCATACTGTGTCATCGCAAGTGTCATCTGCTTTTCCTCGACGTCCAAAAATCTCTTCATAGCTATCGGCCCCTCGATCTTGAGCTTCTCATAGTCTTGGGCTGGAAGATGTGCGAAGAGCGATGCCGCGATGAGACATTGCAACGTTGCTGTCATGCTTGTTTTCTCGGCTCGACTGAGCTGTACCAATTTATCTGTGGTTGGTTTCGACAGAACAAGCGTGTGATATCGAGGCTGCGGAAGTGGTTCTGCGTCTTGCTGCACAGGGTTACCTGTCCAGAGCTTCGGAGGTCGCTTTGCGAACACTGAAGGCAGCAAGGCTCCAAGTATGGCTTGGATGAAATATGGCCATGAGACCGTCATTGGGTGCAGCTCCTCTAGCGGTGGTGGTAGAGCCATAGTCGAAGACTTGACCATTGGCTCTACGTTGCTTTCCGTTTCTGGAGAATTCAGGCCACCCAGGAATGACTCGTGGAACAGGAAAGCTGACGCTCCATCTGCCAAAGCATGATGCCACATCCATGTCGCAGTGAATCTAGTCACATCGGTTGGTGACTTGAAAACGAGTAAGCGCCAGTAAGGCTTCGATCTCAATCCTTCCTTGAAGCCGCGGCTATGTTGTTGTGCTAACATCTCGTCGAGTTCTTCATCCGTCTCGCCATCGTTCGGAAACGACTTCTTGCGCTCACATATCTCCACGCAGGTACGCAGGTCAATTCCGGGTAGGTGCGCAAAGTACACATTAGGGTAAGATTGGTCCTCGTTCACAGCGATAGCGCTCAGGATTGGATGCTCGGCGATAACGTGTCGAAGCGCAAAGTAGACCCGATCCTCGAGAGACAGTTGAGGAATTTCGGATGTTACGTATTCTGCGGTAAAGCCAACACTCTTGTAAAATCCTAGATGATGCCGCGCGGTGCTGTAAGTTTCGAGTCTGCCGCATGGACGCAGTCTGTTGAGGTCAGTCATTCTGTGCGGGTGCAAGTTTCTTTGAATGAGATTTGAAGAAGTCGTAAGTGTCGCATCGCTATAGTTATATCGGATAGAGCTGTGAGAACCGCATACTCGCAACGATTGCCATGTGGGGAAGGAAGAGATTGACCGTATGAAGCGGCAAGCGGCTACCCTCCTAACCTCGTGCTGACTCGTGTCGCAGCCCGAACGGCAACATGTGAAGAATCCCACTCAAGATTGCGCATGTTCGCCTGAGATCTATTGTGGAGGTCGGTGTGCCAAGCAACATGTGTGTGTAAATAGTTACTGTTCGCAAGGTGTTGGTGTTGGTGTTGCGACATTGAACGTTGCCGAGACCGGGCAGGTGCTTGTCCCGAAATCGATGACGGGATCGTTCCCGGTTCTCCTGCGGTCGTGCAGCAGGAAACCTGCGTCGCCAACACTGGCGATAACCCATCACAACACAGTCGCGAGGTGTGCTTGGATACTAGAGAGAGTATGTCGTAGCTTACTTGTATCCTCCTACCACGGGGCTAGAAGGATCATCGCAACCCCAGAAATGGGGCACGAGGTGCGCAAGAGTGCATCAAACGGCGCGGCCCCAACATTAACCGGGGGCGGAAATGGACAGTTTAAGAAACTACCATACCCATAGCAGTATAACGCTAGATGAGCAGGTTCTGGAAGCTCCTCGTATCTGCCCACATTTAAACGGTACGAGTTGTTGCCCAATCATGGCAGTCCTACAAACGATGTATGCCTCCCAGATTCAGCCTCAAATCGCCAGGGCTTCATGCGACAGTGAGGTAGTGAATGCGATGTCGAGACAACGATTAAAGCTACGCTGCGCACGACAAGTGAATCGTCATCTTGCCTTCGCTCGCCATAATGGCCCCAAACGTGGCGCTGCCAACGGTAACATCCAAGCTGGGTCCGCCACGATTATTGGACCTATTGCATGTCCCGAAACTGGAAGAGAGGATGTCGCCCGACGCAAACAACCCGCCAAAGGAAAAGGCTCCCACGTTGATGTTTGTAGGCATATGTCTAGCTATCACATTCGTTCTTGCGGCCCCCATGGTAGGGATATGGCTCGCTGATCGAATCAGAAGGCGGAAACTGGATCCTTTCAGGAGGCTCCGAGATCTCGAGCGCAAAGGACAACGTCCTGGCATAGATCCACCTCCGTACGAAAAGGCACCGCCTCAGGATTCAATATGGGCTCGACAGGAGAGGCATAGGACTAAGAAGCCACCAAGAGCCATCACAGCAGATCAGGTTCTGGGTATTGATAAAACATCGTATCTACAACGCATTGTACCTCAGAGTGGTTCGTCAGCCTTCAATCCTAACTTGGAGCGTCTGCTGACGAATTGTAATAGAAGGGTCTGCGCAGCTACTTACAGTCGCGCCTGCACATATCGGATGGGCTAGGCAAAGGGTGACGTCAACGGAGGACGAAGAACAGTGCATCAGCCCCTGGGCCGTGGAGCACACTCCAAATCCAGTCATTTTCCCATGGCTTCAACGGCAACAGCTGCCCAGAGACAACGTCAACGACGAGAATTGCGAGACATTGCAAGTGATGACAATGTCAAGTACCACATCCCCATTGCTAGCCGTCTCGACAGTGGAAGGCTCCACACCTGGGCATGCCGAAAACCCTTTCCTTGATTCTCCAGCAGAATATACCAGTTCTCCACCTGATAGCGACAAGTCCTATGCATCTTCTGAAACTACCTCAAGAAAGCATGCAGCGCCCGATCAATCCAACGACGCTGCACAGCCGCCTGTGCATCCATTAAGCACATATCGATGCGATACGTGCCAGACAACGTACCATTCACAAGGGCAACTGAAGTAAGTCGCCAATCTATACCAATTTCCATATACTTCGAATGTATTCAGCACTAATAAAACCTCAGTGTACATCTCAATCGCAAACACCGTAGGAGGTATCGCTGCGAGCACTGCGACTCAGCCTTCGCGCTCAAAGCGGACCTCAAGCGTCATGAGCGCGGCGTTCACAAAGACATGTACACAGTACAAGTGTTCTATTGTCTCAATCCAACTTGCACAATACCCGATAAGAAGTTCACCCGCAGGGATAATTTCGAAAGACATGTGCGAAGATGTCGCAATCGCAAAATTACATGATGTCAACTGTTCAGGACAAGAGAAAAAGAATCACGAAGACATGGAACGAGCAACCTACCATCCGAACAAGGCACGGCTATGTACACGGCTGACACTTCTGAGTGGCTTACTATGGAAGGCATTGCGAGTAATGCTCACTACTCTCCTTGCACGTTCCTAGGGCGCAAGTTGTTGGTCCAGTCCATGTTTTACCGCCGCACTGCGCATACAACGCTGCTCCTGCAGCCGGCGCTTCGGGTACTGGCGCTGGCTCCTGCGTCGAAGGTGTCGAACCACTACCTCCTTCTTGTCCAGCCGCACAAGTGAGGGGCGCTGGCCCTGGTACCGAGTATGCCTTGCCACCCATGTATGGCTTTCCAGTGGCATCGTAAATATTAACCTGGATACCGGCATCGTTGGCTTTGTAGGCACCAGGGAAAGATACGAAGTTTGAACCTTTGTTTGTTCCGCTTCCAGTGACGCGGATCTGTGCGCACTCCATGTAGAACTGTGCACCGCCTGTTTTTCCGGTCAGCAATGTTATGGGAAGGCAAATCGAAGTTATTACCTTGATTTTGAGCGCCGTGAAGGGCGATGAGTCTGTATGTGAATGTACAAAGTAAGTTCATGTTTCACATGTAATCTGTAATTGGGAAGTACTGACTCAACGCGTATGAGGTAGTCACCTGGAGCCACACAAGTAGGCATGTCGAAGTAATGCCAACCTCCATTCGCAATCATAGTATCCACGGCCCATTTTCCGTTACTCAAGCCATCTCCGGCGACTTTAAACCATTGCAGACCAGTGGTTCCAGTCGTGGCAGCATTATCCACCTTGGCAAGATAGTATTGTATCGGACCTACGATGTATCCATCAGCTTCTGCTGTCTATGCGATCATAACAGTTCTCGGTAGTTCTACTGACCTTTGTGACTCGCAGCAATAGGATGATCGGGATCATTGGCGCTCTGCTTACCGCCAATAACGTGGCCTGCAGATAGGGCGAAGTCAGTGTATACGTCATATGCATCCATGACAGTCATGGCTTACCCCACCAAGCTCCGACTCTTGCTCCCGCCGGAATACTTATTACAGTAGTGTCTTTGTGTTTGATGTCTTTGTTGCAGGCGAATGCCGAATCGGTGACGCTCGTGATGGGATAGTCAGAATCAGGAGCGCGGACGCCCTTGAGCTGGCCTTGGTCCACACCGTTCACCGATACCTTCTGGAAGATGGTGTGAGCTGTGGCTGTACCTGCCAGGGCGGCGAGTAGAAAGGCTTTCATGGTCGCTACAGAGGTTGGTAACTGGGAATTGACTCGTTCAGTGCCAGTTGGCGATTATGTAGTCAAGTGGGAGCATACGCAAGAAACATCACAAACAGCGCGCATTTAATCACATGTAATGCGTCAGTATTCATCATGATCATATATATGAACAAAGGAATGGAATAGTATAGCTCAAGCCGATAGAGACAGTTGATGCTCCAAATCGCGGTCACTTTGGTTGTGTTCGGCAGTGGTATATTGCCGTACCAATTTTCTGGCCATCTTGGGTAACCTTACACTATGTATTAGATTATATGTGGCTGGGCCGTCTTTGGATACTGATCGGTCCGCGTGCTCCGTGCCTGATCAAACTAGACTTGAATGTTTCATAGTATGCCAAGTCGTGTACAATATTTCACTCATGCATGACTTATTCGGGAGACTGAAGTTCGTTCTCTGGGTGCACTGGTTTGACTATACCTTCGATCGGAACTAGGAATTTGCAGACGCAACAATACTTGTATGCTTTCTAGTCTAGATGATCCGGATACAACTTCGCAGGCATCACTTAATTACAGGTCTCGTGTATCGCGTGTGCATTGGAACAGCGGCACTACCGCAGGATGAACCCTATCATCTTCGTCATGGTCTATAGTACAGTACAGTCGGGCTTACAACACATGCCACAGCTCCATCAACATCTCCCTTGAGTCTCCCACAAACTTATCACCACAAGCGTGGTAGAGATCAAAGCGAACCTCGAACGTCCAAGGTCTCCTTACCTCTAATCCCAGCGTATGAGAGTTGTTGTCCTGGCCAACACGTACTAGCAGCGTTTCATTCAAAGCGGTGCATTGCCTTGCCTGTTCGCGATACTGAAAATGATGCGTATGCGCAGCCGAACCTTTGCAGCGGATGTTATTCTCTTCCTTATCCATGTTTCTTGCGTTGAAGAGCTATAAATTTCCGTATCACATCTTCCTGCTAACCTTTGTGAAGGGCCAAAGTCATTCAGTCCGCCCAGAGAATCGGCATGCACTTTGTTATCCGACGCAGTTGCAATGAAAGCGCGCATGCGGGTAATAGACGGATGGTTGTTGCGGATTCGTTGCTTGGTGGAAGAGGATATGGTTTCAAGAGAGCGTGGAGTCATAGAACGTAAGCCACAGGCATGTCGAGTCCGCATCGTACCACAACCCGAAAGAAGTAGAGAGAGGCAAAGGCTACGCTTCTCCCACTATCTGCCACAGCTTGTCGAGCTGTTTCTCGCTTGAATTTGCTTCCTTTATTCCTTCGATCTTGGGACCGAGAGTTGGGTAGAGCTTCTTGATACCGATGGTCGTGAAGCGGTTTCCTCTCGTGTAGGAGTTGTGTCTTTCTTTAACATCGACTGCCATTTGGATGTCGTAATTTTGAGTAGGTCGTTGAATAGAGATTGATCGGATGGGGCCGGGTTGCCGTCTAGGTGATACATCGTGAGGAACGAATGCGAATAGAGATATCTCGAAGAGACGTGTAAAAGTGGGAAATCGAGTGGATGGAGGCAAACGGGGCCCCGCTGCCGGTAAATACACAATACTCCGGGGTAAATACGGACCGACATCGCACTATTGGTACCTGGTGCCACCTGCAGGCCGCGTCTTACAGCTCCCAACGGTACAGTCCAGCCCCGCGCATTTTCGACGATCACCTGCAGCCCCATGGTGGGATTCTGGGCTAGGCCCTACGGTTACCCCGAGCGTTGCTTGTCTTGGCCACACCGATCAACATTGCGTTCGAGAACATGTATTCCAACTTTCTGTGAGCCACACATGTTCAGAGACATCGCTCAACCGTCTCCGGTCCTTGATGTTGCTTCCGGCCTACCAGTCTTGGTCACACGTCTGCTGCGATGCAAGTGACACATTGGTAAATACCCGCGTCATGATTTCACTGGTCGGAGTACTCACCGCCACTAAAGTCAAAAAAAGAAAAGGGCCTTTTGCAGCAGATCAGTAGATCGTAGTGAAGCATGCGACGATGGCGCAGTCATCTGGAGTCGATGCTGCAGCAAACGCATATGCTCTGTCGGTGCAGCGCCGTAACACCATCTGTGCGACTGATATCGAAAGATTTTGACTCAGCCGTATTTCCGTGTAGAGTTTGTGCTACGGCCATGTTGTCTTTGATCGGCCGCATGGAAGCTTGATATGGTGTTCCGCATGGAAATGAAGCGGTGTAAAGTTGCAAGACAAGCAGGTACGCGGTTGCTGACAGGGAGACTTTGCAAAACGTAATGACGACAAGAAGCCACGCATAAGACGTTAGCTGTAGTGGCTGGCAGATGACTCCGTATTCCGAACCGTGCCGAATTTAGATCTGCTGATGTAATCGAAGCATCCAGGTACCGAAACTTGGACGCGCATTTTCAAGTTCCCAGTGTCTACCGACGTTACTCAACCGCACCACAGAATACACGTTTCCTCCACTTTGAACCCTCTATTGTTGCTCGGCAGCGGGACGGGCAGCGCACGATTAGGCTACTGAATCCGACGGGTGGTACCTGGTATTGTCGAACCATCTGCACCTGCTCATGGTGCCGGCTCATGACATAACGCTGCGGATACACGCATGCAAAAAAGACAGATATTCGCCTGTGTCTTTTAGCACATTTGATGAGATTTTATGGTCGTCAAGCGTATTGGTTGCGTAAACGTTTACTGGTAAACAAGGAATCTTTTCAAGCTTAACTGGAAACCTAAATCTAGGAAGTGTTTGTGCATTCATGGGTGGTGACTGCAATATTTACCCCAGTTTCCTTGAGCAAACTCTTAGCCTCGCGCGTACGGCGAACTAGGCCATGGCTTTACAGCTCTTGTTTCTGTGCGCCTGGTTACTGGGTCCTTCTCAGTAGTACCTTGGTCCACGTCCCGAGCACCTGTAACCAGAATTGGCCCTAATGAAGCCCTTACCGAATCTTGGCATGCGGCAGCGATATGTGTGCAACTTGGGCGTCTCCAGTTGTGGTTATCATATCAATGCGTCTTGTTGGGTGACATCAACCGCGCCTCATGGAGCGGAGAGTCGTTTGTTCTTGAGGTATAGCGAGTCTTGCTGGTACTTTCTTTCCGATCGTGGTTGGTGTACACGCTAGGAGATGGTGGCTGGCGGAGTAGAAATCCAGGCCAAAGTCAGCCGCGGCTGAGAGCAACACCCGGTGTAAGATATTAGGGAACTAGCATACGGAAGCGTCGATCAAACGGCTACCAAACATTCAAGAGGCGATTACTTTTGCATGATCCCTCTCCCGCACGGGCTGCTGCATGGACAAGAGCCGACGAATCGTGCACGTTTTCACCGCAATGTTGGTTGAATTAGTAAAGGAAAGGTACACTGCGACCGCCTCAGTAGGCAGTGGCTACCGCTCTCCCCTACTAACAAAAGTCCTGTGCGTCGCTTGCCGTACATCGGTTCAACCTCCACGCCTAGCGTGATTCAGTCGCTCTACCTACGAATTCACAATTATTTCTCCTTTCCTTATCACTCCCGTATCAAACAACGGTGGGAGAACGCAGTGCTCGAGCATCTGAGCCACCTGCAACCATGGACGGGTCAGTACTTGCAACAACACAGCAACCACCGTCGTTGACTTTGATAACAGTACATCTCGGAAGCGAGTGTCACAAGCCTCATCGACTTCGAGTGTCACAAGTTCCGAGCATGATGCTCCTGAACCGCGACGTGTCAGGGATAGCATACCATGGAAGCTATGGGTCGTCGCTATGATCGGGTTCTGGGAGAGAGCAACATTCTGGGGGCGTAAGTGTCACCACCTGTAGCAAAATGTTTGACATGACACTGACACTACACTGGAAAGTCACCGCCCCTTGGCAAAACTACATGGAACACCCTCAGTATCACGAAAAGGACCAAACTCCCGGTGCTCTCAACCTTGGGCAGACCACGGCAACACGAATGTACTGCGGATTCTTCATCGTCTACTTCACCAGCCCGATTCTCATAGCGCCATTGGCAGACAATCATCTAGGCCAATACAAGACTTTGCTGATCAGCTTGGCGATTTATACTATAGGATGCATCGCCCTGGTGATCAGCTCGCTCCCGGTGATGCTTGATCGAGGAGCGGGTTTGCCTGGTCTGATTATTGCGATGTTGCTGATTGCTATGGGTGGCGGAGGTGTGAGTATCATCATCAGTGCCGCTTGCTGCGAATCCTGACTTCTCTTAGACCCAAGTCACCATGAGGTCGTTCATTGCCAACCAGTATACGGATAGGACTTCCAAGAAGATAACACTATTGACGCCTCAGAACCGTTTCCTGAAATGGAGTTATCTCGCGAAATATTGTACAACTTCATTGAAAGAAGAACTAGTAGTGATCGACAGCGATATCACTCTACAATATATTTACAACCTATACTTCTGGATCGGCAATGTAGGCGCTTTGTCAGCATTCCCTTGCGTCTACATTGAGAAACACCACGGATTCGCTTCCGCATATGCTCTTGGTCTTGGTTGTATCGTTATTGCGCTCTTGATGTTGGTATTTGGCAGGAAACTTTTCGGTATGCAGCATCCTACGTTTCAACGCTAGCTACGCTAACCTGCAGGTAGTCAATCCACCGCAGGAAGCAGATGTGGTGGTACCTGCAGCTAGGGTTCTCAGCTGCGCTATCCGCAATGGCTTTCGGATGAAACGCGCAGACCCAATTTATCAGCATACCGAGAAAGGTAAAGAGGTTTCATGGACCGGTCAGTTCGTCGATGAGATTACTCATGCGTTGGGCGCGTGTCGGGTGCTGTAAGTGTGACTGGATCCATGTGCTTGTATATGCTGACCTATAATCGAGTCTGGCATTTATTGTTTTTTACATCTGCTTCGATCAAATGCAGAACAACCTTATATCTCAAGCCAGCGACATGAACACCGGAGACACGCCAAACGACATCCTCCCTGGCATGAACCAAGTGGCTTGCATACTCATCAGTCCATTTGTAGAATACGTCCTCAACCCTCTGCTGGCAAAAAGATGCATATATTTGAAGGCGATCACTCGCATCGCCATCGGCTTTTGCTTTGTCACACTTTCGATGCTGTATGCAACCTTGGTACAATACTACATCTATAAGTCTCCACCATGCTTCGACCACCCATCATACTGTGGAAATAGTGTGTCCGCAACACGATACCGGCCCAATGTCTGGATACAAGCGCCTCTCTACTTCCTGATGGCAACAGGCGAGGTGTTCGCTATGACGACAGCCATGGAGTATGCAGAGAAGCACGCACCAAAGGAGATGAAGGTCTTTGTGCAGGCTATCAACATGCTCATCACGGGTATAGGCTCGGCCATCGCTCTGGTCATCGCCGAGGCAGCTCGCGATCCTTACCTTACCTCGTTCTACGGCAGTCTTACAGGTGCTATGGCCCTCACAACCATCGTGTTTTACGTTATGTTCCGGAATAAGGATAAAGATGATACCAGAGCAGATATAGAGGAGGGCAGCAGAGGAATGGCGCTACCACCACCAGACTCACCGTTGGGATCACGCCAACTCGATACGATTGTGACAAGTGGATCTACGGATACAGACAAGGGCATGGAGTTGACGCCAATTACATCCTCACGGACAATACATATCGAGCGAAATACCACAGCTGTAGCTGGATCATGTTAGGGAGCCCTTGTTTCTCTGCTCCGGTGCGACATCTGAGCGAGCGTCAAGTATCGCACTAGTGTTGTTACTACTGTACATATGTCAATTCTATAGTGCCATCATGATAGGACATATTATCATTCATTACGACCATGCGACAGTGACAGTCTATAGTCTGTGTATAGGGACTGGAATGTGACTTTATGATGCTCTTCTTTGCATCGTCAAAGGTTTAACTTAACCGTTTTTGGCGTCCCCAGGTACCACCGTTTAGCTAGAAGATGGGGCATACGCATAATCATAGCATCAACAACCTCAACAGCATGAGCAATTGTCACCGTCGCATGTCCAAGTCTGAATCCCTTTCTCTACAACTGACAGTCGTTGTTCGGTCGCTATCAGGTTGCGATGTACGCTATGGAGGATTTTCAAGATTGTTCGCTTATGCCACAATATACCTATTCATTCCCACATAGCAGCAAAAAAGCTGATGTAGCAACTATACGGCCATCGTAAGCAAAAAGACAATGATGATTGCCTTCCGCCAGAATTGAACTGACGACCTCGTCATTACTAGTGACGCGCTCTACCACTGAGCTAGGAAGGCTGTTTAACTTTGATGACAAAATGATTCATGGTATCATCTATATCTTTGGCATTACATTACCAGTCTGGCTGACTTAGCACAACAGTACTCGTCCACGGGCGCGTTCAGTCAACTAAGTCTTGTAGCATGACTCGCGGGGTAAACCGACAGTAGCACTAGTACAGGACTGGTGGGGCTGGACTTCATGACCCTGTAACTATCCATGTACACGACAAGACGAGTTTGGAGATGATGGGCCTCGAGAATAACCCGTTCATACCAGCTCCTCCTGTCTTTTGCACTCGTTTCTACTTCATCCAATATCTCCGCAAGATTTGTTCTAAATTGGGTTGTCTTGTGGCCGTTCCACCTCCGTTGACGTGAACACGATGCACACTGACCGCTTTGCGCTTCCCTTCTTCTCTTTTGCGCTCAACACTACTGCTGGTCATATTCTAAGGCCACTAAGCGGGTGGGTGCGGCGATTCACAGCGAAAAGAAGGAGAACGGGCTTCAAGGGCATTTTGGAGAGAAAATTCCATGTATATTCTACTCTTATCATGTGCTGCCATGTTGTCTACGAAGACATGCTATATGCAACGCCAGTCTAAATGCAGTGTACGGCCTAGGAAATGGCCTGGAAATGGAAAGAAAAACCACTGAAAAATAATGAGGGTATGACGCTATTCAGAACGAGATGAACAAAACTTAAAACGCCGATGATTCAAATCTAGTGCGATGTCTTCTCCTGGTGCTCGAGTTCTTTGACATATTTGACGAAAGTCTTTTTGTGAACCTGCTTACAGTTAGTATTGCTCAGCCTCTACTCATTATGCATTACATACCAGACCAGCGTACTTGCCGTCCCTAAGCACGCAGATATACCGCAACCCAAGCTTCACGAAGCACTCGTACACCAGATCCATTGGTGAGTGGACGTCCAACGCAACAGGTGCCGGATCAATATATGGTGTAAAGTCGCTAGGATCGTACGCGTCTTGCTCTTCTTCATCTTGCGGCTCCCGCCCTGCAGCCCAGTCTACCCGTGGCGACATGAGGCAAAGTGTGTTCTCCTCATTTTCTAGCTTATCAAGGGCGAATTCCAGATCCGGTGCAGGAATGAGACCAACAAGAACGCCATTTTTAATAATTGATAGGCCACCATCAAGTTCGCCTATCATTTGTAGTCTACGTTGCTTTGCACGAAGTTCGACGGCGGGGATAAGTGCATCTTCCGAGATGTCTATGATGTGATCTTGTCTTTTCCCAGTGGTGATGTCGCCAAGCTCAGATGTGAAAATCGGCCGCACCTTATTGTCGAGGAAGGGATATGAGTTCATGTCTGTGAGCAGATCGTAGATACTTAGTGGCTCAATGGCATCGGCTACCCATTTGGAGACAAGGATGCCGAGAGAGAAAGGTAGAACGTGATCCAAGCTGCCTGTGAGCTCAAAGAGGATGACTGCCAAGGTGATACTCAGACGAGTAACACCTGTCATTGTGGCGCCAGCAGCTACTAGAGCGTAAACTCCAGGAACAACACATTGACCTGGTGTCCCATCGGCGGAGCATTCTCCAAAAAGACCAAAGTGGTTAAAACGTAGGGCAACAAGTTGCACGGTGTGACCAATGAAGCGTCCAGCAAGACCACCTACAACCATGGAAGGTACATAGATACCAGCTGGCACTTTGATGCCAAAGGTGACGACGGTCAGAAGCGCCTTGATGACGAATGCGAAGAACAAAACTTTGAGCACGCTTGGGATGTGTTCGACTGTAGGACAAAGACCGTCACCACTGTCCGTGTAGATATCACATGGACTAGCCAACTCGAACAAAAGCTCCGTGACTGGAAGCTTGGTGTAACGGTTCCAGAAGCTGATCAGACCGGTGACAAGCGCAACAAGAAATACTTCGAGAAGCGGGTGTTTTTTGATGATGGGTATACGACGGAATGTTCGTGCCCAGATGCGAGATGCCTTGATGAACAATGCGCCGAGGACACCACCGACGGCACCGGTGAAGACGAAGGTCGCAAGCTCGAAGAACTTCCAATCCAAATGGTATCGAACCTCGAAAAGAACAATCTTCTTGGTGCCGTATGGATCCAGGAATTTGAGAGACAGAGCAGCCGCCTATTGACAAATTAGCCTAGCCAGTGTGGGAAAGAGGTGACTTACGATGCAGCAGAAGAAGGTTCTGAAGAGCGTCTTGGACGGGAAGTAATAGCTGACTTCTTCCAAGCTGAAGAGCACTCCACCAATGGGAGCACCGAAAGCAACGGCGACACCACTAGCAGCACTAGCGCTGAGGATCTCCCTGCGCTTTCCATCGTTGTTACTGTACTTGGAGAAGATACGGCACGCGATGTTTCCTATGCAAGTCGCGATGTGCACATACGGACCTTCCTTACCAAGACTGAGACCTGATGCGACACTTAGGATCAGTGCCAGCGTCTTGACGAGCAGAGTCCGCACACCCAAATAACCGTGGAGAACAAAGCCGCTAAGAATGACCTTGACTTCAGCTACGCCACTGCCTGCAGCAGAATAGTAAACCATGGGCGGCCGGGCCTGAACCTCCTGGAACCTCGACTCTGGACTGATACTGCGACTGCGCTTGCCATCTTCTTCTTCAGCTTGATCAGAGTATCTCCGCACTTCTGCACCCAAGTTCTCGTCGAGTGTGGAGAGCGATATGGCCGAGGGGATGACTGTCTTGGTGGTGAGGGTGAGCAGACACGAGGCCATGGACAACAAGACGACGGAGAGCACGAAGAAGCCATATTGGGTTTGGACCACATCCAACCTGTCGTTTCGGACGGCCTCGGACCATTTTACCCAGCTATCGCATACTGATGCACCATCGCAGCACGTCTTGCGGCTCTTATTCCAGCCTTTAGTGCAGTATCCTTGCTTCAGGTCGAACAGCGTGGTCTCGGTGGTGTTGACCAAGTAGGCGCAGACGGCAGTCAGGACGCCAATGAGGGCCACCAGTACCCAGCCCTGGGCTCCATCGAACCACGCAGCCAAGCGCCCCCTGATGTCTTTTCTACTTCGTAGCGCCTTGACGCGATACGCGTCGGCGATGTTATCATGAACCCAATCAGTGGACGTGAACTGATCGTACCACACGCGGTTGTCCTGGAGGAACGAGGCCTTTGCTGAGTGCATACTCTGCTCCAGGCCGGCGCCTCGCTCACCCAGGGCATTCACCAGCCGCTGACTAAACGTGTGTCCGCCCGTAAGGGAACCTCTCCGGCTCCGCATGCGCGAGCTGGTGGGCAGTTGGCTGTTGTTACGCGTCATGCCCGGTCGAGGCGTGCCCGGACTTGTGGCAGGAAGGCTCTTGTAGGACCTGGCGCCCCGCAGGTGAGGGACTCCTAGCAGGGCGGTCCGCTCGTTGACGCTGCCTGTGGAGCGGGTGAGATCCGTGTCCGAGGCACGCATCGGTCTCTGGGCGCTGAAGGTGAGCGTGGGCGACGTGGGCGTGGTGCTGCTGAACGTGTCATCGCGCTCGCGCTGCTCGGCAGCGTAGTCATCGTCGGCGTCGTAGTCGTCGACACTGCGGTACGACTGCATCGACTTGGGCATGGCGAGCGAGTGTATAAGGGAGGCAGCTACAATCTGGGCAAGGGCAGTCTATTAGTATCGAGGTCGGTCAGAGACATGTCGCCGAGCAGAAGCCGCTATCGTGGTCATTCGGAAAACGATGGCGGTGTCACGATGGATATGTTATGGCTGGGCACCATGGCTCATCCCCACTACGCCGCGGATCCCTCCAGGATGCGTTGTTGTCCTTGGTCCGGGGAGCGATACGCACCGACGCGGGTAAGCCGACAGTTTCAGACTTGCTTGCGTACGCATCGCAGCGATCCGCACAAAACAGCAAAAGCAGCAAAAGCAGCAGCGCTCTGCAGGCAGCACTCTGAGGCTGATCTCAGGCGACTCGTCAGGGAAATGGCGGTAGGCGCGTCCCATGTGATTATCAGGGTTGCACGCGATAGTGACGAAATGCAGGGCAAACGGAACCTGCTAACCACACACGGCCAAGGCGCGATGCCGTAGCCGCCAATCGCAGCCCCCAGCCCCACCACCACACACTGACTTGCGTCTGCAACTCGGGAGAATTGGGGGGTTACATGCTGGCAAACTTGTCGTTTCCTATCCGCTCGTGCATTCGTCTGCTGCTGAGCCGCTGATCTGAGGATTCCAAAGGAACAACTCGGAAAGCCGGTTTCGGAAGACCGGGAATTCGCCGAGTAGCATCCCTCGAGTTACTAGCAAAACATTGTGGAAGGTCTGACGACGATCGAACCTACATCCCTCTGTAGCATTCAAGATGGTGAGTTCTGCTGGGCCTTGGTGGCGTTCCAAAAAAAAAAACACACACTGATAACCATAGCCTGCTCTATACGAACAATTCCTGCTGTTCGGAGACAGCATAACCCAAGATTCCTTCTCCCAAGAGCGCGGTTTCGGTTTCTCTGCAGCCCTCCAAGCTGGTCAGTCGACATGTCGTCATCTTCTCACGGGTCGCTCTTTCTTGCCTGATACAGTTCTTCGTGAAGCTTCCATGCTGATCACTGGCTCGGACCGCTGCAAACGGACGCTGATACCCTACCAGCATACATACGACGACTCGATGTAGTCAATCGCGGCTTTAGGTTATGACGTCCTATTCTTGCAGCTGTAGCCAGGACTAATACTACGGCAGTGGGTACAACACGCGCCAAGCTCTCCAGATACTCCCCGCGATCGTGCCTCCGCCAGATCAGGCTAAGGTCCGGTTCATGGTAAGACTTGCCCATGTCGGACACTACCCCAACTAATAACGTAGACCGTCTTCTTCGGTGCCAACGACTCGTCCCTACCAGATGCGCCGAACAAGCAGCACATTCCGCTCAACGAGTTTGTTCAGAACTTGAAGGACATCATTTTCCATCCAAAGATCAAAGCTCACAACCCTCGTATCATCCTGGTTGCTCCGCCCCCAATCAACGAGCATCTCTGGTGGCCAAGAGACCAGTCGAACGGGTATACTAGCGTCTCGCGTCTAGCCAGTACGACCAAAGCATATGCCGATGCAGTTGTCGAGCTTGGCGCTGAGCTCAATCTTCCCGTCGTGAATCTTTGGAAAACCTTCATGGCGAAGACGGACTTCAAGGCAGACGCTTGGAAGCTCGGTGATCAGCTGCCTGGGTCTCTAGATGTTGCGCAGAATGATGCCTTGGTGGAACTCATGTACGATGGTATGACATCTGCCTGGCATTCTCGCCTTCATTCCCGTGCTGACTTGACCTGTAGGCCTCCACTTCAACCCGGCAGGCTACGATATCTTCTACCAAGAATTGATGAAGGTAGTTGAACAGCAGTGGCCGGATCAGATGCCCGAAAAGCTACCCATGGTATTGCCGCCTTGGAATGATCAAGAAGCATGGAAGGCATGGGAAGCCACTCAGACATCTTAGACTATGCATCAGAAGGGTAAAAATCGCGTACACGAGCAGGTTTAATTATATGTGTTGAAGGTCCGACAAAGCGGGGCTCTGGGGAAGGCCCCTGGCTGTACCAATCAGACAGGGGTGCATAACTCCGGCAGCATGTGGTTAGTGGCGGCGTCGTTCCCCATGAGCCTCAGAATAGCATCGCGACGACAATACGCATCATCATTCCTGCAGTCGACTGTTCTCGTTCCTGTTCTTTTACCAAATTTTTCGGGGTCTTGTACAATACTTTGCCCATTTTCTTAGGGCCACTTCGGAAACCGCCTGATCTTCGGTAAAGAGCGTTGTTGCAAGATCGCACCTTCTGCTTCCAACACCCCAACTGACTACATCGATCAACGCCTGGCGCTTGCCCTCTGAGGCCCCAAAACTGTCGCAAACTCTTCGCGCATCTTAGTCACACCTCCAAACCAAACGCGTTACCGTTCGATAGCCGCCTTCAAACATACCCTTGCCGCTTCTTCGTTACCGCCGATCGAGACGTTCGCACAGGACAAACCCTCAGATTGCCAACCCGGAACAAGTACATATAGAGCAAGCTGAGGTCGGTTCCAGTCGTTGTTCGGTGTTCGTTGGTTGGGGAACCCCCGAGGGAAGGCTGGTGTCTCTTTGTTGAGCACGTCACCAAGGGATGAGAGAGTAACGGGAATGGATCCCCAGAGCGTAGCCTTCCAGCCGCGCGACGATTTCTGGCGCTTCCAAAGCGAGATGCTCCGAGTGCAGGAGAACCAAGCCGACCTCGCTGATCGCGTCGCTCGCTTGGAGCGCAAGCACGAAGACGACTCGCGCCTGAAGAACGTCTGGGGGACATCATCGCCCTTCCCTTCGGTGTTGGGGGGAACCCCTCAACAGGGTGAGAAAGTATAGATCGGAACATGAAAGCCTGACTGACGCATATCAGTGCCCCTGCAGCAGCCGACCGCCGAGCACTTTACAAACTTCGACGACCAGTCCAGCAATCTCATCGGCAACCTGCAGCTGGACGCCGATGAAGAGCCTCGTCGCGTAGGCGCCACATCCCGTGCGAATAGTGTTCGCTTCGACGAGACAGCCAACCACGGTCACTGGGCACATGCATCAAGGTCGTCGTTGGACCTGATACCCCGCACTGGCAGTGGCATGGGCGGCCATGTCATGAGCGAGCGCAGCTACTCTCACAAATCAGATGGAAGGCAGAGCTCTGCCGGCCACTCGGTACACTCCATGGCCTCTGGTCGCGCGAACAGTCTTACTAGCTTTGGACCGACAACGCCTCAAGACGCCCCAGGGCTGGCTCCTGGCTTGTTCATTCTCGGCTCCGTTCCTGCCATAATACGTTGCTGGCTCAACACTAACTTCAGGCACGATACCCTGTTGTACGCAGCAGTGTGTTCAGGCTCATACACATCCCATCTGGACTCTTACATGGTCCACCACCTAGGCTTCCAGGATCGCGTCGTTATAGGCGAGGATGGTGTTCGCAAAATCAAGCTCTCTGTATATCTCCCAGAGGCCGTGCCTATCTCAGCGTCTTCGCGATCCGACAGTCCAGCTCCGCAGCTCCCTTCGGTGGGGGTGAATTTCACTGTCACTGAGGAGCACAATGCTGAAGTCAATCCAAAAGCTATTCAAATTTTCCTTGGCAGCGATATGCTTCGAGAGCATAACGCCGATCTTCTTTTCTCTTCTAGCCAACTAACACTGTATGATGATGACCGCAGCAAGCTTCAGATACCACTCGTGCGCCCTGAAGATGATCGCGCTTTCAAATTCTTGCACACTAGCGGTGCTTCCACGGCGCATCTAAACCGCACAACTTCAGCTCTTGCTTCAACGCAGTCGAGCCACATGATCGAGAGGTCCGCCGCTTCAGCAACTCGTGAACCTTATTCGTCGACTGAGAAGTCGAATGGCCAAGGGCCAGCGACTAGTTCTGATGATGGCGGGTCCAGTGGACACGGGAGTCTTGAACAGCGACCTCAACTCGGACTCTCCACATCGAATCGCTCTGACACCAAAGATGCTCCAGACTCAGGCCTTGCTAATGGAGTGCCGCGCACAGGAGCCTCTCCAGCTATCTGGAGCAATTGGCGCCGTGACCAAGCAGAGAAGGCAAACACGGGCTCTTTGGATTGGGCTAATGTGGGTAAAACTACCAGCTCAAATCCCAGTTATCAGCGACGTGATACAGGCATCAAAGTTCTGAAGCCCTCTAGATCGACACGTACGTTATCCACGTCAAACTCATCGCCAGTCACAGGACAGTCGCGCTTTTTTGATGATGGAAAGCGAAGGGGTGAGGGCGAAGCGACCAGTGACCTTGCGCCTCCTCAGGTGAAGAGGACTGTGTCTGGAGAAAAGGGCAGGGAAAACGTGCCTGCACTGTCGAAACCTCGATCCGCGAACCCAGTTGGCGGCGCTTCTGCTTTTGCATGGCTGAACAGCAGCGGGTCGAAATGAAACGTGACAGATCTACCCAGTCTCTGTATCATAAATACCAATAGACTGCTGCGCTAACAGTATAATGACTGTTGAGCGAGGCCCAATCACTGTTATGCATGATTGCAATACGCTTCACATCTCTTTGTTCATGACTTGTGCAAGCAAAATTACCATGGTCAGGTCTGATGATGTACCCAAGTGATGTTTGAAAAAGGAAAAGAGCCTCGGCGGAAACGTGGATTCATGAGAGGACTTGAACACCTTTTCATGAACACCCTTTCTCAGCACAGCAAAGTCTGATACGAGTACTCTGTATATAGATGGAGGACCTAGAAGCATACAATTCTATCAAACTGTGTACATCCTCCGCTTACAAGCTGATGTAGGCTGTAAGGCAGAGCTCTGTAAGACCACTTGTTAGTTGTGCACCTGTTCTGGGTTTGCTTTATATGGATGGTGACCAACAAGTGTTCAGTCCTGTCAGATACGCGACAGGGGTGGAGCATTCACCGCGTCGCCAAGCTCGCTTACTCCGCAAGGCTGAGGGATTCGAAGCCGATAGTGACGACGGCGTATAGCACGGCGCTGCTCTCATTTTTGCGGACATTGCGCTTTTACCCCACGTTTGCTTCACCGCCGTGTTACTGTGTTTGTGAACAAACAGGCGTCATTCTCTTGGTACTGCGGCCCTAGCTACGCGCTGCATAATCTTTCTCCGCCTTTTGCTTGCCCTTTCACCCTCCTTGGTTCGCCTTGTATAATCTGCCTTGAAGCTCTTCGCGGGCTTCACGGTAGGCAATCAGCTTCAAAACGGCCTCCACTAATAACAAGAAGCGGAAGATCGTGGTCCCGCCAAAAGATTCGTCCAACCTCGACGGCAACCATTCACCGAATGTGGGAAGCGTCGGTGTAGGGTCCCCTCGCTCCTCCCCGCAACCCTCAGCGTCACCACCGCGCTATCTGCCACCGCACCTGCACGACGAAGTTCTAGTTGACGCTCCTGACTCTGGAAGTCTTGCCGCGAGAGACAACAGCAATTACACGGGGGCAAGCTCACCCAGCGAGGCCTACGCCAACCTGACCCTCGACAGCCGCGAGGGCTCCTTCACCGATCTCGACCGCATACGAACTGCCGAGCAACACTCGCAGAGGCCTCCTCCACGGGCATCGTCACCCGCCAAGCGCCTCCATTCAGACATGGACGACAAGCCGGACGCCGACAACACACGCACCAACGACGCGCAGTCGGGCTCCCGAGCCGGCAAGCCCCTGCCTACAAGCACATCACAGCGCAGTGCGCGCGCAACTTCGGTCGAGATGGCCGATGCGCCCAACGGCAGCGGCCTCGACGGCCACGGCGACGCCTCTCCACGTACCGACATGCCCAGCATCGACGAGCAGGTGACTCGCGTCATGGGCATGATGTCTACAGAGGCTCTGGTGGACCGGCAGGAGGGCTATGTTATCTCTGAGCAGTGGCTAGAGCGTGTCTGGGCAAGGACGTCGGAAAACATAAGCAGGCCAAACGACTTCAGCAAAGACGCAACCGAGGGTCCTGTCGGCGCGGTAGACAATTCGCATCTTGTCGACACGGAGCTGATGCACGAGGACCTGGTCGACCAGCATGGAGAAGACTTTGTCCCGCTCAGCAAGGCGGCGACTCTGGGTCAAGATTTTGAGATCCTGCCCCGTAAAGCATGGGACTTGGTTCAAAGCTGGTATGGGCTCGACAAGTCAAGTCCTATCATACGTCGGTACGCCCACAACACGGTACCAGGAGGAGTAAGCGAAGACATTTCCTACGAGCTGCACCCTCCCATCTTCACAATCCGAAAAGTGCGAAAATCTCCAAACCCCACCGACAGCGCCACACCAGCCGCAAAGCTCGTTGCGAGCAGATACGAGAGTTTCGTTGCCTTCATTGAAGCCGCGAAAAAAGCCGCCGGCATTGATCTCAACAACAAAGTCCGCATTTGGCGGATACTCACGCCTGCTCCCACAGATCAGCCCCAGCCATCGCAACCCTCTGGCATATTAACACCTGACGCGTCCCCTCGTAACGGATCTCCCATTGCGCCAGCACCTGCTCAGCGGCCTTCGCTTGTCATGGGCGTCGAAAGTTTCAATGGTCTTGCCTTTGGCTCGGAGCGCGAGCTGGTTACTGGCAAAGATGAGAAAGACAACGAGGCTTCCAACGAGGACCTTACCTTGGCCGATGCTGGTTTGACCCAGGACCAAATTATTGTACTTGAGGAACACGATGAAAAAGGCGAATACATAGCAGAGACCACCAAAACGGCGTCAAAGAGCAAGACTAATGCTTTGGTTGGCAAGAGCAATCCTAACAGCGGGAGGAGTACTCCAACGGGAGGCCCTGTAACGCGTGGAAGGAAGCAGAATGGCAAAGTTCGTGGCCACGTCGGGCTTACGAATCTTGGCAACACGTGTTACATGAACTCCGCTCTCCAATGTCTACGAAGTGTCGAAGAGCTAAGCATGTACTTCCTAAACAACAAATGGAAGGACGAAGTCAACGTGGACAACCCCATCGGTTTCAAAGGTGTCATCGCCAAGTCGTATGCCGGGCTACTGAGCTCTATTTATGGCTTTGACAACAATTCCTCCGTCTCGCCCAAGGACTTTAAGCTCAAGCTAGGCAGGGCTAACCCAATGTTCTCTGGCTATGGGCAGCAGGACTCTCAAGAGTTCGTCAGCTGGCTGGTCGACGCGCTCCATGAAGATCTAAATCGTATCATCAAGAAGCCGTACCTAGAGAATCCCGACTCTGATGACAATACCTTTCGCGATCCAGAGGCAGTCAAGCGACTCGGTGAGATTTATAGACAAAATTACTGGGCGCGTAACGACTCTGTAGCCATGGATTTGTTCAATGGATTCTACAAGAACACCATGGTATGCCCAGATTGCGAGAAAGTCAGCATTACTTTCGACCCATACAGTCAGCTCACCTTGCAGCTGCCGGTAGAGCAGTCCTGGTCTCATACCATCACTTACGTGCCACTGACTGGCAAGCCTGTCCAGATCGAGCTTGACGTCGACAAGAACACCACAATCAAAGCTTTGAAAGACTTTGTCGGCAAGCGCGGTGGCGGCGTTCCAGCCAACCGCATAATGGCGTCAGAGGTCTACAGCCACAAATACTATCGACACTTGGACGACGCTTCCACAATAGCGGAGTCGAATATAGGCGCACGAGATGACATCTACTTTTATGAATTGGAAATGGCTCCTAGCAACTGGCCAGTTCCTAAGAAGAAGGGCTCCAAATATCGTGTGATGCTTTCACAGTCCTCTGATGAGGAGATTCCGGAGACAGTTTCGCCGCTCCATGACCGCGTTGTATTCCCAATGTTCCACCGGATACCCAGCCAGTCTGCATACAGGGCGACGGGACAGTCCATGGCATTGTGGCCTAGTTTTATCGTCCTCACCAGGGAGGAAGCGAAGGATTATGACACAATCCTCCGAAAGGTTTTGGCTAGGGTTGCTGGGATGACTACTCGCCCAATTCTCAGTGAGCTTAGTGGACAAGACCAGTCGCGTCCTGGGTCCGACGTTGTGTTGACAACAGAAGAGGACGCATCACCAAACGATCCCCAAGTCCAAGATGGATCTGTTGAAGGCGAGGACATGGTTGAGGTTACAATGACGGATGCAAAGGATACGCCTGTAGCTCGAACTAACGAAGCTGATGAAATTCCTGAGATTCTTCGACCGGGCAGCTATATCCATCCGGAGTTCAGGTACGTACAAGGCATCCCCCTCAAGGTTTAGCAGCGCAGAGATACAGGAGAGCTGCTTTAGGTTTGGCAACAACAAACTGACTTGAGACAGGAATCTGTTTGAGATGAAGCATACAAGAAAGAGCTCGGAGATCGTTACCACTGGCTGGAGTACCGTCGATTACTCAAAACCACTTGAACCTATCTCGAAGCGAATCAAGATACCATCATCCCGAGAGGAATCTGTACAATCGTCTGCTGCTGGAAGCGAGACTACTTCCAGCGATGAAGATGAGGATGCATCACAGGCCACGATCGTTGATGCGGACGCAGTAATCGATGCAGCCAATGTTAGTAGCGACGAGGAAATGCAGTCCATCGAGCCAGAAGCTCCAGAGTTCGCTCGGTCTGGCCGCCAGAACAAGAAGAAGAGCAAAAAAGCGCGCAAACACGAGCGCAAGATGGAACGAAAACACAAAAACAACAAGAACTTCAAGAACAAGAAAGCAGGCAAGGTACCAGACCAACCGAACTATCCGGATGATCCTGAAGACGAGTCTGACGAAAGATTGCTTCGAATGGGCGAGGCTCTTGTTCTTGATTGGGATTCCAAAGCTTATGACGCTCTGTTTGGGGCCACAACGGCAGATGATCCCAGGGGCGCGGACTCGATGAAGTCGATTGAACTCCTCGATGACCCAGAGCTTCAGGAGAAGAAAGAGAAGCGTGCAGCCCGTCGCAAGCATGGCATCAATCTCGATGAGTGTTTCAATGAATCCTCCAAGAGCGAAGTGCTCTCGGAAGACAACGCGTGGTACTGCAGCCGTTGTAAGGAAAGGCGTAGGGCAACAAAAACACTCGAGATCTGGACTGTTCCCGACATTCTCATCATACATCTCAAGCGCTTCAGTGGAGCGAGAAACTTCCGAGACAAGATTGAGGATCTGGTCGATTTCCCCATAGAGGGACTAGACTTGTCTGGCAAAGTCGGCTTCTCTGAGGGCAAGGATCTCACTTATGATCTGTTCGCTGTCGACAATCACTTCGGTGGGCTTGGAGGCGGTCATTACACAGCCACTGCGCAGAACTTCTTCGACAAGCAGTGGTACGACTACAATGGTAAGCCTATCCTCGTGCTTCTTAAACGTCGTTATGTCCATGCTAACTTCACCAGACTCAATAGTGACCAAATGCGAATCGGGACGGAAAGCTGTATCAAGATCAGCCTACCTTCTGTTCTACCGACGCCGTTCGCCTGTCCCTTTAGGCCCTCCCTCCCTTCAGCAGATTGTAACCGCCGACATCAGCAACCCCGGCTCTGACGAAGATAACGACACAGAACTTCGCTCCCGCTCACCGGCGGGAAACGGCTTGCGCCTCGGCGATTCGTCCCGCAATGGGTCGTCGAGCGCTGGCGCAGTCGCAGCGGGAGCCGTAGCCCTGCGCGCGGGTGGTTATCCGCGCTCAGCAGCCGCGAACCGTCCAAAGAACGGAGTCGCAGCCGCGAGCCAGAGTGATGAAGAAGAGCTGCCGGCCTATGCCGATGATGAGGGTTACGCTGACGAGATCCCGTACAACACCAGCACTAATGTCTGGGATGATACTGACCAGCCAGTCTGGAGCTTCAACAGCCTCAATAGCACGGGCTTGGGTGGTCGCAACGACTCCGACGATGACGGCATTGCATCCGATACTGGCGCTCTGGGTTCAGAAGCTGACGAAGGTGGCTTGGGTAATAGGCTGATGGAGGACTTTGGTGACGACGGCCCAGTAAAGAGTGGTTGGAGTGGTGTCAACACACCTATTACACATCAGGACGACGAAGTAGCTGAAATAAGGCTCGTTGGCGACGAGTGAGAACAAGTAAAGAAACCAGAAGACGTCTGAGGCTTCGTATACCTCAATGGAGAAATACTGTATCGTTCGACTGAGTGTACAGGTCGCGTTCATGGGCTTGGTGATGGAAAAAGGAGCTTTTAGATTAGACGGATATGACTGATGAGGAGGTTGTAAATGACGATGAACACAGATGACTTGGACGGAATGACCAAAGGTGGGTGAGGATTATCCTCAGGGCGTTTTGCAAACAGCATTCGTAGGCGCATTCGTAGGCGTATTATTGAAGACCTTGCATCGCTCACCATGTTCCTGTTAAACTTGTCGCACGAAGAAGCTCGTTCTTTCTAAATTCTCCTTATCAAAGAAGAGAACCAAACATTCCTCTACAGAGAAATATTTCCTCCCACTACAAGAAAGCATGTTAAGAGCTATGTATATACAAATAGAGAATTTAGGAGTCTACAAACCTATTAATCTTTATAGGTTTTCTTATTAGAAGCTAATGTAGGCTGTAAAATACAACTCGTTACTTCTATACCTGTCAAATTTTTTCCCTGTATGCGGTAGTCTATCACATCGTGCGTGCAAAGAATCTACAAGGATACCGGGTGTCTGGAAACACCAATGGAATTGAGCGCAGCCAATGATAATGGAGCTCAGGGGTTTCTACCACCGGTGATTAAGCTTGGTTGTCAAGCTTCGTGCTGGCATGACGTCGCTTCTCCTTTTTCGCAGTCTGACTAGCGTGGCTGACAAGGGGCGACATCCGCGGAATAGGCGTACACGATGTATACGGCACTAGATCAAACCACCGCTTGCGGGATACCGGCTACAAGCGTCTTCACTATCCATGATTTGGCCCTGAACGTGTTTTGACTGGTCCAAGTAAAAAACGTACACGTGCTGCAGCGAGTTTCACACTTGCACTTACTGTCATTAAAACACAGAGCAGAAGCTAGCATTTTCTCTCTCTTCAACAGGAACGACATCGCAGCATTTCTGTACTTGCATGTTCTAGCAATTGTAATGCATCGTAGTCCTGGAACGGTTTTTCAGAAGCGAAGCGAGTGTAAGTGATATACAGCAAGGATAAGTATTATCAATAGATCTGGGTCCGCCTATGACGATCATCCCTCCCCATCGAGAAAACAGTCCGAACCGCATACCCGGACTATGTCCATTTCGAGCTTCCTTCACCCTGGGAAATTGACGATGACGAGCATTGCTCTTGCGAAACTCAGAGTCAACATCTGCCATGTATAAACAAGTTTGGAGTGCTAGAGGTGGGAAGCATATAAGAGTATTGTCCTCCTTTCTAGTTGAGACTCATCACGACCCACTCGCTCAATACCTTCCTGTGCATATTTCGCCACCCGCTTCTTTAACATCCCTTCCTAATTCGAAAAAAACTTCATACACAACTCCAAAATGCGTTTCTCCCACCTCGCCGTCTTCGCCCTCAGTGGCCTGTCCCTTGCTAGCCCGGTTGTACAACAGAAGCGTCAAGAAAGCAGTGTAGAGTCCCTGCTCACCGATCTCTTCGCCACTGTACAAATCTACACGGGAGCCATCAATGCTACCCTTGCTCCGCTCTCGACTTCTTCTTCTATTCTTGAAAAGACTGCCGCCATCCCCCAAGTAGGCGAGCAACTCAACAAGATCACCGCGGCTATTACTTCCACCACGTCTGAGATCCGCGAACTCGCTCCTGCGAACGCCACACAGCCTATGGTGCCAGCCAACGGAAACGAAAAGCGCTCCTCCACCGATGTCGACGCGTCTCAGCCCAAAGAGAAGCGCCAACTGATTGCTGTGGGCGCTCTCCTTGCTCTCATCATCGTTGAGATTTTCGCTACGATTACGGCTGCCGTTGCAATTCTGGGTCTCGCTGGACTATTGATTTTCATCAACCCGTTGACGAGTGCGCTGGGTTTGTTGATCTTGGCGGTACAGTTGGTGCTTAATGTTGTGTTGGCGGGCGTTATTGCGCTGCTAAACAGTCTGCTTGCTGCTTTGGCGCTGGGTCTCAGTGGCTTGTAAGGGGAAGGAATGCTAGAGGATACAAGAAGCGTGTTTGCATATGTATTACTGTGCCTTTAATTGAATGGCGATTCTCAACCACCGAACAAATGATCTTGACATCTCACACCATTTGCCCTAGTTCGTCTTTCGATGCAAAAGCGCCTCTTGCAACCAACTATGTCGCAGTCCGCCGTATGTTCGTGTTCAGTCTTGTGCCTTTCCAGCTCACCTTTCGTGAGAAGCTTTCCGTCATTACAAGTTGTACACTTGCATGTTAAAACGACTGCTGTAGCTTTCTGAATATCCCCTGGCTTGGGTGGTGCACATGGGTCGCGCCATCGGATTTGCGTCGTAGATGCCACAAAGAAGTCGTCAATCCATTCAGGCGATTCAGTAGATATTGGGGGGTCCTTTCTGGTTGTTGCCTTGCTAGCATTGAATTGGAAGGGGGTATGAACTCCAGAGTCTGTGGCTGTTCCAGTGATCGTAGCGCTAGATGCTGGAGAGCTTGCAGCGCTCACTGAATTGGAATTCGATGAGGCAGTCCTCCCAGGGTCATTCTCTGACCCAAGCATCACGCTTGGTATTGGTTGTGGGTCCAGCAACGCAATGACGAGCTTTTGGTCGAAGTTGTAATTTGGGAGATCGACTCCATCTCGCATCGAGACAATCCAAACGATCTCGTCCTTCTCTTTCGAGCTCAGCATCTTGGATTTTGCCACCTTGGTCATCGTGTCTAGGAAGTATTTGCTTACGACATCGAAGTAAGCTCGCTGGAAGATGCTTTGAATGTGTTCCGGAACCATCGTCCGCATGTTGAGCATAAAGTCACCCGTTTGGCGTGTGCACGCCATGACTTGATCGTATGTCTGCGTTTCTGAGATTGGGAAGTGGCCTACGGCCCATGTATGTGAGATACCATTAATGTGTCGTACTTGTTTTCCTGGAATCTTCGACACCAGCGCTGACATGACCTTGGAAAGAAGCGGCTCTTCGAATGTCTCTGCCGCTCGAACAAACGGCTGGACGCCATCCGCATCTTCGGCTTCAGGATCTGCGCCGCCATCGAGAAGCATCTGGAGACGTGGAACAAGATCTACGGCAGGGCAATCCGTAATGCACTTACGCAAAGGGCTGATGCTGTCTCGCGCGGCTCGATTTGGATCTACGCCTTTTTGAAGGAGCACTTGAATGTCGCGTAAAGTATCGGCGGGATGTCGTTTCTCATTTGGACAGCAGCCCAATATCTCATATAGGAGGGAGCTGCCATTATTGATGGGTGTCGGCATGAAACTATCAATAAGCCATCTCGCAAAAGTAGGAGTCGAATGCCACAGCGCCTGGTGCTCAAACGTATGCTTGTAGGGAGACTCGCAGGGGTACCCTTGGAAGTGTGATGGGAATTCAGCGCCCTTGCTAATGAACATTCGAAAACAGTCGAGCTCATCTGGCGAGAGCTCAAAAGCCCAGTATGGACGATTTTCCCATGGCTTGACGAACATGGCAAAATTCGACGGAATGACGAGCTCCGGAGGCTTGCAATGAATGTCCGCTCCAGCGCTAAGAAGCATATCCATAATCATATGGCAGCTTTTCCGAGCGGCGGGATCCATGTAAGTGTTCATTCTATGTAATAAGCATAGTTGTAATGCCGTGTGAACACCGGGTTTTCCAGGTGCAGGGCCAGCATCATCGACCTTTGCACCTCGGTTAAGAAGGATCTGGACAACATCGGGAACGTTCCAGAATACTGCTTGACGTAAAGGACTCCAGCTCGAGCCTGGAAGCCCGTTAACGTCTGAGCGACCCGGCTGAAGCAGCGCCTGAACAGTATAAGCTCTGCCGTTCTTGATAGCATTGTGCAAGGCTAAGTCTGTTCCGAGTGGGTGTTTGGAGCCTTTTGCACCGTAAGCGAACAAGACCCATATGATCGGTCCGCAAGGCATGCCACAAGCGATATCGAACAAGGTCTGATCCGGGTGTTGGAGTATGACCATCTCGTTCAAAGCAGGATGGTCAGCAAATCGAGCACCTGATTCGAAAGGCAGACCTATGGGATCGTTGATATGATCAACGTTACCGACAAGAAGCTTCTCGAGCTTTTGTAGACTGCCTTCCAAGACTGCACCAACCATGTCCAGTACTATATCTGAAGATTGCGCAGGATCGTGCGACCATGTCTCCTCGAACGATGGCTGCAGGCTACTGCATGGTTAGCGAGCACGCAATGCAAACATGGAGAAGACCAGGGATCTCCGTACTCTTGTGGCTGATTCAATAGTCCCAGAAAAGTTGGCTCCGCAACGGTACCAGCTCCATCGGCAATCAAAGCCGGCAGACTAGCCACCACCTGCCAGCCCCCAGTCCTCGTGCAATGTTCCCTAGACTCAGGTTCTATTGTGATAACTTCAGCCGGCTCGACGGATTCGTTGTTGCGCTGATCCGTCTCGCTTGAACTTTGTTCGTTTGGTAGTCGCGCTTCACGACGCTGTCTTGTGATCTTTCGCGATTTGTGCCTCATGATACCCCATTCTTTCAGTTTCATACGATAGGCTCGCGTTCTATACTAGTTGTTAGCAATAATGCCAGCATATTTCCATCTCTTCGAACACTCACGAAGCCCGAAACTTGTGTTTGCGTTCCATTAGCTCTTTGACTTCTTCCAAAGGCTTTTTTTGCACAAAAGAAAGCTCCTTGATCACATCCTGCACCAAATCCCAGTCCTTCGTCATCTTTTATAATGTTGCGACTGCAAAGTGCACCTTTTTACGTGCTGTTAAATGTGCACATTTAAAGTGCGAAAGTGCGATCGGAAAAGCTGCGGTGCGCGCGTGGCTGCCTAGTGAGAGTATTCGGCTTGTATGAACTTGCTACTGGAGCCAGGTAGATCGATCTCTGTTCCAGAGAAGCCATTGTGCGATTCTGGATATATGCTGCGGTTATAACGACACGCATGAAGGTTGCGGTGTGCAAAAGTAAACAGGGGTTCAGCTGACCGACACCGAAAGTGCAATTCCATGTCTAGTACGTATTGAGTCAAGCGCACTTGGCATGAAATTGCACAGCCCCAAGCCTTGGTTCTCGCCATATTCTCCACGCGCGCTAGAGGAGATGCTCGGTGGTCCAAGGCGTAACAAGTCGCTCGGCATGTTATTAAGTGGTCACGTTATCACCGACCAAACCAGGGCAAAAGAGGCCGTGAAAGACACTAAAGTAAGTAACAAGAGTTAAACGACACGTTAGAGTACATCCTATCTCTCCTCCTACAATAGTGTATGTTAAGAGTGATAGTATAGACATAAACAGTCTAGAAGCCTACAATACTTTTAGTCTTTATAAGGTTTTCTTTTGGAAATTAATGTAGGCTTCAAGGCAAAGCATAGTGTCTCTGTACCTATTTTATCTTCATCTTGTATGCGGTACTACATCTGAATGGGATACTTGGAGGCCTTTCATCGAACTCGAAATAACATTATATAAGGTAATTAGACTTTCTGATCCTGTGGCCCAACTGGACATGCATGTACCTTTACAATACAGTCGAGCGTTCGTCGTCGCATCAACCTGATTTCTCCGACACGCTGTTAAAATACAGGTTCAAAAGGAGCTGCCCGGGCTGTTAGAGGACATGAAGATGCAAATTGGCGAGACGGTCGATACGGATACAGCAGAAGAAGCTACAACTGTACGCTAAGTGCTGAAAGCTGTTATTCAAGAGCGAGAAGCTATTTATGGACAAATCTGAGAGACACGGAGTTCCTGAAGAGCTACTATAGAGGATCACAATTAATCGCCGACACCCTAGAGGTAGTGATAGCTCGACTAGCAGCAACTACTGACCTTGATACTACTAAATTGAACGTCGCTCAAATGTTTCCTTTAGTCGTTGAAGAGGTCGCTGTAGCTGGAACCGACTTCCCCTGAAGATTGCGCAGGTTCTCTGAGCTACCGAGAGAATGCATGAATAGTCTCGACGACGACGATGACGAAGATTAAGAGGTGTACAGCATACGGCTTGGTCCTATCGTCTAAGACGATACGCCGAAGCATAGAGGGTGTGGGTGAATATTACGTTCAGGGTAGCAAGCGGAGATGTGCCTCATTCCGGCTAAGTTTCTGATTCGGTTGACTTTGTGCCGCATAGCGAGCCAAGAGGACTCATTATCCAAATTGTAATAAGACGGTCTGCCACGTCCGGAAAAGATAGATAACCAACCACCGGTTCACACAATATCCAACTTATCCAAGATAGCAAGACGTGCGACGGCGATTGCTTGACTTCCAGGTAAGCCAACTTCTGCATCCCCAAGACATAGAGGTCCCCGCTGGCTAGATAGGGATTTGTTAGAGCAGCGGTCTCGTGAATTTGACAATAGAGCTCGCTCTTCTGTGCAGTCTTGGCAGTGATGGTCTCTACCTTTGCTCTTGCCTCTGGCTTCACCAGGGTCTTGATGAGCGAGCTGGTGAACGCAATCCTTTTTACAGTCCTTGCAACCTTCATGTCGATATGCTCACAGACTGATAGTGTTCTCGATTGAGTAAACGGTACGGTGAGCATCACAGAAACGGTAGAAGATTGCGCACACCAAGAGTGAGCATAAAGAATTGACAAGAATAGTTCACCATGAAAAGATTTTAGTTTTTATACTTTAGAAATTGTAGAAGTACGATCAATAGAGGTATCATATGTACGAGACGCTAAACAACAAACACAAAACATAAATGGACCTTAACGACCACCGATCTGCCCCTTGGGAATAGGCTTTACCCACATGAACATGCAGTTAAGCACAATGATCATGATGCCAATAATCCAAAACACTTGCGCATAATTTGTCTTGTGGTAGCGGAAGATAATGGCGAAGATGATACCGCCAAAGTTACCAGTCGCGCCGACAATACCAGAAAGGATACCTTTCGAATAGTTAGTAAGCTTTCCATGTCATGGTGAGGGAATAGATATACCATTAGCGTGAGGGTGGATATGAGGTACAAGTGCAAAGTTGGCACCGTTACCAGCCTCCAAGAAGATCGCCATGACAGCGACAAGACCGATCAGCTCGCTCAAGTTGTGTGGGTCTAGTTTACCAATCACAATGCAAAAGATTCCAGACATGACGCCGACGAAGTGAATCCAGAACTTCTTCGCCCAAAGGTTGCGGCCGGTGACCTTGTAGATGAGATCGGCGATAAAGCCACCGAGTGGTCGGGTAACAATGTTCAGAAGACCGAACATGGCTGCCCATCGTCCAGACTGCGTTTGACCAAGGTAGGGGAAGTTCTTCAAATAGTAGGCACCAAGAATGGAGTTGATGGCCAATTCACCACCGAAGGAGCAGAAGTAGCCCGAGCAAAGCATCAGTGTTTGGAGCGAGAACATGACTTTGAGTCCTTCCTTCAAAGTAGGCTTGACGACAACTTCGTGTTGGAACTCGTCCATGATTTGGACATCGCCGCGACCGGACTCGACATCGGAGTTTGGTCGCTCTTGCTTCTTCTCGTCACTAGAGGAGATCGACCCGGTAGTCGCAGGCTTGTCGTCCAGAGCTCCAGTTGTAGGAACAACAGACGCGTGGTGGCCCACTGTCTGGTCTGCATTGGACACGACGGTAGCACCACGCTCAGACCACTTTCCAGTAGGCGTATCATCGGTCAGCAGTAGAAGAGCGAGGGCACAGGCTGTGATCATGATGAAGGGAACAATGAAGGATACTCTCCATGCGACGTGAGAGGAGAGACCCTGGTCAGCCTTGAGAGAATCGTAGATGGCGGGCATAACGAAGCTGGAAGGCATTAGTGAAAGCCTTGGTAGATTATAACGTGGCACTTACTATGTGATGCCACCACCAGAGTTACCCCAACCTCCGACCAAAGCATTGGCAGTTCCAATGACGTTCCTGTCGAAAAAGCCAGTAGTCCAAACTTGGCAGGGCACGAAAGTTCCTCCAAGAATACCGACGAAGAAACGGATAAAATAAAGACCCGTTGCATTGTGAGCAGTGCCAGCAAGGGCGGTTGGAATAGCTCCAGCGAATAGCAGCGATGCAAAGGTGATGCGTGGGCCAAAGTGATCGCACATAGGTCCCGCAATGAAGCGGACCAGTAGTGTTGCACATAGCGCGACGATGTTGGAGTTGGCGATTTCGTTCTGCGACAAATGCATGTCCGCCTTGATACTCTTACTCAGCTGTGGAAGTGTTAGTCGGACTGATGTGCACAGTGACGTGAGATGCGGGTGACCATACCAGAGGTGGGAACGCGTACCTGTACATTGTTAGCATGCTCCAGTAGAAAAGATCCACATGTGGGGAAGGACTTACCATGACCAGAACGCGATGAAGAAACCCAGGTAAGAGAAGAAAAACACACGCCCATACTTGTTAATGGGGTTTAGGACAGGGATGGAAGTGGCCTTCTTGTTGTAGGGGTTGATCTCTGGTGCCGACCAGAGCATGCTAATTGCGAACGGCATGATAAAGAACACGACCTGGAGGGTCTGATCCTGCTGGGTCGCTAGTGTTTCTGGAGAGAATGGGACAAGGATGACCAGCTGGTGATGCTTCACAGGCACGGTCGAGGAAACGGGAGCGGACGCTTGCTGGAGTTGCAACTCCAAACGGAAGTCGAGAGGTTATATAGAATGATACAGAAACTCCCAAAGATGGTACTTCCGCGGTGAAGCACAGTGACGCACAGCTAAGGTTGTGGCGTAAATCGTTCCCCAGGCCAAGTGAGATCAGACTTCTCCGTGCCTGTATGCAGTAATATTGGCGAATTCGTTATCTTCGTTGGCGACACCTAGCAGCTGCGAGCCCAATGCTTCGGAGAAAGTATGCTTTGCCGCGTGCTCGGGTATAAAGGGTGCCTCCGATGAGCACTGGGGCGTTAACTTGGGATCCACATACTCTTGCAGCGAATCGAATCTCATCGTCGACTGGCTAAGCTGGAGCACAAGAGGCTGAATATCAATTCGACGAGTCGTGGTTCGCTGGAGTGAGGTTTGACGCGGGATGGTGGGGGACGGCAAAGGCGTTCTCTTATCTCTTGGCGCTAACCAGGCGAGAGACTAGACTCACAGTAGTCGAGGCGAACAAGGATCCTTATCAGAACGTCTCAAGATAATATGAATTGCTGCTTTTCCGCGGTCAGTATTTGACAAAATGCCTGTGTCGCAAATAGCTTTCTGTCTCGACAACTTCCTGTTCCTAGCATAAGTACACCAAGACGTGTCGAACTGGTGGCGCTCGCAAGAGCATCTGGAAGTGCTGCCAGCGAATAACACTAGCTTAAAACGTCAGCCCTGGACCTCATCTGAATTAACAACATGTACTTTGTTTTTGTGTTCAAATGATTTTGTAAACTTGGTGTGATGAGTGTCGTGTGTGTCTGCCGCGTGCGTGTGGAGACGTGGCCCGATAAGCAGCTACCGTATACAAGGGAAATTCCGAGGAGCGGGAGTAAGTAGTCGTCCCTACTGCAGTCTACAACAGTACATTATAGGATAAAACTAGATATGTTAAGTTAATGTAGACTTTGAGTCTTAATATCTACATAGATAATAATTGTATTAGTGCTGTTGTAGGCTGTAGAGCAGTGGAAAGCTTTGGCGTACCTCTTCAATTTCTCCCTTGTATGCGGTGCGACAACCGGCTGGTACAACCGTAACTCTACTAAGCAGGTGGAGGCATTTGCATGTTGCACAATTCTCATCTGTCAATTTGTCCTCCAGATCGCTCTTCCTTTTGTCGATCGGCTCCTATCACGATGGCGGAGTGCTTGTGAAACGCGCTTGAGCCAATCAATGGAGGAGTCAGTGTCTTATCTCGCATGACTGCGGATTCGCCCCGGGAACACGGAGTATGCACGAGGGGACTTGGAGAACACCGATGATCCTGAAGGGTATATCATCTTGGGTGTGTCTTAAATCCATGGCAACGTCATCGCTTTCTTGTAATCACGGTATTTGACTTTCTTTATGCCAAGGCCAGTCGACACTTTGCGACCGCCTCTGGATCATCGTGACATCGCAACAGATTTTGGGGGTCGTCGGCATCTTCGAGAGCTTACACAGGTGGAGCATCCGGAACTAGGTACTGGCATGTGAACAGTACCGCCGCTGCTGAAGCGACATCGGAGAGAAAGGCCGGAGAAGTCATCTCAACTGCTCAGCTTTGGCATCAAGATGAAGCTTCTCCGAGAATTTGAGAAAGTATATTGTAGCGCAGATTGTGGGTAAGCCCCACAGTGGGTTCAGCTGCAGCTGTTGAGCCTCACCCGCGGAGATCCTGCACTCATCCTGGGACAGTGGCACTCAGTCGTTTCGTTGCTTTGTTGCTCGTAGTTTCGAGTCGATATTAACCGAATTTGGTGTCGCGATTCTGTTGTTTTTATAGTGTACTTTGAGAGGGTAGCCGCTAACGAGAAGCAGAGGGCTCGAGATCTGTGTGACTTTCACACCTACACTTCACATCCTCTCGTCTGCCAATACCTCTTCGACGCGAGGACGCCCACTCCGTACGTCGCCGCACCACACACAACTAGCACGTGCATGATTTGATGGCTACTTCCTACTACGTCGCAACGCCTCGGAAGCCATCTCTCTGGAATTCTCGCGGCGTACAACATGGCTCCGGTACCATGGCACAGGCCCAACCCAAGATAATAGCTCAACCCCATTCTGCGATTCATGTTCTCTACACCAAAGAGGTAGATCCCATGGACGATTGGAAGGAAAGATGATGATCCTAGAAGGAGATAAAGCGTAGTGCGGACATGGCGGGACTGGGGACCAGAGAAAGACGGATGAAGAGTTGTGAGTGCGCAGGCAAGGCCTGTCACAGTAGCGAAAGCACTGTAGGCTTCCTGCAATGAGGGTTTGCAGTGAAAACCAAAGTGCGTACTGGCGATGGTCGTACCATAGAGTGGAATTACGATACCAAGGTAATCGAATCGGCCCGTCCAAGTGCGAACCTGCTCACTGTGGTCGAGGAATATATGGTGACTATCAATCGTTATTCTCGGCAGTTCTTTTGTATGAAGAGCTGTGGATGTGGGATTAAGAGGCACTTACATGAACGAAAAGAAGAAACAAGCTATGACGGAACCGAAGTAGACGTAGATTGCTTCGTCATCGCCATTTGTACTGTCTCCTTCGTCACGAATCTGACGTGTGGGAAAGTACAAAATGGTTGTGATGAAGAAGAACACGGCGGTACCCAGAACGTGAGACCAGATATTCACCGTCTCATTGTGGACCTCAAGGGCGCTCTTCAGGGAGCGGAGGTACGAAAATGTTGCTCGCCTAATTGTTGTCAGTAGGTGCTACTTCTTTAATGGTGTAATTGGGATCATACCGATGAGATGTAAGGATGAATTCGTTGTCTCGCTGCCATGGCACTGCGTTGAACATGTTAGCCGGTCGTCTTCAACGCGGAATCAAGTCGAGCTTACGGAGATCATCCCATCCAATCAATGTGTTGTAGTCCTCATGAGTCTCTTTCTTTTTCACATCGAAACGAACGTGTCGCGATGTCGTTGTCGTTCCATACCCATATGCATGGTTCTTTCCCTCCAAGATCCCCGCTTTCTCTCTAGCGTCTTGGCGTGCGTGTGATATCATGCTGCTAGGCTCAACGGGGGCTTATATCAACCGCAATAGGACAGATATTTTCGCGGTATCTTTGCAAGTATCTGCAAGTCGCGGAGAGGAAAGATATGGCAATAGCTCTACTTTTGTGTCGATGAGACCATGCCCTACGCAATCAATAGTCAACCACAAGTTCATCTGTCAAGCCGCCACGCTTGCAATGCACGGCCGTGACGCAGTCGAAGAGTCCGCGGACCCTTTCCGTGTTTATATACTTATGATGCGGCCAAGAGAGACTGAACGACCACCTAGATGTCTAGCCAATGCTTGTTTCTTGTTGTATGTTGTGCTGGCTGATTGGTATGAACAGATGGACTTTTGCTGGTCGTCTTTATTCAGAGTACACTCGTCCCTTTCTAGCTCTGAGGTACTAGTTACGTCCAGAAGATACTTTTCTTCGAAGTCTTGCTCCTTCTACTTTAGACATCGTTAGCTCATTGCTCAGGTGGCAAAGTCATCGCGGAGCTTACGGCACGGTATTCTCCAACTTTTACCCATCTTAAACACATTCTGGATATTTGCTTTTTCATGCACAAGCATTTTATCTATGAGATTTGCTGGGCAGACACTACCCAAATAGGTAAGTTAGGTTGTCTATCGATCATAGTGGCTTTTCAGTGAATACAATCGCGGCTCTCGGGTACCTCGTTGTCCTGCGTGTGACAAAGGGATCTGTATTCAAGGTTCGTATCCTACTAGGTAGCTGATGTTGCTTTGTTTGCCAAGTATCTGTTAACGTCACTACCCTCAAGGTTCGCCAGTATCTATCGTCTGGACAGGTAATTGTTGGTAAAAGTGTTGATCGGAGCAATTTTTGCGTAATCAGAAACCTGGTTTATGGAGCAATCCATGTCTCAACCGCCGTCGCAAATGTACCCTTCGATTCCATTCACTGTTTTCGCTTGAAATCTCAGCTTCCCTGTTTACGTTGTTCTGGAATGACGTCTACTACTAACGACTGCCCAAACAGGCAATTTCGTGATACCCGTCGATTCCGGTGCCCTTGTAGTCATAGTACCACCGTATACAATAGAAAACTCAAACGGGTATAGGAACAACATGCTCTAGTTTACCGCCTACGTTAGCTTCTAAGAAGAAATTCTAGAAAGATGAATAGTATTGCAGACTTCTGGATCCACTATCTATATCTAAGAAGGTCTTAACAGGCTTTATTATGTCAGTTTCTCTCTTGAAGGTAGTGGTACCACGATCACCACCAGCTTCAAATACTGACAACTCCATCACGCCTTATCTGCCAGATCGCCTACTTCATTGCCTCTGATTTACGCATCCTTATCTTTATCTGACTCTACACCTCATACGAGAGGAAAACAGAACATGTGCATAAATAACAGGCCAGGGATATGCGACGGAGCTCGCGCATTGATAGCTGTTGCCTTTTCTCTCCTATTGTTTACTTATCTCAGACTGTTTTCACTTTGTGAGAATTCAACGGGAACGCATAATAAAGATGCCATCTGCTCAAGCCTTGCATTGCTCTTCTCATCTGTTTAATACACGCATCGTTCCTGGTGGTAAGACCGAGGTATCAGCATAGAACTAGTAATGTTTGCCACAATAATGATCCCACAACCGAGCCTGATTGGCAGGATACTGTTCAACAAATCCATGTCATCGTTCATCATTAACGATTACACCACACCATATCCAAGCGGCGCCCAAGAATCAACAAGTAGTAATGATGACACAATCAAACAGGTTTCCACATGCAACACGGTCGCACGTACAGAGAGCACTAGGAGAGTCAAGGACAGAGTAGTATGTATGGTAGGACGAATGGCTCGGACTTTCGACGGGTACGTAGACCAGGAATCGCCGTGCCTAGTTGGATTTTGAAGGAGAGGCTTATCGTATCTCTTTTCGATTACGGGTTTAGAAGTCGGGAAATAGGTGCCCATGACTATTCGGACACGTCAGAATGTGATCCACAGTGTAAGGAGGACTCTGCACGCACGGGTCATCTCCTGCCTGACCGTATGCTTCCGTCTCCTCCGGATACTTATCGAATTGACTCGCATCGCCAACACCAGCTCGCACAGGAGGCACGTAGGGTGCATCAATGTCCTTCTTCTGTAATCGGTCCCACGTCACTTCGGCGAACCAGGGATGGTTCATAACGTCCTTGCTTCCGCCGTGCAAGTTGCCCAATCGCTTCGTAAGATCGGGCGTAATGAGCTTCTGCAGCAAGTCGTGTGCGTCAGGGTGTATGTATGGTGGATACTTCACTCTCGACTTGAGAATGTTTTCATAGATTTTCATTGGTGAGCCACCGTCCCAGAAGGGAGTGAAACCGCACAGCATTTCAAAAATGAGGATGCCAAGCGACCACCTGGCGTTGTCAGCGCGATTATCATATTTACAGAAATTGGATCTTACCAGTCGACAGACTTGTTGTAGCCTTTTGACGCGACGACCTCTGGTGCCAAGTAGTCGGGCGTTCCGCAAAGTGTCCATGTGATGTCAGGAACCTCTTTCGCGAAGCCGAAATCAGTGATCTTGAGATGACCATGACGATCTAACAGCAAGTTCTCGGGCTTCAAGTCTCGGTAGATGATGTTGTGCGAGTGCAGGTAGTCGAGTGCCAGCGTCACCTCTGCGGCGTAGAACTTGGCAACCGGGTTTGGGAAGCGCTGGGGAAGTCAGTACTAGATAACCTCAGGCCGAAGAACAAGTAAAGTACGACATACCTGGGACTTTCGCAGCAGACTAAACAGCTCACCTCCTTCTACAAAGTCCATGACCATGTAGAGATTCTTGGAATCTTGAAAGGTGCCCCACAGCGTGATCAGGAACGGATGCTTGACCTGCTGCAGCATGCGCCGCTCGTCATTGGTGTGCTCGACCTGCTTCATCTTGACCACTTGGGCCTTCTTCAGCACCTTGACGGCATAGAAGCGCTGGTTGTGCTTGGACTGAACGAGATGCACTCGCCCAAAGCTACCCGTGCCGAGCGTCCGCTGGATGGTGAAGTCGGTCAGCGAGTACTTGCCCTTGGTGACACGGGTCTGGTTGAGCGGCTGAGTCTGGAACTGCACGGCGCCGCCATTCTTAGGGGCCGACTGGTGCGAGCTAGTGTTGTTGGGGTGTATCAGATTCTGTATGCTGGGGACATTGTGCGATGGCGTAGGGTTGGACTGCGGATTGGCGCCAAACTGCTGCTGCTGCGGCTGCTGCTGCTGTTGGGCGTAGGCGGGGTTCATCGAGTCGGCCGGCTTGCTGTCTGCGGCAGGCGCGGCCGCGGCCGTGGTGCTGGTGTTGCTTGTGGTGTTGGTGAGAGACTCGTTCGTCTTGGTCTTGTGGAGGTGGAAGGAGCCCGACTTGCGCGATGTCGTGGGCGTGATGGGCGAGTTGCTGTCCTTGATGGGCGAAGTCGGCGAGTCGAGGTCCTTGGAGCCGTTCGAGTCCTTCGTCCGCTTCTTTTTGAGGAAGCCCAGAGTAGGCATTGGAGGGGCGGCTCGAGGAATGCGGCGGCCCTGCCCTGCCTGTTCCTGGACGCAGCTCCGGCGATCTCAGCAAGCAGCGGCCAGGAATGCGTGGGGAGCTCGGGACGGTATTGGGCGGCGCAGAGGGCTGCAATTGATGCGCTCAGAGTGCGTGCGGATGCGCGGACATGCACAGGAGCAGGGTAAGGATGGCGTTGGTCAGGGAGTGTTTGCGGCGTGGGCGGGCAAGCTTTGGGCTAGTTGATGGGTGGAGGTTGGGCTAGACAGTAGAGGCTCGCTCGCGGGGAAGAAGCGTCGAAGCTACCACGAGCGGGCGACATTGGCAACATGACCCAAGCAGGCCCTCTCAAAGAACCATGTTTCAATCGCCCGCAGCGCCAGTGTTTGCTGGCTGCAGTCAATGCCCTTTGACCAATACTACATCACTGAATGCACTGCATCCAAACTTCAACACGTCTATTCATTACACTGTGTCATGCCCAGGTAGGCTGCCTGCGCGGGAAGCATCGCTTGTTGCGTCATGCGTACCTCTGGGCATGGTCGTCCCAGCATTGAGGAACATGGCTCCCGAGTCCTAGCCCTGCTGATATACCCAGCCTGCCTATACTGCGAACAGCTAGCAGACCAACCGTCGAGACCGATCAACTCGTAGTAATGCGCGCCAACACACATGATACACCGAACGCCGACCCTATGTACTGTACCATCAACCCGAGAAGCCTCATTATTTAAACGTCACTCGAAAGTAGCCAAATCGCATACGTTGCATCATCAAAAGAAAACCTTGCCGTTTCATAGTTCATCAGCCACCACGTTCGTTTCATCAGCCCCACCAGAGACCATGATCGGCTGGTACGTCTCCAGATCAAGGCCGCACACTTCCATGCGTCGCTGCCGGAATCGTTCGTAGAGTTTGCTCCATGCCTCTTGTGCTTGTTCGTTCTGCGGTCGTAGCTTAGCGCGTTCAGAGTATGGGACGTCGTACTCCGGTCCTGGTATCTCGGGATCGGACAGTCTCACGAACGTTGTCATCTTTTCGAATGCCGTCGCATTGAAATCGTCGACAACATTGCGCAGATTCTGCGACTCGTAGACGACGTTGCCCATTGACAATGACCATTCTGAGATCAAAGAGTCTGGGACCGTAAACGTCTTCCGGAACATGTTCAAATCAGATGTTGGCTTCGACGCGCGCATTGCTCTCAGCTGATTGAAGCTCTGCTGCGATGGATGTATCATCAGAAGCGATGTCGACAGGTCTGTTCGTTCTGGTGTGGCGGGGTACGCGGCCATGGGTTCCGACTTGGAGAAAGCCAGCAATGAGTCCAAAGCCGATGCATCGAGCAGTACGCCTGGGCCCTGGAGGTAGAGTATGCGCTCGTAGTCTACCAGTGAGTATAGACTTGCTAGCGAATAGGACGAGGGGAGTGTGTCTGATGCTGTCAATCACTGGCAGAGCGTGGCTTCCTCAGCTCAAGACTCACCATCTGCGCCTTCCACTATAGGTTCCATCGGCATCAAAGTGACGCCATACCGCCTCGCTGCTGTCCTCAGCAATCGCCGTGTGGTCGACATTTGCGGTCCATATTTTTCATCTTCTGACTCCACAAGCCAAAGTTTCGGAAACATCAATATCCTCTTCGCGGGGCTCTTCATTCTATGCAGGTCGGAGAGTAGCATTACTGCACTGCATAGTTCTACGTGTTCCCTCACGACTTGCACATAGCCCAGCCTGCTCCAGTCCATTGTCTGGCCTGCGATGTATTGAGCATAGGTATCGTCCACCTCTGGCCGGCCGCCCATTGGTCTCGCCCATTTTGCGTCTAATGTCGGGGGTTCTATCGGTTTCGGAGGCGGTAAAGGCTTGGGTAACCGTGGTTTTATGGCCGCCTGCAGAGAGTGTACGTATCGTTGTTGTAATACCCAACCGGAAAGGAAGAGTGCAAGTGTGAAGAGAAGAACTACGGGCAGCATCAGCAATGCAAGTCTTCGGTCCGTTGTGGACCATACGTACCAATTGTTGCCGACAGGATAACGCCAACCTGGCTAGAAGAAAGGAGCAGTCTTCCCATGGCTAGAAGTGAACGCTGAAAGCAAAGGGTATAAGAATACTATGACAGTCTAGAAGTGTGCATGTAGAACGTCAAGAGTAGTTTATGCAGGAGAGCGCAGGCCGAGAACTGGTGTGACGTCCTTGGTGGATCTAGATGTTCATAGGGCTGCATGTTGATCGTTGGCGTTGAGTGGGCAACTATCGATACTTTGGGAGCTGGCAAGACCCCGGCTCAAATTATCGCGACCATTGCGCGACCTTGATTCCCAGCACGCACCCGGACCTCACTATACTACGCGCACGAACGAAGCTACTTCTCCAACCTCGAACCCCGTATCACAAGTTGCCAAGGCGCATCCACATGTCAAAGCCCCAGTTCGACCGCGCAGACGCCAGCGCGCTCCTCGACGACAGAGGCTATCGCGGAGCGCTCATCAGAGGGCAGAACCCCGCGCTACTCTTCGAAAAGGGTGTGCGTGAGCGCATCACCGAGTCATACTACTGGAAGGAGCAATGTTTCGGTCTGAACGCTGCGACGTTATGCGATCGCGCCGCAGACCTCAAGTTCATCGGCGGCACAACAGGCATTACCGGCAAGCCTACGCCATTCTTGTGTCTGGCCTTCAAGATGCTGCAACTAGTGCCGGACAAGGAGATTATACTAGAATACCTGAACTTTCGCGATGATGAGGAGGACGAGGGCCAAGACGCCGAGGTCAAGAAGGAGGAGAACGGCCACACATCAGAAGACGAAGACGCAACCAAGAAGGCGCTGGACCTGAATGCAGCAGGCAAACTCGGCGACTTCAAGTACCTGCGCTGCCTCGCCGCCTTCTACATCCGTCTCGCTTGGGAGCCCGTCGAAATCTACCAGACCCTCGAACCCCTTCTCACCGATTACCGCAAGATAAAGCGACGTCTCAAAGACGCCTTTACACTCACACATGTTGATCAGTTTATCGACGATCTCCTTACAAAAGACCGGATATGCGCGACGAGTCTGTGGAAGTTGCCGTCACGGGCGAACCTGGAGGATTTGGACATGCTGGAGCCAAGGGAGAGTCCGTTGGGCGATGAGATCGATGAGCTGGATGAAGACTTAGACAGAAGAAGTGATGGAAGCGCAAGGAGTTATAGGAGCAGGAGTTATCAAAGCAGGAGTAGGAGCAGGAGCAGAAGTTACGATAGTCGAAGTCGCAGCAGAAGTCGCAGTTATGATAGCCGGGATCGGGGAAGGAGTCGCAGTCCGGGACAACTGAGTCGGTCAAGAAGCAGGACTCGCAGTAGGAGTAGAAGTAGCAGGCGGGACTAGGGTGTACACTAGCAAATTATGCATTGCATCTTGAGAGTAGAAACCTGCGGACCAGTGCGTAAAAACACATATGACTACTATACACAGCAAACAGAAGTATCACGAGCACCGACATGGTCAGAACACCGCCAACATCTACAAAGCCACAGAAATGATAAGGTATATCTTACAGTCTACACTGTCTCTTAATAAAGAAACTTATAAAGATTAACAGCATTGTAGTCTTCTGGGCTTTCTATTTATATCTATATAGATCTAATGCCCGTTATTGTAGTAGGAAGAAGTACTCTGCCCTGAGAGGTGTTTAGTTTCTCCCACGCGCATACTTCAACCTACAGAGGAAATATTTTCTCCTCAACTGTACCTAATCCATATTACATGCTAAATGTTTGTATATGGGCCTGTGGTAAGGATTTACTAAAGTGACAACATATACCTCTAAAGTAGATTTTGGGATTTAACAAAACTTGTAAAAAAGAGTTTCTCAATGTCTCATCATGCATTCCTTCTTCAGCCCTTCAACCACCATGGTCATGGTGTGAGCGCAACCTGACAGACAGCGGACATGTAAGCGCCTCTGACCTCAGCCGAGCAAAGGACTCTTGGGTGGAAACGCTTATACCGCCCGATCTCACGCCACGCCAAGGTAAGCCACAGCCGCTATGCTGTGACGTGCGCCATGCCTCTTGGTGTGAGTGAATCGACCGATGCCCACGGCAGGGGAAATATTGGAAGATTTCAAATCCGGAGACTGCAGTAGTCTAGACTGGAATGCGGGGAACGTACGTTCTCACCCCATACAATGGAGAAACTGTACAGGTGCAGAATTGACAAGACCTATACTCTAGTCTGTATTCTTGTAGCAAGAAGCCGACAAGCATTGATGTTGTCGTATGCCTTTGAGTAATGTCTGTATGTAGACTACTATTGAGACGTGGTATTGGAGTATTCGGGCAAGGACTGCTCTGCTACGTTAGAGCTGAAACTCTATCGAAGACGGATCAACTTGCACGTTGCGATTGTCACGAATTTAGCATTGTGGAGTTTGTTACAACGTATCGCATCGTGACATTTGATTCAGACTCTCCTCTTCAACAGTGGGTATTGAAAATCGATATTAAAAATATACATATCCGTCATGGGTATCATCCCATGCGACGGTCATCAACTTCGGCATATTCATTGCCGACCCGTGATAACGTCTTCCCGTTTCTCATCTTATTGCATCGAAAAAGCGACGCATGATTATAGCGAGTACACTCTATGCACTGCTTTATGCTTGGTGCTCACGGGCAGACGAGTTGTCAACCTTGTTGCGACGCTCGCGGCCCTTCTCAGACCAGGGGAAGTGAGCCACGGGGATGACGAAGAAGCTGTAAAGAAAGAGTCAGCGCATAAGTCACAAGCATGGTACAGAGAGTCAAAGACTAACCTGTTGGAGCTGTCCGCAATACCAGCCAGTGCGTTATACCAGGCAGCAAAAGCGGCCATGAGACCGAAGGCACCACCAGCAACAATGCAGTCGCCCTGAGGACCGGCGGCATCGGCATTCAAGTAGCCAATTCCCAACAAGAGGAAAGCCATGTCGAGGGTAAAGAAGAGGAAGAAGAAGGCCACGGTCGATCGGAGCGTGCAGAGAAGCAGGATGAAGGTGAAGATGAACCAGCCCATGAGGAAAAGACCGAACGAGTCGTAGAACTCGCCCTCCGCGACGAGAGATGATTCAATGGCGAATCCACCGGGAGTGAGAACGATAGCGAAGGCGATCCAGAAACCACCGTAGGATGACAGAGCAGTAGCACCGAATGTGTTACCAACAGCCATTTCCCTGTTCCTTGTCAGACAGAGCATTCAAGCATTGTATAATAGTACATACCACATGCCGGCCAAAAGCTGGACGAGACCTCCATAACCGTATGCAAGAGCCACAACAATGTTGGGGTGACCAATACTGCGAGTGTTGACGTTGATCAAAGAAAGGACAAACGTGGTCAGGGCGAAAGCCGACAGACCCAGGGGAGCTGGGTTAGCGAACTTGCGGTTCGGCGGCCTGTATAGACCAGGCTGGAATTCACCACCAAAGGCTGCAAGGCGTAGGTCTGGGTCGTTCGTAGCGACGTGGGCAAGAGGGTTGCCGCCATAGTCGTATGGAGCCCTTTGCTTAGGGAGTCCTGCGCCGTTGGTCGCCGCGTGGTCCATTGCGCTGGTACCGTTTGTGGTCTTCTCAAAACTTGGACCGCGCTGTGATGGTGGTTAGACTTGAAGTTGCCTTGGGCTTGTGACGAGCTTACCACGGTGTCGTTGTGCTCACGAGCTGTCGCCATGATGTCTACTATGGGTAACTGTAGTTCGGACTAACTCGAGATGGGTCAATGGGGAGAGAGTCTGGGGAAGGAGAAAGCAAGCCCACTCTGGGGGAGCGGAGAGACTGATATATGTCCAGACCAGACCTCGCAGGGGAAGCATGGTCCATCTACGTGTGCCATGAGCCGTCGTCCCATACTGGTGCTAGGCCCGCGACTAAGGGTAGGTAATTAGAATTCCAAACAGGTGCTAAAGCGGGCCACTCATGGCAGTTTCTCATAGACGCCTCTCCATCCCGGGTAAAAGGACAGCATGCGTCTCCACAAGCGTGTCAATCAAGTGAGGGCACGGTGAGCGGACGAACGACAATCAGACCAACTCAAGCCACCATGCGCCGTGTGATCGGCGTTAAAAGCTACCTTACCGAGGTCGGATGGACATCGACAAAGAGGATCGCAAGTGGTGCGCCAACCGATCCAACAGTAATTTGTCTTGTTTAGAACGGCCTCGCTGCTGCGATGACGCGGAGAAATGAGATGTGCTGCTCCAATTCCCGAGTGCTGATCGCCATCCAAGTACCAAGCATTACATCATCGCTGCTTGTGACCATGACACATCAGCTTCCATCAAGTGTTTTGAACGCAGAAACGGCAGACATCGCGAGCATGAGTCTTCGAAACATCGTATAACACACAGACCGCTATTGGTATTTGCATGTTAGCGGTCTGACTGCATGTTTACCCTGGAGGAGTGCCCCTGCGAGAAACGCGTGCAGGAGTGGAGCTCAAGTCAGTGCACCAACGCTCAATTTGCTCGGAGTAGTTAGACGCGAAGTCGGCGTCCTGCCCTTCCATGGGTGTACGCGAACCTCCAATGTGGACACTCATTCTCTGCCTGCTGAGCTAGGATGCCGGATATCGCGGGTGCGATATTGGAACATGATATGAACGCAGCCGTTCCCTTGGTATTTGCGATGCTATTTGAGCGTCGGCGCTTTTGTATTGGAAACAGCCACAACACGCTCCGTAGTCCTTTAAGCGATTTATTGGGCGTGCTCTGAAACTTGGGATCCCCAGAGGCCGCGGAGGAAACGGGATGATGATCCTGTGCATGAGGTAAGGTGGCTAAGCTTTGTCCAAGAGCCTCGGCATAAGCCACCGGCATCTTCCAATATCATGACATAATGAAACTCTGGTAGAGCTAAGGAGACGCGCCGTCGAAAGGTTTATACACATGCTGAATAACTGGATTTGAAATCGTCGTTCAGAAAACGACGAACAGAAAAGTCTGTTCATCAATTGTGGGATTGAGGACCCTAGCGTAGTGTGAAGCCGCCATCTTCCTGGTCGTCCGGGGCTGCATGGGGCCGCAAGTGGAGCAGCATCTTACCACCCATCCTAGACTGCGGTTGAGACGCAAGCTGGCTGTTGCGATCCTTCGGACCAGCGGGAGCAGCTGTCAAGTCATTTGCACCTGCATCCTGCCGTTCCGTGTCCGTTGTCTCCGCGACAGGACTGGTATGTTGGCGGATAGATGCGATCAGTGTTGTCTCAGGGCTTTTGCATTGCTCACTTGTTGTCTGTGTTGTCTGGGCAGCAGCGTCTTTGTCTTGGAAAGTAAGGGAAAAATCGAACACAGAGGTAAGAAGCTCTTATACTGCAGCTTACATTAGCTCTTAGCAAGAAATCTCATAAATATTGATAGAGAATCTAGAAATCTACAATTCTATCTATCCCTCTGTATCTCTTATATAATTGTTGTGGTAGGAAGAAGTACTCTGCCCTAAAGAGATGTTTAGTTTCTCGCTTTGATGTATTGATGCCACCACAATCATCGCGAGGATGCATCTTACATTGGTCCATTAGCCTAAATTGCATCTGAATCGCGCCATCATATTGTTTTGCGCAACTGACATGCATGTCTTATATGACCCATCACCATGGGAGCCAATCCGATACACGATGAAGACTGACACTAGTTTTTCCTCCACACAGATTCCTTTTATTGGGGTGGCATTGCTTGAGATGCTTTGCGGCGGTTACCGGGCTTGACCACAACATCAAAAACAAAGCAATGCCTTCGGACATGTTCAGTCCATGGTGGCCAAAAAGAAGTGCCTCAACTTGCACATTGCGCAAGTCCGTTGCTGTTGTTCTTAACGACGAAGAGCTCAAGCGGTTGCCCGGACACTGCTTCCGAGGCGTTGTATGGTACCTGCATGGAAAAAAGGAAAGGTGTTACGAATTGTTGAACCGATCATGGAAGCGAACCTTCTCAACGTATCGCATGTTCACTAATGGTGTTTGACCAGTGGCTTGTTGTAGCGTCGGTATAAAGAATTTGTGTTTGGCTGCTGTAGCCGATTATGTTCATGCCGGTTTCCCACAAGGCTTCGGAAACGAGGAAGTAGGGTCCACCCAGATTGTGGAGAGGGACCTGGGCGAGATCTGGGGACTCCACTTCGACCCTGCGTAAGAGCGTGCCAGGAGTCAGGACGCTGGGAGAGCGGAAAGAAAGCCTCGCCACTATAGAAGACCGAGGAGCCAGCTACTTCCCGCGGTCTTCCGGCAACCATCCACGCACGCAACAACCGGGAGTTAGTAGTGTACGTTCAGCCGATATGCTACGAGTTTGAGTAGTAGCCATCAGGTGACGCAGCACGTCGTGTATCATCTGATGGCCAACGACGAAGAACACCTCGCACCACTGGTGTTTTCCAACTGCGCTGTGGACTCTCGAGAATGCCTGAGCCAGGTGTCATCTTGCGCACGATGATCACTGGGTATCACTGGGTATCGCGCCACTCTGTGCATACCACTCGTCTTTACGTTACAGCGATACAAACATAGAAATTGCTGTCGGAGTTGTCTAGGACTGTTGTTTCATCTGGCTCAGAGCAGTAGTCCACTATCGCAACGTCCATCATGTCAATCAGTGAATGCTGACCTTACCTAGTACTGTCATCGCTGTCAGTCAACAATTGCGACTCAGAAGCATGAGACCTGGAGTCGAAGAGATGAGAAGACGTTGCAACAAACAGTACAAGGGCAGGAACGTGGCGTTTCTTGTCACTCTCTACCGGCTTGGTACCAACTTGGCGCGTCTCGCTACCAACCCAGGCACCGGTAAGCAGAGGAGGGCCGAGGAGGATACAAAGGCGTCCGAGCTCGTCAACACGAACGTCAATCCTCAGCTTGGAGAATGCTCGAGATATTTGCTTTGGTGTTGAGGCGGGTTTCATGGCGGAACGCCGGCTACGTAATGGGTGGGCGATCCACTCCTAGCGCGGGGAAGCTGCGAGAGCTAGCTTCGCCTCGCTACCCGTGGAGCTTGCCTGCCTGCCTGCTTGCTTGCCTGAACTCGGTGTTTAGGCAGACACGGCGACGGTTGATGGCTTTATCCCTCAACACCTGTCACTGAAGACTCAAAATCCCAACTCAACACCAGATCGTCTGCCAGCCCAGCATGTCAGACAGTAACAACAACAACAACGTGTCCCACGAGGACATGACCAGCCTCTCCTACTTCGACCACTCATCGGGCAAGCGCGTCAATACGGACATCGTACTCGTTGAAGCTATCCGCTCACAATACCCCAACCTCGATCTTGTGGTCGCGCCTCAGGGAAGGCTCAACCTCCTCGCCTACGCTGGTGCCGGCCACGCAACGGCCACGCCTCTCGAAGATGTCGTCAAAGACCCGGTATACGGCCCCGGCCTCAAGTGGCGTTCGTACGCTCCACCAGCTCACAGACTTGATTCTAGCCCCGGAAACATGGTCGAACGTGTCATCTTTGGCAAATACATGTACAAATGGAAGGACCAGGAGGCTATCTTATACGTTGCCGAAGGCCGCGACGGAGGGTCGTCGTACCCAAACCCAACCTTCCACTACATCCTCTCCAACGCAGAGCACAAAGTCAATGAGTTGATCAAGGACGCGACAAAGTGGGGCAGCGAGCTACACAACGAGGTCTGGGTCTTTGATGGCGGTTACTGGCAAAAGAGTGCAGAACTATACAACTCCGTACAAAAGAGCTCGTGGGAAAGCGTCATCCTCGACGAGGACATGAAGAAGGCACTCATCTCCGACGTGGAGAACTTCTTCGATGGCCAGCAGACATACCAGGACCTAAAGGTGCCGTGGAAGCGCGGCGTCATCTATTACGGACCTCCAGGAAACGGCAAGACCATCAGCATCAAGGCCATGATGCACAGCCTTTACCAGCGCGGCGTGCAAGGAGACTCGAGACTCGCCGTTCCGACCCTCTATGTTCGCACGCTTTCATCTTTCGGGGGCCCTGAATACTCTCTTTCGCAAATTTTTGGCAAAGCCCGTCAAGAAGCCCCATGCTATCTTGTCTTCGAAGATCTAGACTCAATCGTCAATGACAGCGTCCGATCATACTTCCTGAATGAAGTGGACGGTCTCAAGTCCAATGACGGCATCTTGATGGTTGGTTCAACGAACCACTTGGACAGACTGGACCCGGGAATCGCCAAAAGGCCTAGCCGCTTCGATCGCAAATACTACTTCCCCAACCCCGATTACGACCAGCGTGTACAATACGCCAAGTTCTGGCAGGGAAAGCTCAAGGACAACAAGGACCTTGATTTCCCCGATGAGCTCTGCGAGAAGATCGCCGAGATTACGCCCAAGTTCTCCTTCGCTTACATGCAGGAGGCTTTCGTCGCGTCTCTACTTGCTATCGCCGCTCGGGGCGGTAAGAGCGTCGAGGAGGCGGATCGCGAAGCAGAGAGGTGGTCAGGTCCCCAAGATCCGATGAAATCAGCCCTCGGTACACTGCATGCCAATTTCGCACGAAAATTGCCCTTCGGTGACCTGTCCGATCCTACTCCAACATCGGACGCGGAACTCGATAAGCTGGAACTGTGGATCGAGATGAAGAAGCAGGTCAAGATCCTGCGCGAGGAAATGGACGAGGAGAATAGTAAGGCTGCCTGGGGAATGCCCAGTCGGCCAAAGGTTGCGAATCCTGTGCTCAACCCAACCCAGTTCAGAGACGAACTGGATGCAATCCTGCATGGAGGTCAAGAGAGGCGCCCAAGGCACCCTATCTCGGAGTTCGAGCAGCTGTATGGCTAGATGGAATCTGAGCATGGACCGCTTAGCTGGTAGAATACGGAACAGTATGGCGTTTTGGAGTTATGTTATAACTAGCGTTCTATATAATATGAAATGACCACGACGATTCAACGTTTCACGAAGATGAATTGGAGTTGACTCTAAAAATATAGTACAACAGCCTTGAGCAGCCTCCGCTGTAACGTACAGATGCCTCTTTGAATGGGAAGTACGCAAAGAAATATACTAGATTTTAATCGCCATGTGTAGCAGCCTCCTCCATAGCCAACACTGCATTCTCCAACTCTCGGATCCTCTGTCCGACCCTCCTCTTTACCTCATCCGCAACCGCCCTATCCTGCCCATCAACAACACCCTTGTAATACTCGAGCAGCTTATCCAACTCCTCTCTTGCCGCAGCTCGATCATCAGGAGCATACGTAGTATTCTTCTCGCTCTCTTCAGACGCAATTTCGAACTCGTCTTTGGCTGTGCCGTACAGTTCCTGTATCTCCTCTATCGCTTCATCGACCGCTTGTTGTGTTTCTGGCGATAGCGAGGAAGGAGCTGAGGAGTTGGCGGACGCAAATTTACCGCATGATGTAGAGGTGAAGGTGCGCACGGAGGAAAGAGTATTGTAGGGCGTAGTGAAGCGCGTCCATTGGTTTGGTGCGGCTAGGATGGATGTGTTGCGTGCTTGGTATGGCGGGGGGGGTGAGGGTGATCGTGAGCGTTGTTGCGTATAGGTCTGGTATGAGAACTGCTGGGTTGCGGGATAGGATGTGCGTTGCGCTGCTATTGCGCTTGCGCGGAGGGTTGTCTGGCGGAGTAGTGTGCGGATGGGTGCTGCACCCGACGCCATCTTGGGAGATGATTGTCTATGGTATGAAGCGCGGAACTGACGCGGGATTGAGCGCTGGGCTACATTGCGCAGCAAAGGCGCTTTAGTGAAGAGTGTGTGCGACATTGTGGGTGGTGGGTGTCGGTGAGATGGAAGGTGGTGAGCCTGAGGTTGGTCGGAGTTAAGCTGTCATGCGGATATGACGGTGTTGCGATCCGCTGCCTCGTCACTTGCAGAGATGCATCGGGCTAATTTACTCCGCCACCTACTACAACAATGTATCCTAAGAATTATAGTATAGATATAAAGAATCTAGAAGCCTATAATACTCTTGGTTTTAATAAGTTTTCTTGTTTAAAGCTAACGTAGGCTGCAAGGCAAGGCATGTTGTCTCTATACTTGTTCTATTTTCCTCTTGTATGCAGTGCCGCGAACATTCTACTGAGCAAATTTAACGCTGCAATACGCTGTGGTGTCGGTTGAATGTAATACTGGGTTTCCTCGGATTGACATTGGAGTATCGACGCAGCATGCATTAGAGACAGCCACTGCTTACAAAGACCCATAAATGCTCTGGTTGAACCCAGATCAAGAACTGCTACATGAACATGTCGCCTTCGATACAGGGAACACACGATTATTGCCTACATAATGATAAGTACTTCGTAGTTATGGCAGTGAAGGACAATAATCGCAATTCTTCGCATGCTTCGCGCGCCTTGATGAGCACCAGTAGTTTTTTGCAGGACCTGCTGATGTGGTTCTTGGGTGAAGAATGCAACTCAGGTGTAGTCAGGGGAAGGGGCAAACCAAATTGAGCAACGTTGCTACTAAGATTGAGCCCGAAAATCCCACTGGATTTCTTGTCTTTCTAATTCATGACTACTCTTCTAAACTACTCATACCATATTTTGTCGTACACGAACTTTCAGTGAGCAAACATGCGACCTGTCGCCAGGCGTAATGTAGAAAGACGGAAAATTACCCAAGCAGGAAAACAACCAAATTCCCCCGGGCCTTATAACGAGCAAAGGCCAGACATTTACCCTAAACTTGATGCATAGTGTTGAGAGTACCCTTCTGCTACGATGCAATGCAGATGAGCAGTTTTAGCACCGTCCCCACCGACCCCACCGACCCCGCTGTCACCGCTCCGCCTTCACTTTGCATTCCACGAGCCGCCCTCGCCTACGACCCACACCGATATTTTCGGCCTGAGCCGCAGATTGCAACACGTAAGAACAAGTACGGTAGATTTTGTATTTCTTCCATCAAACAACTCAAGCGAGCGTAGTCTAGGTTCGTTTCACCATCTATCCATACATCACAACATTTCCTAACATCTCACCAGTGGTTATGATGTCTGCTTTACATTATCAAATGTAAAGATACGCAGAAGGTCGGGAGTTCGATCCTCCCCGCTCGTAACGAGCAGTTGCATCAATCTTTTTGCCAATTTTTTGGGCTTGTGGAGGTGTTGTGAACGTCTCTGCACCTCATTTTAAGGGGTTGGAAGTTTGCTCGACTTTTGGACGCTGAACAACTCTTTTTGCAACGGTCCAATTACTTTCATCATTTGCTATATCATTCATACGTCTGTACAACTCCCTTTGTATGTTTTACATATTCCACAGGCCGTAGCGCGCGTCCTGAGAGGTTGTTGGAGTTCGCCGAAATCGGTAAGTTGCACCCCTCTTTTTTGCGTTTTGTGAATAAGAGGCCCCACCAGCTTGTGGGCTTGCACAAGTCTAATCGTCATGCTTCTGAGACAGCAACTCGCTTCAAACATGGGAATCTGATGAAATCCATCGTGGAACTCATGGAATGTCCAGCGAGAACTTGTAGCTATATAGATATTGTTGTGACCAAAAAAGTCATATTGCACCATTTGAAGCATCCATAGGTTGTGTAGTGTACGTTGACCATCATCTCCACTACTCCAAAGCATGCGCTCATTCGATTCTAGGTAGTGGTTATCACTTCAGATTTTGACTTCAATCAAATTTCTGATAACCCCGGTTCGGTAAGACCATCCCTAAAACATGATTTCAAGATCTTTCCCTAACATTGAGAAGAACCCGGGCACGACCTCAAATCCTTCTTTTTGCAATTTGTAAATGCTTCCATGACGCCCATACTCGGGATATGGTTTGTTGTTAACAGCGAGTGGTCGAGCTTCTTTTTGCACAACACATGTATGTAAAGGGAGCGCAGTATTCCAAGATCTATCAATCGATTCAAAACTAAGCTGGGTATATTACCTTTGTTTTACCGTCCATTGTTCCATCCTTGATACCGTTGCGCCTCGCTATTCAATAATGCTGGGATATCTTGCTGATCACCAATCGCTATGCTACACGCCATCACAATATGTACCTTTTGAAAGCACCGCTTCAAGCTCACTCGCAGCCTACCACCACCTTCTCGAATTCCTTCCGCTGGTTGCGCATTGCAAGCAGTGTCGTGTTGAAGATACGACTGCACAAGTCCCACACACATTCCTCCCGCAATCGTTGCACGCGAAGGGACTATGTTCCACAGCTCCGCCCATATCCATGTCCATGTCTACATCCATGCTATCCCCTCCACTCTGCAGCGGTGTATCGCAATCTTCGCACCGCGGCATTTGCGATGAAGTCTGCTCTTGCTGTATGGGCATTGAGAAGATAGGCTGAACAGGCGGCGCGGGCAGCTCTTTCCAGAAAGAATGCAGCGTAGACTTTTGTGGCTTTGATGGGATTGAAATGGGTTGTTGATGCATTGGAAGAGGATCGGATGGGATAGGTGAGGCGTCGGGGTGGTTACGTTGCGCGGCGAAGAGCATGTTTAGCGTGTTCTCTAGCATGGGATTAGCATCGTGCGAATTGGCGAATGCAGCCTAGAAATCATACCATGTATCGCTCGCTCATCGGGTCTGTTGTCGCGAACTCGCTTGCGCGTGCGGTTCCCCCAGTCGCTGCTTTTGACTCGGCTCGCGCTCATAAAGTCCCACGCGTTAGTTCTCATAGTCGCGGGCGCGTCTGTTTCCATCATCTTGTCGTAACCTTTGGAGAACGACATCGGTAGTTGTGTGTCTGGTGTCGAGACGGAGCCGAAGCTGGACATGTAGAGCGGCGAGTCGTCAGAGGAGTGCTTGCGCTTAAGACCCATGGTTGTGATGTTCAGTGTTAACGGATGATGAGGTTTCGTTTGGGGTAAATCAAAATAGTGAATCCGCTGTTTGTGGGGTGGTATGTTTGTGTGCTAAAGAGGCAAAGCGAGATGGGATGAAACGGGGAGTGATGATGCAAAGTGGTTGGCCTGGGAGACGCGATCTATCGGCGCGAGCGCGTCGCGTGATGGCGTGTCGGGATCGCATTGCATCACTACCCGACAGAACATCCAGATGAAATCAGCACGTGTGACGCCATGAGCAGAGGATTTTATCTAGCCCATAATTTGTCCCGGGTCTATCTAGAAATTACGACAATCAGGCTGGCCTGACACTCTTGGCTCGAAAGCAATGGAGCTGAAGGCATTACGTCGGTCATACAAAGGGTGAAGCTCGCCTTTACCCCACCACCCCTCACATGCCAACACCAACTAGCCCATACAACGTCACGATAACAGCTTTCAATATTCCCATCACTGAAACCCAACATGGTCACTCGTAAAGCCACCCACGCTGGTTCCTGGTATACGGACAACAAACAACTCCTGTCCCAGCAACTCGACGGCTGGCTCGGAGAGGTTCCCGAATCCACGACGCCCATAGGCTCCGCTTCCTCACAACAAGGCCAAGTCTCGATACCTACACCACACGCGCGAGCTATCATCGCCCCGTATGTGCCCTGAAGACTCTGTAGAGAAGACGAGGCTCATGGACGTGCAGGCATGCCGGATACTCGTACTCAGGTCCTGCTGCAGCATGGGCCTACAAGAGCGCTGACTGGGCGAATGCGTGAGTACATATCGGTCAAAAAGACAGTCAGGGTTCCGCACTGACTGCTCGTAGCAAACGCGTCTTCCTACTCGGCCCCTCTCACCACTACTACCTCACTGGCGCTGCGACGACAGGTTGCGAGAAGTACCGTACACCTCTCGGCGACCTGACTATAGACACAAAGCTAGTGGATGAGATACAAAACCAATGGGACCTGGAGACAATGTCAAAAGGAGTGGACGAGGACGAGCATAGTCTGGAGATGCACCTTCCGTACATCTACAAGATGCTGTCACTGAAGAACACAAACTTCCAGAATGATTCGACATCTGTGCCTCTAGTACCTATCATGGTCGGCAACACCGATGCAGCCATCGAAGCTCACTACGGCTCCCTCCTCGCGCCATACCTCTCCGACCCTTCCAATGTGTTTGTAATCTCATCTGATTTCTGTCATTGGGGCTCCCGCTTTCGATACACGTACTACCAGCCCGCCGACGGCTCAGCAGCAACTCAGCTTAGGTCAAGCTCTCGCGTACCGAGCGACTATCCCATACACGAGAGTATTGCTGCTGTCGACCACGAAAGTATCGACGCGGTTGAGAGTGGGTCACATAAGCAGTTCTTGGATCAGCTCAGGAAGACTGGCAACACCGTGTGTGGAAGACACCCGATTGGTCTCTTCATGGCCGCGGTAGAGAAGGCAGATGGTTTAGGTCAAGGAAGGGGCATGTTCAAGTTCCTGCGGTATGAGAGGAGCAGTTTGGTGGAAGAAGTAAAGGATAGTAGTGTGTCGTATTGCAGTGCTTTCGCACTCCTCTAAAGCGAGCTCTCATCTATAGAGCTTGTCGAGTCCTCGATAGTAACGGATAATAATGAAAAAAAGAAACCAACGACTATGATCATGCCTATATTCCAGCAATGCATCGCAACTGAGGATTGAAACGCCGATCCATGCAACCAAGATATCTCAACAAGACGCATTTCAAATACAGATCAAGGTGGCCGTGGCTTTGGCATGGCAATATGTTTCACACTCCACGGCTGCATGCTTCTCCTCGCACCCAGCGTCTTCCTCTGTGCTGACTGATTCTGCACTTGGTTCATCGACGTTGTGTGAAATGTAGACGCTGGCCGAAAGCCAGATGCCGAAGCAAATGACGATGACGTTTGCTTGGTTGGACTTGTTGGTTCTCTGCCATCCTTCCCTGCTTGATGCGTTTCCTCTACATCGGGTCTAGGGGGCGAACTAGATAGAAGGACATACCGCGTGCTTTCCATCCCGGCTTCGGGCTCGACACGTTTTGGCTTGGTGAGAATTGGTCGGTTCGTAACTTTGTGATTGGTCATTGAGAGTGGTTGAAATGGGCGTGGTGGTCGTGAAACGGAGGATTGCACGTTGGATATGTCATGAAGTGGAGTGTGAGTGGAAAATGAAGATTGCGAGCGTTGCAGAGACGGCGCAGTGAAGGATGGCGCAGTTTCTGTTTCCTCGGATATCGCGCTATTTGATCGCTTAAAGAAGCTTGTAATGGCACCTTGGCCTTTTGCGAGTGGCTTGACGGATTTCGCTCGGGCAGGCTTTGCTTCTGCTTTCTTGGAGTCGTTGTAGGCTGCCTTGGCAATCTCTGCGTTGGGAGTGCTGGCTAGCGTTCGAATGCGCTCTGCTTCTCTCTGCATTGCCTGGAGATCTCCAAGATCCCGAGCACTGGTGAAACCAGCTTTGACGGTCGGCATGGTCGTCGTCGCTATCGAAAATCCAGACGCTCTATTCATGGTGACCGCTACTGAGTCCGTAGAGAAAGAGCTCGATGATTCCAGCCTGCGCCGCTTGAAAGATTGATTTGGCCCATCGCCGATGGGCTTCGCGCTTCTGTACTTGTCGGATCCGTATGCGCCCCATGTTGGATCATTCCCGTCAATCTCCTCTCGAGTCGCTGGGTATCGATCGTCTTCCGGATGTTCCAGCAAGCCGAGAGCACCTTTGATGTCTTCAGACGATGGACAGTCTCTCCGCAGAATACGGGCCAAGTCTGGTATGGTACTACGCTTGAAAGCTAAGTCTGGTCCTCGGTCGTTGAAAAGCTTCTGTATTTTCCGATCGGAAATGAACCTGGAAAGGGTCGTCTGCTCTTGACCTGACTGCTTAACTGGGCAACTCAGGTACAATAGGCCTTGTGCCCGAGTCATACCAACGTACAACAAACGCCTCTCCTCATCCTGGTCATCTGCTCGGGAGTGCGGTATAGATCCGTCATACACAGCAGGCATAAAGACGACAGGCCATTCCAGACCTTTCGCTGCGTGGATGGTAGAGATGGTGACCTGGTCCAGTTCGCTTCCCTCCTGGTCTGCTGCGCTCGAGAGCGTAACATTGGCCAAGAATTTGGACAGAATATCGGCTCCGGTGTCGTTTCGCTGTTCGATGCCCTCTACCACTGGCAAGGCGTCGTCAGAAATCTCTTCCCCATTAGCAACTGCCGTAGCCATCTGTGTTGCCTGGTTCACCAGCTCCTCCACGTTTGCCCATCGATCTTCCCAGTTCTCCTTATGTGTCTGCTTAAGATAGGACTGGAACTGTATTTTAGCCAGAATGTGCGATATGAGACCTAGCAAGTTACAGTCTTCGCCTTTAGCAGGAAGAAGCTTCTCGCGCGAGGTAAGAATGACATTGACGAACTGCTCGATGCCCTTCTGTGCTTGGGCGGAGACTTTGCTTTCCGGCTTCCTCCTGCCCTGGGCGATATCCAGCACCAGTTTCCACAGAGTGACTTTTCTGACTTCTGCTTCTTCGAGTAGTGCCTTCACAGTAACGTCGCCAACTTTCCGGGACGGTGTATTGATAACCCTTGCCACTGCATCATTATGATCTGGCTGACTGACCACGCGTAGGTAGTCTAAGATGATCCTGATCTCCGCCCGATCAAAGAACTTCGTACCAGCGACCATCCGATAGGGAATTCCAGCTTGTCCGAGCGCTCGCTCAATCTGGAGCGTGAGAGGAGATGAGCGTACAAGTATAGCGTAATCGTTATAGCTCAGCAGCCCCGCTGCAAGCGTTTTGGTCCGATGTATCTCTTCTACAATCCATTTCGCCTCCACGTTGGCCGATACCAAATGGCGAAGAGTGGGAGGCTCACCAACGCCATGTGTAGCAATGAGCGACTTTTGTGGTCGACTCTCATCCTGCTCAATGACAGCCATGGCGGAGGTCAAGATGCATCCCGAAGACCGATAGTTGTTCTCCAGGTTGATCACGACTGACTCGGGGTAATCGGTGCGCATCCGCAGGAGATTCTTGATCTCTGCTGACCGGAAGCTGTATATACTTTGGTCTGGATCACCGACAATGGTGATACGTCTTGTTCTTTGAGCTAATAACCTCATTAATTCGTACTGGATATTGTTGGTGTCTTGGTACTCGTCAATTAGTACAGCTTGTATCGTGGAGACACATGACGGCGACTTTTTTAATAGATCCACACATCGGAGAAGAAGGTCGTCGTAATCGAGAAGATTGGAGGCGGCCAAATGTTCTTGGTAAGAGGAATATATCATCGCGAACTCATTGTCGTTGACATTCTTTGTTGTCCTTCGAAAATCGTCGGCGGTGGTTCCCTTGGCTTTGAGTTTGGAGATCCTGGAACGAGCATGGCCAGGTTCCACTGTGTACTGATGACGCGTAACAATTCGCTTCAGTATTGCCGTGCTGTCGCTAGTATCCGCAATGCCAAAGTTCTTATCAATCCCAATCTCTTGACCGTACCGAGATAAGAAGCGACGCGCGACTGAATGAAAGGTACCCAGGATAAGTTTTGCCTCAAGCTTCTCTCCAACAAATCCCTTGATCCGTTCCTTCATCTCTCTTGCAGCTTTGATGGTAAAAGTACATACAATGATGTTCCATGGCTGTAGTCGCTCGTGATTGATGTGGTACGCGACGCGTGCTGTGAGTGTTTTAGTTTTGCCTGAGCCGGGCGGCGCGAGGACCTGGACAACATTGGCGGGACTTGTTACCGCGCTTCTCTGCGCATCGTTTAGTCCCTCCAACAATGCGTCCATGGCGGGTCGTGTGAGATACAGCGTCTCATTAAGGGCTGGTCGACGGCGTGTGGCGTGAAGGAATCGAGGAACGCGCTAGGAACACGGTGCACGTGTCGATAAGATAAGCCAAAGTACTGCTCATAGCCGAGCGGCAACCGTCACAACAACGGTACCTAGCAAACAGCACGGATGAATTGTGCTTACAAGCCCGCGCACTCTAAACCAAGCACTGGGCTAAACATCATCATACGAAAAGCGTAATGCTTCCGCTGCAAGTTGTGCTGGCGGAATCCCCATGGAAATAGCTTCGTTCGCCAAGTACTAATTTCTCGTATTCTTCCCCGCAATGCGGAGGTACCTCAACTCGGACAGCTTTTATCCGACAACCCGGCGCGAAGTGACGATGATCATCGGATTTTGATTTGCATTGAGCAAGCCTGCCGACGGACGTTGAGGCTCTTCCCAGTTAGCTGTTCGTGATGAGTATACCGCACCGAGGACTATAAAGGTCCGAATGTACCTAATGTCTATCCTGCATCCCGCGAAGTGTCACTTCATCCTCTCATCATGCTGGGACCACGTGTTTTGCTTAGCACAGCACTTGCTGCTGCTGTCGTTTCGGCTGGATATTTGCCAGGCATCTCCAGCAACACTGCTTTCCAATACAATGCGCGTCGACAGGCCACTAACAGCACGTCTCTATCTTTCAATGGCCCGTACAGTACCCGAGGCCGAGACATTGTTGATAGCAATGGTGAGAAGACAACTTGGGCGGGCGTCAACTGGCCTATGAGCGGTACGTTACAAGCATCAACTGAACAGTAGGTGAACATTGATTGACGTCCTCTATAGGCGAGACTATGATTCCTGAAGGGCTTGAATGGGCGTCAGCGGAAGAGATTCTAGATGATATCGCGGGTGTCGGCTTCAACTATATCCGCATGGGATATGCTATCGAGATGATCGACCAGGTTTACGACAGGGACGGTGTTGATGTCCCGCTCGAAGTTGGCCTCATTAATGCCCTTGGGTACGTCAACGGTACCAAAGTCACGAACGAGATCATCGCGAAGAACCCTGGCTGGACCGCTCAGACTACACGTTTCGAGATTTGGAGCGATATTGCGCGTATTGCTGCTACGAAGGGCATCTTCATTAGCCCAGATGTGCACACAGGAAAGGCGCAGTGGTGCTGCTCGCACATCGACGGTACTGCTTGGTTCGACGACCTCCAGTTCAACGCAACACATTGGCGCCGCGGTCTTTCTTACGTTGCCAATTGGGCGAAGGACCACCCAAATGTAGTCAGCATGTCTCTCCGCAACGAGTTGCGCGAATCTTGGAACGTCACGGACCTATACTACAACTGGGATACGCTTGTAGGCAACATGACCGCTGGAGCTGACGCAATCCACGAGGCCAACCCCGATATTCTTATCCTGTGGGGTGGCATGCAATACGGACAAGATCTATCAGCCTTGACTAGCGGCAAGAACATTCTCACCGCCCCTTGCTACAAGTGCACAGCGATCAGAGATGCGGCAAGGAGGGAGCCAGTATACTTCAACCTCGATGACCATCCATGGGCCGACAAGCTCGTTTGGGAACTTCATCTTTACAGCATGAGCGAGGATATCGACACTGGCACCTGCGACATCGTCAAGGCAAACTTTTATCGCAACGGTTTTAATGCCCTGGGTATCGACGCACCAGCCGCCTGCAATATCACAGGTGACTGCCCGAAGGCTGTCCGCGAGACACCCGTCATCCTGAGCGAGTTCGGCAGTGCTCAGGACGAAACCCTCTTCAACAACACTCTGCAGAACTGTCTGAAGGAATACACCATCGACAACGATGTTAGCTGGATGATGTGGTCTATTGCTGGTTCATACAGAATCAGATCAGGAGTGCAAGGATTTCCTGATACCTGGGGTATGACAAACTACAACTGGACAGGATGGAACTACGAGCGTGGTATCGAGGAGTTCTGGAAGCCATGGGTCCAGGCGATGAACACAACGAAGATACAATAATCATATGTAGCGATATTAATGTCTACTTTCAATACTCGTATAATGAGTCTCACGCTTAACAAACGCAGTTGGTATATCATTCGGGTTTTGGGATGAACAAACGGCTTTCACATTCGATTGTATCGATTCGAGCTCCCTCAGCGCCCCTCACTTTGCATCCTTTTCTCATCAGCCCTTCCATGGTCTTTTTGACGCAAACTTCTGCTTCCGATAAGGTGAAATCCCGCTGAGGCTTCCAGTTGCAACGGTTCAAGATACGTTGTAGCCCATGGCTCTCATGATCGCCTTGCCCTCTTCCACGTCGTCTAATTCCCAGATCCTCAGCCCATACGACTCTAGGAAAGCCTTGAAGCTATGGAACCCCAAGTCTTTGGCAGCTTTGTAGGTGGTGGTAATATTGGACTTGTCGGCGTCAGAAGACATGCTGCTAGTGCTGCAGACCGTGTTCGGTTTTCGCGAGAAGGGTTCTGGAAGAGCGAAGCTTAGTAGAGAACTTCGGTTGTTCGAGCTTTGAGGAAAGGGAGTAGCGATACGCGGAAGACGCGGAGAAGAGGAGGAAGAGGTGGGACGTGGGTTCGGTGAAATATATAGCGGGGCACGGCGGAGGCTGGGATACTCACGAGACGTAGCATGTGACTACGAGTATTACTATGAACCTTGATATACTTGACATTACAGTGTCAAAGGAGCACAATCTCAGAAGCTGCTGCTACCTGTTGCTACAAAAGTATACCGAAGCCTAGTATGCCCAAGACAGCACCCGTCCACCACTCAAGCTTGCTTGTTTTATCGGCACCAGCTCCCTTGCTAGAGGTGGTCGCCAGCCTGGCACTTTGCTCACCCGGGCGTGCAGAGTCGGTGATACTTGCTTCGAAGCCAGATTTAGGCATGGTCATGGTAGTAAGTGCAACACGCACGGTGGCAGTGACAGCAGTACCGCTCGAACTAACCGTCACCAAAGTGTTGCCTGTGGCGTCTGTTGTCATTTCTAGTATCGTAGGAGCGAGGTTGCCCCCAAGGTAGATAGAAAGACCAGGCGTAAGCGTTACTGTCCATGCTCCTCCTATCACGAGGTAGCCAGTACCTACTGTTGGTGTTACCTGCGGAAACGACGCTTCATCCGTATCCCTCGGCATGCCAGAATTAGGAGTAGTCGCTGGTTGCGCTGCAGCACTGCCTCCTCCATTGTCACTACTTGGAGGCGTGATCGTTTGGCCGAGGCTATTGGTGGTTGGAGATGCGGGCTGGACGTTCGATGGCGTGCCGCCAAGCTGGGAGACAATGCTCAGTAGGAGACTGTTCTGCCCTGTCTGTTGCGATGTCGTTCCTGAAACACTGGGGGCGTCTCCTCCCGCTATGTTATCCCCAGATGGCCCAGGCTTGTTCGAAGGACGGACTGTGTTCGCTACCGTGACCGAAGACTGTTGTCCATTGTTGTCCCCGCTCGCTTGAGTAGCATCGCCCAGTGTGAATCCGTCCTCCACCAGGTTCGTCTCAATGTTGATAATTGTCGGTCGAATTGCGGTGACGGTCGTCTCAGTCGCAATTAACGTCACAAGACGATCGGTAGCTGGACCAGTTTCCCCCCAACCTGTCGCAGTCGGAACCCCAGGCCTGAGTTGACGGCTAGTCTCGCCACAAGTGGTGTCATCTATAACACAACATTGTTCGGTCCCCGCAGAATTACATGGATCCCCCTCTGCAAGTCCGTCTCCCCTGTCTATGGACACACTCTCCGTAGCAGCAGCGTCAAACGTTCCTGTTGTCTCTGTCGGGATAGATACGGTCGCCCATTCGATAGGGGCAGTCTCTGTGACATTCGGTAGTAAGGAGACCTCTGCTTCATATTAGCCTGTATGCTCTCCAGTTGGCTCGGCATCGGTTGCATACGAGGGATAGCCGCTGCGGCATTCGCTAGGAAGAAGAGCGTCAGGAGCTCTGGTGGAAGGAACATGTCGACGTGCTACAGCTGTCAATCTGGCATGCAGGAGAGAATATGGAGAGCACGCAGCGCGCTCAAACGCTGAGGCCCCTTCCGTGCCGCCATGTCTCCAAGTGAGTAAGTTCGCAAGCTGTGCAGCCAGGGAAGCCTCATCGTGGTTAGCGGATAGAGGCCATGGCACGCCTAGGTGCGCAATCACATGCCAAGCGCTGCCGGGCGTTGTCACAATCTCCGAACTCTCATGCATCAACTACAACTTCACAATTCAAGACAGCATGGTTTTCACTGCGCATACCCATACCCTCTACAATCTTCCCACACTCATGCTAGCACTGAGAACAACACCTGCTCCATGTGCCTGCCACTTCAAATGAGATGCGTCTTCTATCGTGGAGCTGGGATCGCGTTATGATTAACCGACACCTGAATCCTTCCGCCCCCAAGGTTCGATGCATTATGTTCCATGTGCGACTCTACTGCCAATAAGGAGAAATGGCCTCGACAGTATCTTACCTTCTCGGCTAGCGCTACGAGATGTACAGGGTGTCATCAACCGTTCTTCATGCATGCACGTGTTGGAGAATACATTTAGAACAAAGCTAACACAGCGCACCCCGCCCACAAAACTGCAGGCGATATGCGCGTATACATGTTCGTCCAGGGCCAGTCAAAAGGCCCTGTCTGCCAGCCGTGTAAGTGTCGCCGTGGTATAGAGCCTGCTTGCGCCTTGGCTGTGGCTTTTCCAGGCGAGGATGTGCCGCTTTGCTGCATCGTAGCCCTACGCACTGACATGCAGAACTTTGATACCAGCAATCCAGGTTTCCTTCGACACCAACAAGCATGGAAAAATAAAACCCATTCCATACACGAAGATCACATCTAAGCGTGAAAATCAACACATCCAAACGCGGAAACCTTCGCCAACCACCCTCTTGTAGTTCTTGGTATTGAACCAACAAGGTGGGGAGGCTTTCATGTCATCCATCTGTCGCACTAGACTCTGTGGCGACTACAGAGGCACAGTCAGCGCGAATATGGATCGAATGGGTATCCGGCATGCCTTTGGTCATTCAGCAGATGTTACTTAATACGTTCTGGATGCAAACGCCTACAAATAACATATTCGAAGGCGAATTACTGACAGGTCATTTTTAATTCCTTACGAGCGCTTCATCCAATTGCTTCGTAAAAGCTGTATCTTTTCCAGCTTTCCCACCTCATTGACCGGGCTGAGTTTCCATGTACTCGCAGTTCCCCGGTCCCAGGCTGAGTATTCAAACCATTGCAAGCATCATCTTGCATAAAACGGTCACGTTTGTATGTCCTAGATACACCACGTTTCGTCACATTAGCAAGTTTGCAGGACTTGGATATGCGACACAAGCTAGACAACAAACAGCGTCACGGGGCTGTTGCCTTACGCAAGCGGAGCATGTCTGGCAGTTCAACTCGCACAGTGAGGCTGATCTCTCGAAGCACCCGTGGAACGTCAGGTTTTGTAGCAGACTCTGCGAGAGAACATACGAGCTATTTGGACAAGGAGTAAGAGGGCGAGTAAAGATCGGTGACGAAAGCAGTATGTGAAAGCCGGAACGAAACTCGACAGGTAATGTGACTAGTACATCAAGGTCTCAATGACATTTTCTAGGCAGTAATTTCGATTATGGAACTCAGACGCGAAAAACTTACCATGCCCTTGGTCAGGCACGAGTCAATGGCCTAGTTGATCCTAACTGCAGGCCTCCTGGGCTTGACACTGTGATAGTCGGATGACCGTAAAGCGCGAGTACGCAATTCGATGGATAATCCAAACAGAGTCTTGTGGGTTGTAGACATTGTGGCTTGAGAATGCTCACCGCGGTATGTCAAGAATCTGGTCATGCCTGTCAGTGCGCCTCTATCAACAGCAACAGTCACACTTCTTGACCAGCCTCCACAATGAAAAACCTTGGAAAGACGCCTCTGATTCTAGCTATGATTCATCCAGAGCGCATGACCCTCGCAGCGTCGTAAGCTCCAACCGGCGAAGCACCCATGAGCACTGGCGACAGAAGATCAGCGAACACATCGGAAGGAAATGGCGTATTTCCCTAGGCATCCATCTCAACGACGGCAGGTACCCGTTATATTATCGCATGTTGATTACACACAGTTCATGGTTCACCGTCGTGTTCCCGGCCCCCACACCTCCACATTGTCACAGCCGCGCAGTGGCGACCGCAACTTCAGCTGTCGTGACCCCTCCATGATACACACCGCGGGGGCTGTCAGAACCATGTATCTACTAAAGAGGAGTTTTAAGCCTCAATATTCTGGCGGTCAAGAACTTATCGGTAAAGTATCGTTCATGCGGAACACGCCGACAGTGGGCGCAGCCAATCATATCACGGAACGATCTGCACCAGCCACTTCTTGAGCCGCAGGAGGAGGCGCAGCACGTTGGGTGTTCATGGGGTGCATTGAGGCCGTGCTTACCAGACATGATGTCGTTCGGAATTTTCTAGGCAGTTGAGACATCAGGTCGTATGGTATTTAGAGGGTTCTTGAGGACCGTGGTTTTGTTTGCCCAGTTCGCAATCTACAGAATATAAATACTTTCGATCCAACAATACTGCAAGACGACCACCTTCGACAGTTCTTCAACTATCATCTAAGACCATCAGCCTCATAAGGCAACCAACAATGTCTTACCTGCACCTAACCCGTACTCGCACCCGCGAGCGTACCCCGGACCACGACAACTACTACACCCGTCCCCTCGCACGTCGCGACTCCAACAAACGCCGTCACAGCATCACACTCTCTGATCTCGACGACGCTGATGACTACCCATACTCTACCAACCAGAAGCCAGCCAAGCTATCTCGCGCCTTGACAGTCCGCGACCAACCTTCGCAACTCGAGCGCTACAATATCGTCAGGGACAACCGGCACAACCATAAAGATGCTGGTGACGACGATAGACTTCGCAGCTACGAATCAAGGCGTACTTACAGATACTCTGACCGCCCCGCTTCTTCAGAGCCTGAAGATCGCGACTTCCACTTGAGTATCAACGCCAAATTTGGCCGGCCGCACTCTTCTCACCACCATCACCACTCTTCCTCTCTGCTTTCACCCACGTACGACCCTTTTCACCGCACCGATAAGTGGTGGGTAGACGAGCGATGGGAGTCTCGTGAGCGCTCTACTTCACGGGAGCGGAGCCGAACGCGCCGAGATAGTTTTTGGGGCGATTCGTTTGAGGAGAAGGAGAGGGAGACCGAAGAGGAAAGGTGGAGGACTTACCACAGAACTGCTGGGAGGGAGGTTGAAAGGGAGAGTATCAGGCCGTTAAGTGGCTGGAGGAGGAAGAGGATTGTGATGGGTGATGATTAGGAAAGGTCTGACTAAGAATCGATAGGCATCGTGGGACTTGGACTAGATAGCATGATACTGTGTTTCCTTAGACGTCGATGCTCGTTGGTTGTAGGGTATGGGTCAGGCGTCGCGATAGATTGTCTTTCGTCTTTCGTTCGTGCGTTCCGTATGTAGTTTCGAGTGCTTATTTCTATACCCTCAACAGTATCTGGTTAGCAAGGGAAAGTTTTTGGTATGCCCGTCGAACAAATTGCTGCCCTTGACAGATCTCGGAGACAATAACCATGTTTTACGTAGCGGTTGTCAAACATCACGTTCTTGACTATCTACCAATCGTACTATCAGTAGACCACATATCACGAAAGATCTTTAAAAAGAAGCAGTATGAAGTATTCGTATATTGTCATTCGTACCTAAACGAGACAATGCCGTGATACGAAAGCAAGTGATTTCAACCCCGATCCATGATCATCTCCATTGGAGAGTATTGATGAATCCAGTAACGCCAAAAATGCCCAACTGTATCGTACAGTATCGTCCATCCGTGATATGCGAGACCAATTCTAACCGTGTGCACCACCGAGAAAAAGACGAGAAGCCAGCAAGATCCGAAGTATGCAGAGATGCCACTAGCCCGCCCCCTCACCTGGCTATGTTGGGTCTCCACGAAGGCCAACCCTTGCGGGGAGGCAGCACTCAGTAGAAACCTTCAAGCCGCGGTGGAGGGCGAACAGGGATGGCAACAGCACGACTAAGACCTTGCAAAGAATACACAAAACACCTTATCCAGTCTGCGCCACCCAATGCACCTATGATATCCCAAACTCCGTAAACAAAAAAGCCCATGTAAGACTGACAAGGATCAACGGGTCCACTAGAAGAGACGCAACTTCTTGGGCGGGCCAAGGGAGCCGAAGAAAGACGACTCTGCGGGGCGCTTCTTAACAGTAGTGGCAGCCTGAGGAGCAGGCTTGACAGCCGAAAAGATCGGTTTTGAGGGCGTAGCTCCAAGGAAGATGGACTTGGACGGAGTCTTGATGGCTGACCTGCTAAACAGGAAAGACGATTTCTTGATAGGAGCAGTCCGAGGTGCGAGAGGGCTCTTGTCATTGTCGAAGAACATGCCAACCTCGCAATTTTCTTTATCGTCGTTGAAGGAGCGATCGAACTCGGAGCTTGTTGGTGTGCTGGGCATCTTGCATTGAGACGAAGGTGGAAGCGCGTACTTGGAAGGAGTCTTGAACGGCGTGAAGGGCTTCGCGGCGGTTGTGGGGAGAGGAGTTGCTGGCTTCGCAACCGATAGATCAACCAGATAATGCTCTTCGTCCATACGCTTCTTGTTTGATTCGCTGTCCAACACCCACCCAACATTGACACACTTAATCGCCCCCTTGCTCTCAAGGCACTTCTCCAGTGTGGATATGCTTCCGTCCTTGAAGAGAACGTGGCTCACCGACGCGTGCGATATATCTTGGACTACCTTCGCGCCAAGATCTTCGAGCAGACCACGGAAGAGGAAGTTTTGCTCCCTGCCGTTGCTTGTGACGTCGACGTAGAAAACCATGCCCTGAAGAATGCCGTCATACAGGAACAGATCGCTCTCATCCGCTTGGACGTCGGTCCAAGCAACAGTCTTCTTCGGGGTCTTGGCGTCCTTGACCTTCTGAGGTGATCGCAGGGCGGACTTCTTGGGTGATGCTGGCTCGGGTGCTGCGAAAGTAGGAGCGAGTTTGAGTGGCGCCAGTTGCATGATTGGCCTGGTTACAAACGGGGAAGGTTCAATTGCAGTATGGGCAACCGCAATCTCACCGACTTCACTAGCCTCAGTGACCTCGCTGATGTCGGCAATCTCGCTAGGCTCCTCAAGCTCGAATGAGTCATTCTTGAGAGTTGGATATCTCACAGGCGATGGTGTCTGCTTCTTGACTGACCTGGTGATCTCTTCCTGGAGAGCAGCCTCGAGTGCCAAGCTTGGTGTGGTGGGATAGTCGGGCAACTCAGCAAGAGCGCGGCGAGGAGTCATCGGTGCCTTGATGTGAGCAGGAGTCTTGGGATAATCGGGGAGCTCGGCCAATGCTGCTTTGGAGGAAACAGGAGCAGAGATGTGAGCTGGGGTCTTTGGATAACCCGGAAGCTCAGCCAACGCCGCTTTAGAAGTTACAGGGGCAGAGATATGAGCTGGGGTCTTGGGGTAATCCGGGAGCTCGGCCAATGCCGCTTTAGAAGTCACAGGAGCGGAGATGTGAGTTGGTGTGGTAGGGTATGCGGCTGGAAGCTCCTCAAATGCTTCCTGGTCAGTCATACCGCAGACGACCTCGGCAGTCGAGTCATCTACTGTTATAGCGGCCGAGCTAGAGGTATCAGGCTGGACAGTCACAGGAGACTTTGCAGCGGGTATGGAGACGTCAACTGTAGCGTCGAGGTCCTCGCGGATTTCCTCCTCTTCGATGTGAGGGTACTCAACGTGCTGAGGATCTCCTGATACCACTGTCGTGACATGCTCCTCGACCTCAGAAACCGTTGAGACCTGGCAGGCCTCACTCTGCTCTACCGGCTCGTTATCCTCAACATCCTCCATGGCGACGTCGTTGTGCTCATGCTCAACGACATCGACATCATCCTCCTGGGCGGCTGCTACAACGGGTGCAGTGATGTGCGCAGGCGTCGTGGGGTATCCTGCAAGTTCTGCAAGACCCTGCTCGTTCGACAGAGGCGCAATGATATGGGATGGTGTAGTCGGGTAGCCCGGTAGTTCAGCGACGGCTTCCCTAGAAGTCATTGGGGCAGAGATGTGTGTGGGTGTTGTAGGGTAACCAGGAAACTCTGCCAATGGCTGCTCGACAACCTCGACGACCGACTGTTCAATCGCTTCTATGGCTGGCTCGTCAGCTACTGCGATGACCGGTTGTTCAATTTCCTTAGCAACTGGCTCTTCTACTTCTTCAATGACTGCCTCTTCAACAGCCTCGACGAGTGGCTCCTCGACAGCCTCAACAATTGGCTCTTCGACAGCCTCGATAACTGGCTCTTCGACTACCTCCGCGACTGGCTCTTCAGCTGTTTCGACGACAGCCTCGGGCTCAGCTTTCGTCTTGGGAACAGCCGCGGCCTTCTTTGTAGGCTTGCGGGCCGGTGCCTTGAGAGGCGAGTCTTGTGAAACTGCCGGGGCATTGCGACCACGTGTGGCTCTGGGTGCGATGACGGGGGCTGGAGCGGATGCCGAGGCTTTGGGTACTGGTGGCTTGCGGGTTCGAGTTGCTGACTTAGCCGGCTCACTGACGGCGGTTTTCTCGGTGGCAGCAGGCTCGCTCTTCTTGGTGGTGGGCGCCTTCTTTACGGGTACAGGTGCTTTGCGTACCCTGGATGTTGCTTTAGGTGCCTCTTCGACAGCAGGCTCTTCGGCAACAACAGGCTTCTGAAGTTTGGGTGCAGGTGCCTGCTTTACTGCCGCGATCTTGCGTGTACGAGTGGCTGCTGGCTTGGGCGCCTCTTCGGTAGTTTCGGGCTCCTCTGCAGCGGCAGGTTCTTCAGCCTTGCGACCACGCGTCGCTCTTGTTGCTGGAGCAGGTGCAGGCACAGCTTTCGTCTGGACCTTGACTGTGCGCGCTGTCTTTGTTGCGACCGTCTTCTTAGCCATGGGCGGCTCGGCATCTTCAGGCTCAGCCTTCGCCTTGCGCTTCACAGCGGTTGTCTTTGTGGGTTTGATCGGGGAAGGCGCGAGTTCGTCGATCTCATCGACTGCCTTCTTCCTGCCGCCGCGTTTGGGAGGGGCGTTGAGTGTGTTTGAGGGCGCAGAGGCGGCCTCTGGGGCTTTCTTCGCACCGCGACGTGTAGCGACCATGATTTTTGTCGAGGTTCGCTGTCTTCGTGGTGTGTCGTTGTCGATCTGGTGTGAGACAGGTTCAGTCGAGGTTGTGAACGTGCTTGCCGTGTTGTGTTGTCAAAGCGCGAACACACACTAACCACATCTGGACATGCGTTGTCCCGACAACAGTCGCTTAGCGACCAATAGCCTTTTCGCAGCGGCAGGGCAATCTAGGGACGATCTTAGATAACGCTCGATTGTGGAGGATAACCACGGTTAATCTAAATGCAATCTATGTGTTCGGCTTCTCTCGTTGATCGTTTCACGTGGCTATGCGTATGACTTCCATGCCAACTCCACATATCAGCACTCTCACGTCTGTAACATCATCTCCTTTATCGAGCACCGCCATGCTGGACACATCTGCAACATTCGTCTTGACCTTCCCCAGCCTCTGGATCACCAATGCATCTCCTAGCTCTGCTGAAATCTCATGTCCGACTTCACCATCATCTTTCCGAAGGACAATCTCCCACAGTCGGACCCATTCATCATTTCCTGATGTGACAAGGAGGATGCGTGATTTGTGCTTAAAGAGGCTGCATGATGTCACTGCAGAGCCATGTGCACGGCTGGCGAGTATTGGTGGCGAAACGTAAGAGGTCGCAGGTGAAGTCGGCGAGTGTGAGGATGTAGATCGTGCAAGTATACACGCCAGGCTGCCATCATCTCCACCAGACACGATGAGCCAAGTATCTGCATCGACGGGATGGCATGTCATGGCCTTCGAAGAGTTCTGGTGTATCCTTGCCGGATGATGCCATGCCAGCTGAAGGGTCGGATCAGAAGAATCGCCTGACAATCGTTCTGTCTCGGTTGCCAGCGGCCATATCACAGCATGACCATCTGTACCAGCTGTCAAGACCTTCGTTATAGATAGGAACATACATTGCGTCAGGCAGGATGTGAAGTACAGGCCTTTCGCAAGAGGCTGCCACTTCACAGTAACAGTAGGGTCAAAACGGTAAACCTGATGTGTGTCAGTGCTTTGTCATAGCATGAGTAAGGAACTAGCTCACCTTGATGCTAGAGTCTGAGAATGCCATTGCAATAGTATGTGCAGATCCCAACGTGATTACATCGAAAGACATAAGCCTCAAGTCCGCATGCTCACTTTCTGGCACGAATACATGTTCGCACACTACTCCGATATCGAGAGCAGATGTCGATAAGTCACGAACCCGCCATACGTAGACTGCAAGGAAAATCAGCAACACACTTGCACGACTAGGCAGAGGCCTTACATTCTTCACAGCCACCACTGCTGAACAAATACTCGCCATCATGCGACCATTGCAGATGCTGAATGCCTGTGGTGTGTTTGCGAATAGTCCTTCGGCAAGCGAAATCTTTCTCAGCATACTGGAAGATCTTGATATCGGTGTCCTCGGCACCAGTAGCGATAAGTTGACGAGATCGGCTTCCACCTTGTGGCGAAACCGCTACCGCCTTGATCTCACGCCCGTGACCCCCTGATCGAATGACAGCATGATTTGCTCCGTTCTGACTGCAGATGTGCATACTAGAAGCTCGTGTCCACACGAGAGTGCCTCCTACAGACGAATGCGACCGGAAGGTCCAACTCCTATGTGCTCCTCCGGTGTCGATGCTCATGACCTCCTCTTCGTTAGTGACATCGTAGAGGTACCATTTCTTGCTTGAGAAACCGTGTATGAAGAGTCGCCCATCCTGGACGTATAATCCTTCGATGTTGGGCCCGAACGGGAGCGCAAGGTCATGTACCAATTCGACTATATTCGCAGATGAATCAAGTTGGTGCACGCAAAGACGTCCATCCCTTCCTACTGAGAACAGATGGCCAAGCCCAGTAGCTTCAGATGAGGGTTGCCATGTGAGCGAGGTAACCGCTTCTCCTCCATGTGCTTTGTCGATGACTCTTAGCAAAGTAGCTTCATGCTTACCCTCCTCATCGTTGTGGACGTTAAACAGCGCAATCGATCCACGTCGGAACCCGACCATAACAAAATCCCTACCGGATGCTCTCGCATATGTCATGCTGGTGATGACAGAACCCGTCGAGGAGTCCGCTACGGGTATCGGTACGACTCTCTGAATATTTGTGCTGCAATTAGGATCCACATATAATAGTCGCGCTTCACCTTGACCAACGAGAGTTACAAGAAGAACCGTCGAACCTGGGCCATCAGAATCTGCCAGCTCGGCAGCGAATATGTCTCCGACCTTACTACCAACGGCATAGAGGCTTGTGAAGGTAGCCGAAATCTTGCTATAAACATAGATATTGCCGCTGCCACCAGCAACGTAAGCGAAACCAGGACGAGACCCACTCGTACAAACGGAGTAACCAGAAAGGTCTTCTAGTCGATCAAGTAGAGTCGAATCTGAAAGGAGACTTGATTGGTTATGAACCTTGGTGGATGATAATGTACCGATTAGTACGTTCCCAGAATTTGTCGTAAGCAAGAACGAGGTCTCGTCCACAAAGCAGTAGCTTCTAAAGAACTCTGCTTTCTTTGAAGATTTTGGGGGCTGCACCAGTCCAGTTTTGTCAAGACCTGTTTCGGCCGCTTGCGCCCATGACAGTATGTCATTTACAGTATACTCAGCGATCGTACCGCGCAGGTTCTTCTCTGCTTGCAAGACGCGAGTGAGTGGGGTAGCTGTGACTTTACTGTCAGAACCACCTGCAATAACCTGCTGGACTCCAGTCGAGACATCAGAGACAACTGAAGACCACAGATTCTTTCCGCTATGATGCGCTGCGCAATCAAGTTCCAATAACTTATAGGGAAAGTTTGCGCTGTTTCCAGGGTTGGGCGTGAGTTCCCACGTTCGTGCGGTGGCATCTTCACCGGCAGATTGGAGCAGCAACGACCCATTGCATGGGGATGCTTCGAGAAACCGAACTGACCAAACGCGCGAGAGATGTCCCCATCCAATCGCGAGACAGCTTGAACTATTGAACTCGTCTGAGTCGAAAGCCTCGTTAGTGAAGCCGGTATGACGCGTCCTTAGAACTTCCAGGTCATTGTCATCAGCCTCCGAAGTAGTCGCACTCGTAATCACATCTGAAACATCCCATATCCGGATGGTGCGGTCGTCGCTGCAACTTGCTACTACCCGCCTCAGTTTTTGGCAGCATTCAGTAGGCAGCTCTTTTGAAATTTGAACACCAAAGATCGAGCCCTCATGACCCAGAAAGACGCGGTGGATGCGTGAAGCCGGAGCATCGCGGATCCTATCGCACCATGACCAGTATATTATCTCGCCAAATGCTGTGCCAGCGGCCACGAGGACGCGGTCCAGATCTTCCCAGAAAAGGTGGGCCGAGTAGAGGATGGATCGGGAACTAGAGGTAAGGTCGAACACAGAGACATCAAGACCACTGAGATCAGAGTGTCAGTAAAGAAATTTCGACAGGACTGATCAAATTTTGGTGTGCGCACTTGGTATTCTGGGTTGTGTCTGACTTCCTTTGTTCAATTTCAACCTGCACTAGTGCGTTGTGAGCAGTGACAGCAATGCAGGCTGCTTTGTGATATTGGGAATCGTCATCCAAGCTTTTTGTTCTAGGAGCAAGATCAAGAATCCAGTCTGAAGCTTTTGCGATATTAGAAAAGCACAAGCTCAAGCCTTGTACGCCAACTTGGCCTGCGAGATGGATTTCAAGAGCGCGGACAAGTCTTCCACCCCAGATGACTAGCTTAATGATATAGGCATTTTCTTCTGAAAACACACGTATTCCATGAACGGCTTGGGCTTTGAAGACGCGTTTTGAGGATATGTACCGCGAGTCCTTGGCATGGTGGAAGCGTAGAAAGGGGCCTTCGGCGACGATGAGCAGAGCGCCGCAAGAAGCCAGTGCCGTTACGGGTACGCGAGTGCACTCATGCTAGGGTAATCAGCTCATGTCCCCCTATACGCAATGCAAACTCACGTGTAGGGTTGGAAACATTGGCGAGGAAGCATCACATGCGAGAGTGTTGTTCATGATGGGAAAAATTGGGGTTGAGTCAGCCCCGCGCGCCGCTGCAGGTGAAATGTGTGGCGGGGCAATGACGGAGTGTTCCCGCGATTTTTTGACAGTCTCGCGCGCAGACTATCACATTAACCACCTGCCTTACTCACCCATCACCTCACTCGACTATCGACACCCTCAGTCCGATCATCTACTCGACTACAAATTCCCGAACACACCGCAAACATGTCTCTCGCTGGCCCCCTAGGCACAAGCATCAACCCGGAGGAGACCGAGAACTTCGAGGATGTACGTGCGCCGCAACGCATGGAGGTGGACAGTGATCGCTAACAGCGTGCGTAGATCGAGAAGCAGTTTGCTGTCAAAGGTATGGTGCGCATGATACGACACTCGCGACTAGTCTGACGTTCCCCCTTAGTTGTGCAGCATATGGAAACATACTGGAAGATCCTCGAGAAAGTACCCGGTTCCAAGCTGCGACTCACAAAGATCGATGACGAAATCTACGAACACCTCAAGAAGGACTTTCCCGAATTCGACGCGTCCGCCACACTGAACGAGGACGAGATGAAGAGCAAGGACGGCAAGGAGCGATGGCGCAAGTTCATCAGTGAGTACGAGAAGAAGGTGGAGGACTACAACTTCGGCACAATGCTCCGCGCGAGCCCCAAGATGGAGTACAGCCAAGAAGGCACAATTTTTGCGGTGCGCATGCAGTTCTACGCTATTGAAATCGCACGGTAAGCGGCACACTGGATGGCTCGGCGCGCTCCATACTGACTTTGGCAGCAATCGGGAAGGCCTGAATGACTGGATATACGAGAAGGCGCAGGGCAACTAGATCGCCCCAGATTGATCCTGAGAGAACTAAATCCGAAGCCGCATTATCCTAGAAAGGGTTGCCAATACTTAGCTGCATTGTCGACATCCGGGCCGTAACTTGTCCGCGCATTCGAGCCGACCCTCTTTGTTAGCCGTCCAACTATACCGATCTGTGAACAGCCATCCTGTAAGCAACACACTCAACAGTGAGGCGGTGTCCTCATCTGACCACCAACGTTGTGATCAACGTGTAATCTGTGTGAGTAGTGAAGTTATACCTATTGCGCATATCCAGAGATAAGGCCAGCAAGAGCGTTACATGCGCTCGGTGTGTCAGTTTTAGTTTGTCACCTATTCAAAAGCTCTACCAGGAATCTAAGCATCTTTTCTTCTCTGAAATGGTCGGAAGAGCCGGCACAACTCTGCGGCTTTCTACGAAGACTGCGATTGGTGGCTTGTGGACAATGTTAAGAGCAAACAAGGTAAGCGATGAAAGCGGGTGTTCGAGAATATCTCAAGACCACATGGCCGCCACCCTAGTCCGCATACGGTAGTTCCTTCTGCGCTCACTCCATATTCTCGCTACATCGCTTTCAACTCTTATCAATTTTGATATTTCACGATCGTTCTTGTTTTGAAGTCGTGGTGCCCGGACGGCCGATATGACGACAACTTCTAATTTCGACATTGCGGCTGATCGCGAAGAGACACTATCCCAGACACATGAAGAGCAGGATTACATATCACGGGTTGGCTGGAAGACGTTGTTTACCTTCACCACAAACAAACATGTTCTCGTACTTGTCGGCGGTATCTTCACGGCGTCCCTCGCTGCCCTTACCATGCCTGTTTTCGCGATCCTCTACGGTCTCGTTTCCGGTCAATACACAAGCTATGGCAAAGGGGAGATAGACAGTGACCAGTTTATCAGCAACATTGCCAAGCTCTGCATAATTCTCACCGGCATCGGAACCCTCAATTGGATTGCGAATAGTTTATACTTTATGTTCCTTCTTGTGTTCGGAGAGCTCCAGGCGAGGAGCGCGCGCGATAGGGTCTTCGATGCCCTGCTCAAGAAGGACATGGCTTGGTTCGATACGCGAGAGTCTGGTATCACTGCATTTCTGCCGACACTGCAGATGTAGGTATCATCTCACTCTCGTACAAGTCGTAATGACTAGCCGCTAACGAAGGGCAGGCATATCCGCGACTTGCAGCTGGCCGTGTCATCTCCTTTTGGAGAGGCTGTACAATCACTCGTACAGGGGATAGCATCCCTGGGAGTCGCATTCTATTATTCATGGAATTTGACCTTGGTCATTCTGTGTACCATACCAGCACTATATTTGGTCCAATCGTTAGTCGCAAGTCGGTTATCACTGCGTGTACAGGAGCAAGCCGAAAAGCTACAGTCTGGACTCAAGTACATCACAACAGCATTGACAAACATCGAAACGGTCAAATGCTTCAATGGCGAACGATACGAGCTACATGTTTTCTCAAACATCATCACTCTCGCAGCGAACTCGTACAGATGGGTGGCCAATTTTCGCTCGATTCAGATCGGCATCATGCAGTTCTTTACACTCAGCGTCTTCGTTCAGGGCTTTTGGTACGGCAGCCACCTGGTCGATATTGGAGACAGTACTCCAGGGGGAGTCTTTACAACATTCTGGGCAGTACTCATGGCAATGTCTGGAATGACCCAGATAACGCCCCAACTGATCGTATTGTCTAAAGGCAAGACGGCGGGCGCCAAATTGAGCTTGCTCACGAAGCAGATGTCGGAAATCGATCAGCAACTTGAGTCGCAAGGTCGGACACGGCCTGCACAGTGTCCGGGCGATATTGAGTTTCGAAAGGTAACACTCGTCTTGTCTGTGTCATGCAATCGCTGATTGACCAGGTCACATTCTCATACCCAACACGCAGAGATGAAGTTGCTATTCGTGATGCCTCGCTGTTCATTCCAGCTGGGGAAACGACTTTTTTCATCGGCAAAAGCGGTTCCGGGAAGAGCACACTGGGCCAACTTCTCGTACGCTTCTACCAGCCTTCTTTGGGACAGATATTCCTGGACAAGGTACCACTTGGAGAGTTGGACGTGCATTGGTTACGGCAAAACGTCACGCTTGTCGAGCAACACGGCACGCTGTTCAACGACACTATCCGTCACAATCTTGCGCTCGGGAGCGTACGCGATACGGTTGATATGCAAGAAATTCACGACGCGGTCAAATTTTCCAGGCTAGAGCCTTTCGTAAATGGGCTTCCAGACGGATTGGATACCAGTCTTGGTATGAGGGGCGATTCGCTGAGTGGAGGGCAAAAGCAGAGGATGACTCTAGCTCGAGCCAAGGTTCGAAACTCGCCGGTACTGATCTTGGACGAATCGGTTAGTTCTCTCGACTACGTCTCGAGAGCGGAGATGCTTGAAGCCATACGAAGTTGGAGGAAGGGGAAGACCACGATCATCATTACTCATGACATCTCTCAAATTCGGCCTGATGATTTTCTATACCTGCTAGACAATGCACGGGTAGTGCAAGAGGGATATCGAAAAGAGCTGGAGTCTCAAGTCGGAGCTTTCCAAGCTTTCCTCGATGTAGGGGAGGAAACTGATCAAGGCCATAAGGATGGCGAATCGGATAGTGATGGCGATCTCTATACACGAAACGAGACCGATGGTATCACATTGCTGTACGACGAGCCACGAATGCCTAAAGTCAATTCGATACAACGGCCGCTCTCTGCGGTTCACTTTGGACAGCGGATGCTGGTGCCATTTCTCGGGAAGGCCCGTGCATCTTGGGCAGGAACTGAAAAGGCTGACCTCATCACGTACTCAAGACAATCCGTTGATACAAAGGAGGTTCATCGAGGCAGACAGTCAGAACTAACTTTAACACCCGAACTATTGGAGAGTGTCGAACCATCCCGGGATATGATAGAGTTGAAGCAGCTCGGGAGCCCAGACAAGTCACGCTTTACCGGAGAAACGTTCTTTTCGAAAGATCATGGCTCAAGGCCAGGCTCTCCAGCTTTCGAAGCTCCACCAAGTTCGGATGCAAAAATATGCTCTATGTCATTTTCGAAAGAAATTGATTCTCGTCCAGTATCCAGACTATCAACGCGATCAGTCTTGCGGATAGACCCACATCCACAGCCCTTTACAGCCCGCGAGCCTGTCCCGATTCAAATGGAACCACCGAAGAAGCGGCTGAAAAACGGCAAGTTTCTTTCCAAGATCGGCCTCTCTCGTCGAAAGATTCAGGAGGAGGAAGAGGATACTTCGGCCCTCTCTCTGCCTATGAAGGACATTTTCACGTCTATATGGCCCGCTGTAGGTTGGGGCTCTCGTCTCCTTTTCTTAGGAGCGATGCTTAGCGCGACGATCCACTCTACATGTACGCCGACCTTCGCATGGGTATTTGCAAAGCTTTTGAGTACATTCTATGATGCTTCCGCCGATGACCAACAAGCTCGCAATTATGCTCTAGCTATTCTTGGCATTGCTGCTGTCGACGGACTTACAAGCTACTTCATGTTCTTTCTTTCCGATACAGTGGCACAAACATGGGCTCTTTCATTGAAGAAGGAAGCCATGCGCCGCATCCTTATGCAGCCACGAGAATTCTTTGACAAGGAGGAGAATAGCATATCACGACTTACCGAGACATTAGACCACTTTGCTGAGGAAGCACGAAATCTTCCAGGGCGATTTGCTTGTATCTTCCTCGTTATCTCCCTCATGATCATCATCGGGATCACTTGGAGTATGGCTATAGCATGGCAGTTGGCGCTCGTTGCTCTTGCAACGGGTCCAATACTCTTTGCAATCACTCAATGCTACAACATGATCAGTAGCCGTTGGGAAAGACTAGCGAACGAGGCTGATGATAACGTTGGTCAAGTGCTCCACGAGACATTTGTCAACATCAGGACTGTCAGATGCTTGGCATTGGAAGATCACTTCAGAACGAAATACAACAACGCAACCACCGAAGCAGTTAACGTCGGCATTAAGCGAGCGATATATTCTGGATCCATCTATGGACTAGCATACACTGGGATCATCTTTGTCGCCATATTACTCTTCTGGTACGGAGGGTTGCTCATATCGTGGAACAGGTATTCTGTCACTGAAGTGAATGAGTGTTTCTTGGTGCTCATGCTCAGTGTCAATCACGTCAGCTACTTGTCAAACTATATCACGCAGATCAACATCTCTCGAGATGCAGGATCACGCTTACTACGCCTCGCACGGCTTCCAACAGAATCTCACGAACTCGCTGGCACAACTCAAATCCAGTCTGCAGGCAATATTTCCCTCAACAAAGTCAACTTCAGATACCCGATACGAAAAGACGTTCAGGTACTGCACGATGTTTCCTTCAATATTCCACAAGGAAGCTGCACCGCTATTGTCGGTTCTTCTGGCTCGGGAAAATCAACGATCGCCTCCCTCCTCCTCAAACTATACCAAACAGACGGCAAAGTAGCCGCGTCATCAGACCCTGCAGGTAGCATGAGCGTCTCGAATCACGACGTCAAAGATCTACACACCATCACTCTCCGTTCCCGGATGGCATTGGTGTCGCAGACGCCTGTCATCTTCCCTGGTACCATCGCAGAGAATATTGCGTACAGTCTCTCCCCTCCCTACTCCAAGGAGATCATTGAAAGTGTTCATGCAGCTGCTCGTGCAGCCGGTATATCCGAATTTATCGATAGCTTGTCACAGGGCTATGATACACTCATCGGAGAAGGCGGAACAGGGCTATCTGGTGGCCAAGCTCAATGCATCTCCATTGCACGCGCGCTCTTGCGGAACCCTGATGTCTTGATCCTAGATGAAGTGACCAGTGCGCTAGATGTAGCTTCCATCAACATCATCCGCGATACGATTCTCCATCTTGTTAACGATGACAATGAAACGTCGTCCACCATCTCTCCACCACTATCGCCTCACGCTCGTTCAGGTGGAATCTGGGATGGTGTGGATAAGGACTGGGATAT